ATGATGAAGAGCTGTAATGTTGTTTATAATACTGAAACAAAATGTAACATACAGTATATATTTGTGGGTGGAAATTTGAGATAACTATTTTTTCTATTTGTCAAATTAAAGCCTTGTTTTAATATTTTTAATAATTAAAAAACATGAATCCCTTTACTTTTCAAACTCTATTTCTCAACAAGACAAGTTGATATATTACTTTTCAGTTTGAATTTGTCTTTTTTTTTCATTGGTGGGATCAAAAGTTTATGTAGTCAGAATAGACTTGCCATTAGGTTCTCAAAAAAGAGTAATAATCATTTTTTGCAGAATATACAAAGCGTATTGAAACTAAGGGAGGACTTTGTTATAATTATGAATTTATGATAGATTTAAAGTCGCTTGATAGTACATTGAATGATAGCAGAACCTACTGTAGGCCCAATATGTACAGTATACATTTGAACATGTAAAAACACTTCTGCTTTCCTTCCTAATTAGAGGCTTTATCAATAGGGGCCCATTATTAAATGAATTAATTCTTACCAGCGGGACTACCTTCAATGTAAAACAATTGGGCTAGGGTTGGCTGGCAAACTGTCCTTAACATGCTAATTGATTACAGGCACATTTGCTGATGGTAAGGGTGAATAATTCATGATTGGTGTGGTGTATACACACTGTCAGTATGAGCTAGGCACTCTTGAGTGTGACAAAGGATGCAATATAGGCATGGTTGATATGTTTTAAGACAGAAGCCACAGTTCTTTTCAATCAATTTCATAATATGAATGATGAAGGAAGATTTGAATTGTGAAGGTGTTTCTTTCTTACATTTGTACATGTAGGTGGCAAACTTTAGGCTTTGTGTATTTTATGTTACATCACACTTGCTTGTGGCTTGTAATATTTTTCCTGTAGTAATTTTGTACTTTTGTACAAGTTGTACAAATACGTACATGTACAGTACAGTATCATGTATAACATGCAAGTGTGCATGATGCCAGAATAAACTAGACTATTAAATTTTTTTTTTTAAATAATCTAGTGCCAACTCATTAGTCATTATCATATTTTAGCTTCTTTAAAACCTCTATGTACAAACCAAACCCACAGAAGCTATTTTTACTCTGTGAACATGGGTATGTATCATGCCTTTAAAGTGATAATGTAAAATGATAAGTAAAATGAAGTAAACCAAGAAAGATTTAGTGTCAATGCATACAAGTTATGCCAATTCTACTCATTTTCTGGAGCTCGCGGCACTGGAGTTCTGTTAAATTACAAACTTTGTATGCATAAAACCTTTAAGGTTCAGATAATATGCAAAAGTATCAAGCTATGAAGTGATTGAATAGCAACTTATATGACTGAATATTTGCTTTTTGTGAAGTTTCTTGCCTATTAAGTGGCTGACGTTTACACTTCATGGAATTTAGTATCGCAAAATAGTTAGACCAAATTATCAGTCACCTCCGTCTGCACTGTACATGTACAATGTACATGAATATATGTTGTACAGTATAAAGGCATTGTAAAGTATTAGCTTTCTCTATGTTTTTCTGAAGTACTGTAAGAACAAAAACACAATTTCAGTATTATTGTGAATTACTGGAGAGTTTGATTCAATCGTTCTTGAATCTTGATTGCCATTTCATTTGCTCAAAGTGACTACCGTACTTGTGCACTGCCAATTTTTGAAGACCTTACCCTTTTTCTTACATTTTTGTCAGGGATTGCTGTTAGTGATAAAGGTGTGCTGCTACTACAAAGAAATGACAACTGTAATTTACAAAAGTAGTTCAAAATTTTCATAAATCATGTCATTGCACATTTGCAGACATTGGAATGTAACCACTGTACATGAACCAGCTCAATTTTGTTTAATGATTGGAGGCAAGGGAATGCTATGCACAATATCATTTAGATATTTAGAAGGCCTCATTCTAATTTGGCTCTCATCACAAAATTTTCGTTATCTTTTATATAAAAATAATTTGATTAAACATTTTGCAAAATGGGGTACAGTAAAATACAGTATATACAGTACATGTACTGCTCTTGTCATTCATATTAGCCTGATGCTGTAGATCAGTGTTGTATTACTCATCATGAAGTCAGAACATGAGGCTAGCACAGAGATTGCTGCTATGACAGCTCATGGATTAGAGTTTAACAGGTTTACATGATATGTTTTTAACATCGCATCACTGCGCATGTACATGTATCACACAGCATGTCCACACACAAAACAATTTATCCCGAAACTCTATAATGAAACGTCGTATAAAGAATCATCGTATAAATAATCATCGTATAAATTTCAGAGTGTCCACACACAAGAAACGTCGTATAAATAATCATCGTATAAATTCCAGGATGTCCACACACAGAAGAAAGTAATCCTGCAACTCTACAGCGAAATGTCGTATAGGTGCGCAGTTTGCTAAGTCGGTCATGAAATGGAAGAAAAATTAGAGGTCAGGTCTCCTTTCGCGCGAGGTCACGTTAAGCCCCGCCCAGTTAATTACACTAGTTACACTAGTTACGTCCACACACAACACCTTCCGTGATTAGGCGTGATTCTTTATTGAGTTCTAGTTCGAAACGATGCCCAAACCTGCGTTTCGTTATACGACGTATCTTTAGTGAACGTCCACTCTCACAATTTCATTGTATAACTATTGCGAAATGGTATAGCTAATCATGCCTGATCACGGAAAATGTTGTGTGTGGACAGGGGGACAGTGTACTCACTGTTATGTCCCTATTTTACAGTGTACACACGTATGTACAAGCAACTTTTGTTGAAAAGAAATTGTAGTGACCAATTCTTGAATATCAGATAATGCCAGTAATTTGAAAGCCAAGTTTGCATTTCTTTTCAGCCCCTTTATAAATAGCTACCGGTAGATATTTTATAATCCTCCTCCCCCCCCCCCCCCCCCACTGTTATGTATAAAATTTCATTTGTTTGTAGGTCTATCTTTGCAATGTACATAGCCTGTTGGCCAACCTCGGAAACATGCTACTCACATGTAGGCCACCAGACCTTAATGAGTAGAAATGAAGAAATAGCAGTGACAAATTAATGTTTTTACAAGTGGAATGATATTAATTGAACAACAGAATCACACTGAAAATAGGCTAAAACTACTGTTTTGAAGGGGCAACCAAAATTGACCTCTGCCTCTGGCTGTTAAAATTTTGTAGCCCAACAGAAATAGTTTTAGTTGATTTGAAGCCTTGGTACATGATAATATATTTTGATCTGAAATTTCAACATTCCAAAAATTGTTAAAAACATCCCAGTAATTATACTAAATTATAGTGCAGACCAATGTTGTATGAGACCTCTTCAAGATAATCAGGACGCAACATGAATTTTTCAATCTCTGATTAACTTCTAGTAAATGAACAATACAGTACATATACATGTATGTACATGTATGTAATCATCAAATGTTAAAGTCAAGCTATTCATTATTATATTTGCTTTACATTTGTAGGTTCATGTATTGTGCATGAGCCATAAAAATGTGAAAGAATTTCACATGAATGAGATTGGATTATTGAAAGTACTGTATGATGACATGAAAACGCTGCATGGGCTAACCATGGGCTAACCATGGGCTAACAGTCACAGGAAAGACATTGATTACATAAGAGTGTCTGTAAGTGGGAAAGGGCTCTTCCTGCTCACTAACCTGCAAATTCAGTGTACATGTACATGTACATGTTGTTATGGTCACACATTAGAGAGGTGTAGATTTGTAGATTTTCTACGGTTATACATTAGAAATACATCCTGTAATCTACATGCAAGACAGCCCCTGCATGTACAGCTCTACTGTTTCAAGGGACCAAAATGCTCAGACCCTTCACCCAAATATCACTTATGATCCCCCACAAACATGTATGAATGTATACTGGTACATTACATGTATACACGTATGTACACTGAAAATAACATAGATGTATTTACACAAGTGCAGAGCACTATATTTACACTGTATGTATTATAGTTTGATAGGCCTACCGGTACATTTTGATTCACAAATTTCTAGTCTGTGATACGATTCTCTGCGTTGGCTGCGTAGGCTGTGCTCATGATACAGGCTGCTGATAACTTCCTCTGGCAGTGCCTGGGAATGCTGCTCATTGCAGAACTAGCTGGAAGGCATCAAGGGATTTCAAAAATTGGAAAGTCGTAAAAGTATAATACATGTAGTCACATTTGTATTTAGCGCTTAATCACTCTATATAACTTTACATTTTTAATTATTATTAACCCAGTCATTAGATTCAATTGCTAATTCGCACATGATAAGTGCACATGCTCCAATGCCTCGGGGAGTATTCCGGCCAGGCGCCATTTTACAAGGGCACACATGCCAATCCAACCACTTTATCATTATCATTCCCATCCTACCGGGTATACCCATTGAACACCTGAGTGGAGTGTGGCAAATGTAGATTAATGTCTTGTCAAAAGACAATAGTGCTGCAGTGGGACTTGAACCGCGAATCATGCGATCTGCAGTCCAGCAACTTATCCACTAGACCATGACACCTCTCATATAATAATAGCTTAACTATATTATGTCTATCTTGCTAGAAATGCTAAAAAAATGATGATGATGCTGAAAATGATAGCATTTACGTATATGTTCTTAAGAACTTCTTATTTATATTGATGTATTTGCCTGGCTATTTATTAGTAATGATCATGTTGGCTACCGCTTTGTTGAATGGAATTTTATTTATCTTTTCACTTCTTGAAATAATTTTACCTTATCACTCATAATCGTTAAATATATACTAGTTACTAATTGTGTTACATTCGGACATAATACTACCAGTAATTACAGTAATTTTTTTTATTTTTTATTTTCAGTGTGGACCAGCCTAAATTTACTAGGTCTGTCTTCATACTATGATTATTTTAGAGAGGGAATATTGAGTAAAAACCTGAGCAATGGATACACTTTAAATGAATTTTCTTTGTTTTGATCTTGCAGTTTCCAGAGCATGATTTTTATGGAGTATATGACAAGCTTCTGCTGTTCAAGCACAACCCAGGTACAAGCTACTCTCTCACACCCGTAACATCAGTTAGCGATGTGACGGAGGGTGCCCTTATTGAGGCTGTGTTATCCGGTAAGAAAACACATTCTCATCTTCACTCATTTCAGTAATGAACAAATTGCATGAGTGCTCAACTTTTCACTTTGAACTTTTTAAATGTGCCTCTCATTAGAAAATTATCATATTAATTTGTTTGTTGTGAGCCATTGTGAAAGTTGTTAGTTTAAAGTCTGCAACAGTTCACTCAGTGATATTTTGCTAACACTAACATGGTACTTTGACAGTCATAAAATTTAATTAATAGACCATAGTTTAGGAGATAACAGAACATTTGCATCAGCTGCCAGTGAACATGTTGTCTGTATTTTAGAAATATTTAAATTGACTGTTACTTCTTTCATAACACTTGTTTTAACAGTAACTACATCGTATGTATATTAAAGATATTAATATCTTTTTTATTATAGTATTATATTAAAATGTTCTTTAAATTAGGAATACTATATAAAATACATAACTTCCTTTGATACACGTACATGTAGGTTGATAAAAAAAATTCTCAAGTCCTGATTTATTCATATTATTTTTATTTTTGATATTAAACTCATTAAATGAGTTTATTTAAAAAGCCTTTATACATTCATGCAATGGGAACAATGCAAAGTGCCAGTGTGAAAGTACATCTATTGGCATTGCATGAATACCGGAGCATGAAGTGGAGCATGATATCTTTATTTTCACAACTTGCTATTGCTCTATTGCAATAGCAAATTTATACATGTAACCTAAATACTGGGCTTTATGAATACCTTTTATATGTAAATCACACGTACCTTGCGATACATGTACATGTTAAAGGGGAAGTTAACCCTTAAAAATGGCTGTGATGAGCTTATACTAAAGCGTGGCGTCCGTTTTCCAGCATCCAGCGTCTTTCGTCAGTCCACAAATTCAAAATGCTTCTTCTTTTTCATTTCGATTCTGTTTGCTATATATGATAGGATGATGGCTAGGTAGGAATTTGAAACTTCAACACAGAATTGTGAATTCTTTATTTATGCAAATTTATTTAAAATGACAAAAAATGCTTCTTCTCCATCTTTTATAGACCAATTAAATTTTTCTTTTGGTTTCATCTTGTACGTGAGATTCTGAAAATTCTGAACAGAATTTGAAATTTACCTCAAATGTTACTTATGATTTATGCAAATGTATTCCCCCCCCCCAAAAAAAAAATATAGAAAACGTTTGTTTGAGCTAGGTTTGAGATACGGTACACAGAATGTTGAACTGTTGCATAATTAATTCTAATTTATGCAAATTTATTCATTTGTTTTTAAATAAATTCCAAAAATGTTTCTTCTACACTGTACAATGTACTTCATATTTTGATTTATTTGTTTTATCTGGTACATCTAAATCAGATACACAGACCATTTACACAGAATGTCATTTTTTTGCCTCAAAAATATATGAGTATAATTTATGCAAATATATTCGAAACAAAAAATCCTTCTTGTCCTTTGTTTATTACCCCACCCCCCCCCAAAAAAAAGTTTTTCTTTCACCTTTCCCAACCAATTTAGTAGAGAAATGAAATTGTGACGATTGTTTGAGCTGGATGCCGGATGGATGAGCCCTACTTCATTGAGGTTCTGGTTTAATATGTTATGCAATTGGGATTTGCTAATGGTATCGACTGGTTACACCAGCAGTCCCAAAGAGGTCATTCAAATTGCTTACTTCAGCTCAGATAATTTTATGAATCACTTATCCATTGAAAAAAACACTTTCTAACTCAGCGACCATTGCATGACAGTAATGTAACTAGATTTAAAATCAAACCTGACCCTCACAGAAAAAAAAAGGAAAATAATATCTACATGTACAAGTAACCCTGTAAGTTGGGGCTTTGATCGGATCGGAAGATCAGAGCAACATCGTCGCACCTGTGATCGTAATTGGTAAAAATAATCTGCGAAAAAAATTGGCAGATTTTTTTATTTTATTTAAAAAAAAAAATTTAATGCGAAAATTTTCAAGTTCTTGGCTATCAAATGCTTATAAAAATTTCATAGCTGGGATTATTTTGTCATTTGGAGTTATTGTAGACCATGTTTGTTGATATTTAGTGCCTTTTCATGACTTTGAAATTAATAATATTGTTCTAAGTGAAGAGGCAAAACATGCAGGCCGCCATCTTGAATTATAATGTAGGCAATCATTTGTATTGATCGCGATCAGAAATTATTATCCGATCACACCTGATTGGCTCAAGATCGGCCCCCGATCCGATGATCGGTTACAGACCTACATGTATGTACAAGTACATGTACATGTCATGTACATACACTGTAGGCTGCCATACTCCTTGACTTGTGTTTAGAAATAAGGATTAATACTTGTATTTTATTTATTTAAATTTATTAAATAAATACATAAAATCAGTTTTGCAGATGATGATTTTATTCATTATTTGTCTTATATCTTTTATAAGTATGAAGTTTAGCAATGACTGCATGAACTTACTTCAATCGTAGTGATATCCTTGTACATATAATGCATTTCATTTAGTTTTTAAATCAAGTTTATAGTGACTGTTTTATATTTGTATTCAATATGATTTTCCAATATGTATGAAAAGGTTTTTGTTCTTTGCATGTCTTTTATGGTATTGCTAGAGATTTGTTTGGTTTTATAATTTTTTTCTACATGTACATGAAGAAAATGTACATGATTTAACATTTGGCAAAATCTTAGTTAAAAGTATAGAGGCACAATCAAATATGCACTTTATGCTACATATAAGACAATCAGAAAAAATTAGTGAAAATCACTTTTTTGATAATTACAAGTTTATGGTACATTTTGGTTGCCAGTCAATTTCGTATGTGAAGTGTGAAAATTCCAAGGGATTAAAAGACATTCTTAGTTTTTAAAATGGTAATTTGAAGAGAGCAATTTTCTTCATTGCTACACATTTTAACTTTTGACTAACCAAATTTTACATCACCTGTACTTTTTATTACCAAGGTATGATAATGTATGTACATTATAGGCCTACATGCAATTCAAACTTTCATTAAAACTAGAAGAGGAAAGTGTGGTAATGATTTTAACAGGAAATTAAAGTCTTAGGAACAAGAACACTTTCTGAATTGACTTGACCAGTACATGTCCACATACATGTATATGAGGTGGTCTCATAAATGCAAAATTACACCTACAGTACATGTATTTGTGGCATGATTTTGTATCATATTTTTTTTTAATTGCATGCTCCTTTTTTATTTATGCCATAATGTACATGTACATTCCTTTCAATATTCCTTCAAGTATATGGTTATGTGCATGGAGATCTCGCTATTTCACAGAAGTTACCATTTCCTGTTGTTCTTTAGCTGGCAATTCTACAAAAGTTGTACATTGTTATTACACTTCCTATTTGAAAAAGCGAGTTAAAATACCCACTTTCGAAAATTAATTCTTTTTTACCTACCTACAGTGTACATAAATAATATTTTCCTACTTTGAGGAAAGTGCAAACATGGGATATGGACTTCAGGAAAGCAGTTTCTTTGAGTGGTAGTGGTACATTTTTGTTAATGATAAATATTTTCATTGCATGTCCCTGTAATGCATGGTTTATCCTGCACCCTGACCCTGTCATGTTTAATTTGAAGAGCTACTTTCCCTGTTTGCATGTTGTTTGTTGACTTTAATCTGATTGTGTAAACATGTATATGAAAATTGTTGTCAACCTCTGCCTCCTTTTCCTCCTTCCATTCTCCCTGTCCACCTCCTCCTCCTCCTCCTCCTCATCCTCCATGTTTGTCAATGTGTGCCCTTCATTGATTGTCTTGACTGCAGATCAGTGGGATGGTAGCCGAATGAATGACCTCGTCAGCCAAAATCCCTCTTCGGGCAAGTACATATACCTAGTCAAAAAATATGACTTTTATTGTAGATTATTAATTTCCTTATTTTTTTCAACCATCATGAATTCAAATGCAGGGCTTCAGTTCTGTTTCTGTAAGTGTAATATGAATAAACTCGTATTTAACCTATGCAGGTCTGATTAAAACTTTCTTGTCACGCAAGCACAATAATGCAAACATTTTATTTTGCTACAATTTATATCGAGACAATTTGTATTTCAGGAGAGATAGTTAAGTATGCAAAATCCTCCTTGCTGTTAATTTTATTAAATATAAGCTCACATATCCATGTACTGGATGCTTCCGTATATATGTGAACAAATTGCATTTACCGGTACATGCTCTCTGCTGTATTTGGTGAGCATTATATTATTAATATTATTAGTTTTCCTCAATTTCTCTCATATTTTTTTGGGTTGGATAGAATTATTAAATTTTGCTCTTTCTTTGGTATCTTGAAACTGGAAAACTGAGAGTAATGAGTTCTTGGATCACAGTACATTAGTTGTACATAATATAATATCTAATGAAATATGAAGGGGGGATACGAAACTTGTACTGTTTGGGGGATTAATTTGATTGTCTTTTATTTCCCATTCTTTCCTTGTTGCATGCTTATCAAATTCTCACTACAAATTACCCTGTCCTTTGCAGTCATTTTGATATTAACCATCAAAGCTGCCCCAAATTGTAATGCTACATTCCCTCACACTTTTTAAAACTGATTGTTGTTCGCCCTTTGATAAATGTAGAATGCATTTCTTATTGTAGACCTAATGAAGTGTATTACTGTGTTTTGGATTGTTCTATAAAGTTTCTGTGAATCTGTACTCTTTGTAAAGCGATAGCTTTTGCTTGTTTTTTGTTTTTTTGAATATGAGCTTTACCAGGCAGAAATATTTTGTTGTTGTTGCTATTTTACTTTTAAATTTGGACCCTAGTGTATGAAAAAAACTACTGTTCTCTGTCTGGAGTAGCCATGATTTGTTTTACTAGATAGTAATAGCTTGTCTCTACATGTACATGTAGACATATATATATATATATGTTTAACTTTCATATATCTGTAGTTGTAAAGACATGCACAACACAAATATGTACCCATACTCTTAATAATGATTAGAAAATAGAAATGATTCAAGCTGCTGAGAAGCATGCATGAGTGCTGTTCAACTTTACTACCAAGCATGCCAACAATAAATGTACAATTTGTTAACAAGGGTAAACAAATTGCAGTCCAGATCCCAGAAAATATGTTTTTATCAAGCAAGTGTAAAATATGTGGGCAACAGATTATAGATTTGATATTAATGCTTCCAATTGTTGCTTGTTCTATGAGAAATTTTAAATATTTAACTGATTATTGGAGGACCCTTGCCCACTCTTTATCTTTTATCATAAGGATCTGATCATTGCATTAATTGCTGTGATAAGGGCGATGATACTTCCTATAATATTTACTGGTACTGTAATGTATCTGAGATATTATAATACAGAATTTAAGTGACGTATGAAGTATTTCCTTTGTATTTTGACACTTCTAATTGAAGCCTCTAGTGCAGGATTACACTTAAACAAGTTTTACTGCATTTGTTTTAAACTGCTTGGCACAGTTTACAATAGATAATAGCATATTTTGCTTATTGAGCACCATTTTTTAAGTTTGATTTGCTTTATATACACATATTACATGTATATTGTTTATTTTGCAAACCCACACAATTACTATTTTTTAAAGTGGAATTAATCTTAAACATCAAGAACATGAAAGTGTATTATTAAACTGCCTTTTGTTAATTTTTCAAGCTTTAGTATAATCACTTAAATTAACATCCTAAACAGCTAAATGTAGGAAAGGTACAAGTAGTTTATAGAGCCCCTTTTAAGAATGAATATAAGAAGGTGATAGTTATTTTTCTGTCTGTCTTTCTTTCTTTCCTCTTCACCTCCATAAATACATTGGCCACTACAGCTTCTGCTACAGTTGAAGACCGACAGATCCGGCCTCACACATTATATGTCCACTCCTACAAGAGTCCAACATTCTGTGACTTTTGTGGTCAAATGCTGTTTGGATTAGTGAGACAAGGACTGAAATGTGATGGTGAGTTCAGTACTTTTAAAAAATTTTGTGTGTATTTTACGGGACAAAAGATCACCAGTTAACAAATTGGGAACTTGGTTTATAGTTTATATAGGGATGTTGGGCACGATATGGGCATTGCTATTTTCATGATAACGTACATTTACAGTGTATTGTAATGTACTATTGAAAGTCGTTTAACAATTGAATGTATTCACAATTATTGATGCTTCCTTCCAACACGTGTGTATGTGTGGTGAGGAAGTATTTCATTCACCTGTTATCTTTTGTACTCTAATTGTCAGAACGCTAACTTCACTAAAAAGTTAAATTAAAAGTATTTCCAACTAAAGCTTGATGCATGATACATGTATACATACAAGTTTGTCTGGTACATCACATTATCCAGAAAAGGACTGTGCCTATGTCATGCTAAAACTTAAAAGGCATTACCCCATGCCAAGAATATCTTCATCTCTTGTACACTTTCATAAGGTATATTGAACATCAAAAGGCAGGGATAAATCTCATCTTTCAGCATGCCTACACTTATTCTTTTGGTTGAGGTTTACTTGAAGTTGCCACATTTATGTGCAATCATACTACCTAATGTACACCTGTTATGAAATGTATCTATGTTTATGTTCTCTTACAATAGGGTGTGGGGGTAACTACCACAAACGGTGCGCTTTCAAAATTCCCAATGACTGCACGTTATCCAAGCGACGGCGCTCTTCCTTAGCGATTTCCTCCTCCAGTATTCCCTGGTCTCCATCTGAGACCAGTTTGTCCAGTGAAGATTCTCAGGTAAGTTTAATCAAATCACAATCCCATTTCTTGTAATGACCTCATGTCTTTGAATTGTGTTTTGTGATACCTTACAAGGAATAGATGATCTACATGTACATGTACGCTGTAATTAGAAAAGACCATTGTATGATTTGAAAGGATTACTACAAAGATGATATGTCTTGTGTATTATCCTTTTCTATTGTACAATTTAATGGTACTCCCTTCAGGTTAGAGGAAACTCTATCTATGTTGTGCTCTTCAAAGAGCATTAGTCATTTGTAGAACAAATGAAAGCATACATGTATTTATTCACCTACTTGTACAATGTACATATCACAAGTTATTTATATTTCTTTAGCAAAATTATATTTGTTTGTGCTGTTGGTGACTTCACTACCTACAATCTCACCAGAATTCGATTTTCAATTTGTTTCCTGATATTCTGTTCTGTTCTCTATGTTATAAAGTACTTGTGTAGTTCATACGTTTCCTGAAGAAGGAGACAATAGAAAGCTGCCCTTTCTTTCTTATTAGAGCAACCCTTGTGACTGTATCAACAGGGTGCCATAATGGTTCCATTCAGGTTTTCAATCGCATGCAAACAATTTTGAAGTTCGCTTGTTTTGATATTGCAAGACCTTGGGGCTCAGAGGCTTATTATCTCTCTCACTTCTTTTTGTGCATTTTATCCCTCTCTTTCTCTGTTTCTTTTCTTTGCTTTTGCGTTGTTATTGTTCCTTTGTCTTTTCTTTATTATTACTTCCATTTTGAAGTACTTCCTTCTCTTTTCCCTCGCCTCTCATTTTCTTGTTTCCGATATTTGTCTCCTGTCATCAGTATCATTATATATTGTTTTCTTATTCTGATCCAGATTCATCTTTCTTTACTTATCTTGAATTAATTCCCTTGTACTCCACTGCTTTTAAACATTCTTTTATTTGCCCCCTTCATTATCTCTCTTGTTCTGTTGCTAGTCCCCTGAGTCCCCTCTTCTTCTTCCTCTCTCATTCTCTCTCTCTCTCTCTCTCTCTCTCTCCCTCTCTCCCTCCCTCCCTCTCTCTCTCTCTCTCTCTCCCCCTCTTTCTCTCTCTGTCTCTCCCCTCTCTCTCTCTCTCTCCCTCTCTCTCTCTCTCTCTCTCTGGTTTTCTTTCTCACTCTCTCACTCTGTGTTTGCTTTTTATTCCCTCTTTTTATAACTTGCAATACCTGCTGTGCATAATTGTAGGACTTTAAAAAGAAGCCTAATGTCAATACAACTTTAGAGGGTCAATTATTTCTAGCTCATATTTTGTTTCCAGCCTCTGTAGGGTGTGGTTTGCAATTTTTAAAATCCTTCAGAATGGAACACCTGTCTCCTTGGTCCTCTCATGATTTAGGACCTGATATCAATCAAAGTCTATCATTAATTATATTTGCTGTGTTAAATAAATACCAATTCCACACATTTGACAAAAAAGAGAAGTAGTTGGTTGGGTGTGTTGTTACATTTATTTTGTTCTCATTTTATCAGTAGGGTTCATGTATATTTATGCCCATGTTAAAGGAAATACATAGTTTTAGTATTGGTCACTAATTTGGTTCAAATTAACATATTGGAAGCATATATGCGACCCTACAATATTCAGTGATCGTTGTTGTGGTTGAAATCGAGTCTTAAAGTGTCGACATTGTAAATAAAAAACTCTAACATGTATGTTGTATAGCTCCCTCTCAAGGTCAAGATATTAATTTAGCTATAAAACGATGTTTCTTGACTAAAATCGATCGATTGGCTATTCCTGTTTGGAAATTATATATCACAACATCATATTCTGAGATTTTCATGGTTGCAGCTACTATTGGGTGGTCGTAGGCGCTATTTAAAATTTATCAAAATTACAAATACAAATACTAATAAGAGTGTTTAGTATTCTTAAGCCTTCTTTATATAAACAAGTGAGCCAGTCTTATCATAAAAGGAGTAATGTTAATGTACTGTTGAAGACAGTATGAATCTAGCATTGAAACTCAGCAGACTTGTACGGCCCCCATGTCATCATTGATGACTCAAATAAAAGCAAGATATGATTACAACTTGTGTTCCATAAACTAAGCATAGTAGCATGACCGTACCCCCATGAGTCAGTCATAGTAGAGTACACAATGTGCATGGGTGCATATTAAGTACACTGTGTACAAACTAATGTACATTAAAAGGAAGTGTGACTTTGTTACATTAAAACTAGAAAAAATATGTTTGTTGCCAAGCATACAGTGTAAATAAAAATGTATACATGTACTATAAAAATGCTTTTGGAGTTGCAAGTTTTTATGTTATTTATATAACAAAAGAAAATGAAAATTTATACAGATTTTTCATTCTTATTTTTCTTTAAAAAAAGAGATGCAAGCATTCATGTAGTGATTCCTTTTATTTTCTCCCTCAATTTTCCATTATTTTCAGGGCCAATTTTCTTGGAAACACTACTTCTTTGATAATTAATTATCCCAATACTTTTCAGGTGAAATTCAAGATTCCATTCCAGTGTAGGCAGCATTTAGAAGTTATCTACAGGTGTATACATGTTTTTGTACATGTATAAAAATGATGGTGATAATGATGATGTATTTACAAGTACATGTAATAATTAATATGCTTGTTCAAATGCCCTTTACAATGATATCATCAACAGAATGAGTGAGAATCAAATGGCACTTTCTTAACACTTATTACTACTCACTATCCCTGGCTTTTAACCATGTCAACCCCTTTGAGTGAAGATATACTATCTTCCATGGATTTTTGATAGTGGTAGTAACAGGTTATACATTTCTCTAACCGGGTAACTATATTTTCTATAATTGTTGATATTTCCACTACCAGCAGCAGCAGCAGCAGCAGCTTGCAGTATTTGTAACCCACTCCCAGCAGACTCCCCTAGTGAAGAGCGACAGCTACAAGGAGCGCCGGTCACCGTCATGGGGCAACAGGCCACTATGGGTAGAGAGGGCAGTAGCCAGTCGCATCAAGGTGCCCCACACGTTTGTTGTACACAACTACACTAAGCCAACCATCTGCCAGTACTGCAAAAGGCTTCTGGTAGGGCTATTCCGTCAGGGACTTCAATGCAAAGGTATGGCTTTCATTTCAAGTTCTGTTTTTTTTTTAAACAAAAAATAAATATGAATTATTTTGATCCTTAAGTCTGGGATTGAATGCATGTTGGCAAAGACAAGACAGGTCTATTACAAATGACCTTTTTGGAGAACTTTGTTTGTTAAAGTCTGATTATGTAATCAAAGAGACTTGTCACACTTACAGTGTTTTCAGAATCTCCCCGCAATCCAACAAATAACTGAAATAAGAACATTTTCTTTTCCTTATTTCTCTTTAGATTGTAAATTCAACTGCCACAAAAGATGTGCTGACAAGGTTCCTAAAGACTGTCTAGGGGAAACACCATTGCAAGAAGGTAGGTTTGAAGCAATTTTCATTTATCACTAGATCAAGAGGATACATTTTAAGGTTTACTTCCAGAACTATGATGGCCCAGTGAATCTTGGAATCAGGAGGTCCTAGGCTTGTGCACTATAGTTTAGTTTGTTTATCTTTCAATGAGTGCCTCAGATACAGTTGATAATATGAATTCTTGTAATACCCTGGTGTGTAGCAGGAGTAGTGAACTGAAATATAAGGTTGTAATATTTGCAGTACTCTGAATGTTCAATGAAGTGACTGGTTAATATTTCAGAGACTATAAAATGCAACTTATAGGAATTTGCTCAGGATTTTCTCAAGCACACATTTCATCATCTGCTATTTCTATATTTTTTTAAAATGTAACTTAAAGAAATCATTTTACATTTATGACAAAATATTTTTCTGCTAAGCTCCTGACTTGGTTTGAGCCGTGATGCTCATGGCTTCCTTATAATGGGCGATGGAAGCCATGAAATCTACCTCATACAGTCTACGTTTACTAGTCGTATATGAACTTCAATGAGATTTCACTTGAAAGAAAGACTTGGGACAGGAAAATCAGATCAGTGGAGCTATCAGTGATCGTAAATTTTCCTCTATATAGAGACATTTTCTCCAGAGCAAGCTTGAAATTAAAAAATGTGAAATGTCAGTGTATTCCCTAGAACTGTTATTTAATGGCAGGGGTGCAACTTCTCAAATAATAATGGTTTATTTAGCTTTCCTCAAATTCGGACACTAAAGGATGTATGGTTACATCAATCAAAATACAAACTAAATGTACATTAGCATGTCCATACAATAAAATAATTCTCAAAGCACTGTAAAGCCAAGTATTTCCTCTAAGATGTATCAGGTAAATCCTTGAGAGGTCTTACAATGGGCCTATTCACTTGAACAAGGAAATTCAACAGAAGTTTGTCATGTGCCCAGTAAAAGATGTCAAACACAACATTTTTCAAATTGTTCATCCTTTTTTAGTTTTGCGATTAAAGGATAGAAATCTAAGGTATATAAGTATAACCTATCACTGTTACAATTAAGATGATACACAGATTGAAATGTGTTGTGTGGATGTGCTCAAAGAAAGGTCAAAGATTTGGAATTTGTTTTTCTTCAAATTTACATCCTCTGTCTGTTCATGCCCTACTGCTAGGGACACAGCAAACTTGTATGGCTTATATGTGCTAAATGTAGTTGTTGACTGATACAATATATGGTTTCCCTGTGGTCTATTGTGTCTGTTAACACACACACACACACACATATATATATATATATATATATATATATATATTTTACTAAAGGCGTCATTAGAGGGACATTTGGAGTGAAAAAATGAGTCATTAAGTAGACATTGTCATTAGAAGGACAATTTGGTGTCCTCTTAACGTTTTTTACGTTTTATTTCTCGTGGAAGGCCCAATTTTGTCATATATCTCTCTCTATATATGTAATTTTACTAAAGGCGTCATTGGAAGGACATTGGGAGTGAAAAAATGAGTCATTAAGTAGACATTAGGGTTAGGGTTAGGGTTAGGGTTAGGGTTAGGTTTAGGGTTAGGTTTTAGGGTTAGGGTTAGGATTTTTATGATGTCCACTTAATGTACCATGTAGGGTTTTATATATATATATATATATATATATATATATATATATATGTACATACATGACACAGTATATTTCTTGCCTCATCCATGTATTTAGGAGACAATGATGATCAGGAGAGGCTGATTGAGAGCGATGAGAATGAGGCTGAGGAGAATGAGAATGGATCAAACAGGGACAGTATTGGAGATGAAACACTGCCGGACTCCCCAGTCAATGAAAATCCACTCAGGTATGCATCTCTCATTGTGTAGGAACAGTTTCAAAGAGGAAGTATTAAACAAGCATGAGATTAAATGTTTTACAAGAAGTTTCTTAAATACTTCACCATAGATGTGCCATAAACTGTGTGAGTACAGGTGGTATTGGGTTCTGATAAAGACAAAACATACATTTGTCAAAGAATCCAATGAAAGTGAACTGCATGCTCAGGGCTGCTTATAAATGGTATCTACCAAGTGATATTGATAGACGATATGTAATTGCTTAGTAAAAAGCAAAGAATGACGAGGACATATTGCTAGTTGGTCCAATCGCATACATAACACGTAGACAGACAAGTGCAAATATAAGTTGTGCTTTTCATTGAAAGTTATGTCCAGTATATTTGTGTATTTTTGTTTATATTTTGTTTGATCGAACAACTATCTAGTGTTTTAGACGAATCCAGAATATTGCTATTTTTTGACTTTCTCTCACAATGTAATTCAATTACCAGAACTTAGGTGAGCTTTACCACATAGTACAATCCAAATAATTTTTAAACCGTTGAGATAACTCTGATATTTGTTAACAGCAGCGCTCAAAATACACGGGGGCGGTGGGCAATTCGCCCCCATGAGCTACATAATCACCCCCGTCAGGTTGCTCACGGGGGCGATTGCAAAATTAAAAATCGCCCCGGTGGAATTATAAAATAAAGATTATCTTTTCTGTTATAACTTTAACACAATATTGAGTTTCAATTTTCAAACCTTAAACCAATGAAATGGAACTAAGATTAGCGTGCAAGATTTCTCGTTTTATAGGCCTATTAGGCTGCCGCGCCATGTCTGCTGGAGCTGGAGGCGATCGCGCAAGGGCAGAAACATGGTCAGTTTTTCGTTGTCAGCAAATAATGAACCTTGACCAGTAAATCAATATTAGGGACTTTTAGATTTGCACGTTGAGAACATGGACTGCAACGTGTGACCTCCTTTTAAGGCACTGCCAGTGCTTAAAAGGACGTCACATGTGACTGCCAGTGCCTTAAAAGGAAGTAACACGTCCACGCAAATCTAAAAGTCCCTATTGAGAAGAAGAGGAAGATGAAGAGAACAAGATGTCGTGGAAGGATATGGTAACATGGGCAGATCTACGGGGGGGGGGGGGGGGGGGGGGGGGTTAGGGGGTTTAACCCCCTTCTCCCCACCCCAAACCCCCCCCCCCCTGGCCCCCTTGGGCTGCCAAGTGAAAATGTGATATTAAAGCAAGTGAGGGGGTGCTGGAGAGGAGGACTACTAATCTATTTTATTTTTTTCAGGGGGCGGGGGGAAGTGAAGCGCCGTTTTGGCATGACTTTCTTTTTAACTCTTACTTTCACCTATCTCAGATAACCCTAAGTTTTTGGTTGCTGCTTTATATGTAGTTGATAATGCATGATTAAAATAAAGAGAGAGAGAGAGAGAGAGAGAACCACCATCATTTTGCAATGGTTCAGGGTTCGTGTAATGTACATTTGAAACCATTTCTTAGCGTCTCAACCCTAAAAAAATAACAAAACTATTTTTGAGGAAAAGCATTATACTGAATTAAATAAAGAATAATAGCTTTATACTGGATCATACTAATACTGATACGGGCTAAAGACAATGTGGTATTTGTATAGAGGTATTCCAAAATGACATTCTGATAATCAACATTTGTTCTGGTATCATATGTATATACGCATAATACAACTGATCTTTATGATTTCTTAACGTGACATAGCTTCTTTTCCCCCTGCAAACAAAAAAGAAAACAAGGTTATTTAATAAAAGAATCATGCGACAAATAATCATTGTGATTCAAATTGATGCAAGGATTTTTTTGAATAAGCAATGCTTTTCACCAGAATCTTCTTTGTAAAAATAACTTTTACAAATCTCAGCCATGCAAATCTGCCACTGTGTTGTAAGATCACTTTCAGATTAGGAGAAGTGTATTCTTTAATGAGTATTTTACATTGAATGGAACGTCTCAACTCAGTAAGCATGGCTGAGATTTGTAAAAGTTGTTTTTACAAAGAAGATTCGGGTGAAAAGCATTGCTTATTAAAAAAAATCGTTGCATCAATTTGAATCACAATGATTATTTGTCCCATGATTCTTTTATTAAATAACCTTGTTTTCTTTTTTGTTTATTCAAACAAATATTCGCATCAATTTGAATCACAATCATTATTTGTCGCTTAATCCCTTTTAATGACCTTGTTTTCTTTCTCGTTTGCAAGGAGAGAAGAAGATATATCACGTTAAAGACATCATAAAGATCAGTGTTGTATGCGTATATATTGTATACACAGGCCAGTAACAGCTATGTAGCTTGTAAATTTGTAAGAGGGAAAATGCCGCAAAGAAAGTCAAGGCAGCCCCCAAGAAAGCGAAGAAGCCAGTAAAGAAAAAGACTGAGAAGAAAGAGAAGAAGATAAGAAGAAATGATAATGATGAAATAGCAAATAATTGAGGAGTATCAAAGGTACCAATTCAATGGATATTTGTATAAAAAAGAGCCCCCGTCAGTACTAAAAGAGCCCCCGTGAGAAGGCTCACAGGGGCTCTTTTTTTGGGGGGGGGAAGAGCCCCCGTGGACAAAAAATTAATTTGAGCCCTGGTTAACAGTAGAATGTTGAACATGAATGGCTGATGTTGATCTTGTGACTGATAATGAATCCTATTCAGTCCTTTAATATTGTCATCTCATCAGCAAGGGAATGTCAATGAGTAAAAAACAAACATGTAAGTTGCATCTCATTGTTCCTTCTCCTTCCTACAGCCCTGTTCAAAGCAACAACATTCCACTCATGCGTATTGTGCAGTCTGTGAAACATACTAAGCGAAGAGGATCACAAGTCCTGAAGGAAGGATGGATGGTCCATTACACGGACAAAGATAGCATGGTAAGGTCATCCAGGTGTCCTGCATAATCATGTTCACCCTTGGTCCAAATTGAAAGAAGTAACACCTTTGTCACACCAACAAGACCGACACCAGACCGAATACAGCATTAAATAACTGCCTTTGCGAAGAATCATTTTGTTGGTTTAGAAGTTTGGAGTTGGTTGGTGTTGTGACTGAGGTATAAGGCCTTGCTGGATCCCTTTGGATGTTTTAGATTACCAAAGCAAAATCAGATGCTGAAAGTATGCATTGACATATTTTTGTTGGTCTTAATTGAAGGAAATATGTTCTTGTAGCATCCAAAGGGCTGATTTTGGAGGATCAAAGGTTTTAAAGGTTGAAATTAGGTATTGATATACTTATTAATGCTGTATGAGAGATTTCGCTCCTTGTGTTTGTTCGTTAAGTCCCCAACATTTAGTATTAGCACCAAGTGTGATACACTGGCAAGATCCCTGTCGTGGGATCAAAGCCTAACAAATCATTCTGTCCACCAACAATTGTTGATATAGTTTAGCATTTCAGTCTGATGGATCTATAAATTAAATTGATAGTCAAGTTTTCATAGTGTCAGCCCCCCTCCCCCTGTAAAAAATATAATGATAGAAAGGAAACTGTCAAGAAATTATACATTTTAATATTAAAGTGCCCTCTAAGGCATTCTGTGAACCGGGTTTTTGCAGCCTTATTGTGAATTCACTCAGCTTAAAAAGAAAAATCCTCATAGTAGATATGAAATATTGTAGTCACAACATCCACAAAACTGGACTTCATCTGCACAATGATCTGAGATTTACCTGTATACATAATACTTGTATATTTCATATCATGACACGATGGGTTTGTGTATGGTATCTATTTTCTTTTTTTCTCTCCCTATTTGTTGAATTAATGAGCCTTAGTGAAAACAAAATTGTGAAGCATGCATCTAATGACCTTCTGATTTTATTTGTTTGTGTGTCTGGAAGAGATATCAATACGTCAAAAAAAGTTGCTTTTGACATTTGAGATGACAAAAGCTTTGCTCACAGATTGTAAGGTTTCACAAGGTTCTTACTAAGATGATTGATAGCAGGGAAATTGAATAGACAAGCCAGCAACCAGAGGGAGGAAGAGGGGTCTGGGGTTGTGTAGGGCCCCTTGGGGAATGGGGAGGGGTCATTGGACAGCGCCCCTGATGGGGAGGGGTTCAGGTAGGGTGTTTCTTCAAGACGACCCAAGGAAGGTGCGATGTTCGTTAGCGTTAGATTAAAAAGTATTGTAAGGAAAGCCGGCACTGCTTTCATGGCTCTTTGGTGGCTTTACTTGTTATTTTGCTGACATGAAAATAGCAATATTGGCAGCTTTATCAATAGCAGGCAACAATCAAATGTCTGGCTTCAAATAAAGATGTTGCAATGTTTTGTATGTTTCTCTCCCACAGCGCAAGAGACATTACTGGAGAATAGACACTAAGGCTATTACTCTGTACCAGAGTGAGAGCAGCACCAGATATTATAAGGTATGTACAATAGGCATGAAGTCACTTTCTAAACCCCTCAAAATGAGTTTGGAAACTCAGGTTTGATTGATTATATATCTCTTTTTATGGCATCATCATTAATATGTTTAGTATAATTAGAAAGTGTGTTTGTTCCCCTTTAAAATGATATCCTGTTTGTTATTATTTTTCAGTCATGGAATGCGCATTACATCAAAATAAGGGGCAATGTCAAAAGCAAAATTGTTGCAAAATGCACTGCATAACAATACTGGTGCTTACCACTGCATTTTGTAACTTTTCACTTTTGACCCTGTCCCTTATTTTGATGTACCGCTCCCTCCATGGCTGCAAAATCATAACAAATATGGTATAATTTTAAAGAACAATGATCATATATACCGTAGGTTAGCGGTTGCACCATGTGTGAGAGAGAGAGAGAGGTTTGAGGAGTCCTGAAAAGGACTCTGACTCGGTAATCTTTCTTGGAGGAGTGTAGTCCTGAAAAGGACTGTTTGTTATCTTTCTTAGCATATAGTTCTCAGGAGAACTAGAGCGCTTGGAGAGGATGAGTGGCTCGACGTTTCGAACAGGTTGACTATCCGTCATCCTGACGACGGATAGTCAGACTCCTCAAACCTCTCTCTCTCTCTCACACATGGTGCAACCGCAAACCTACTGTATATCTACATCACCATGCAAGCCGACACTTACGATGATCATATATTCCAATCATACTAAACAAAGCGATAATTATGTCATGACAAGAAAGATATAAACTTGAGTTTCCAACTTTTTTAAAGGGGTTTATGTGTAGTCTGTGTATTTAAATTTATAGTGATCATAGAGTACTAGTTCTGATCTGGCTTGTGTCTCATATTTCAAGGAGTTTTCTTCCAACCATGACAATTAAAACTGATTTAAATAAGCTCATTTTTTTCTTCAATAAAAAGCAATAGCAAACAGTGCATTTAACAGGTGTATGTCTTTGTAACTTAATCTGGTGTCAAAAAGCATGAGCAGCTGTTTAGCCATCCGCAGAGGGCTCTTGTCCTCTCTTAATGTTCATACCTCCACAAGTATTTAAGATGTGCACTATTTAAGAATTGTTTATCAGTATACAATAACCTTAGTGACATGTATCACAAGGGGTAATTAGATTGAAACAACTTGGGGATAATGTTTTATTAGATCATGGGATGCAACTCTTAGAACTGTGATATCTTTAAACTTCTGAGGACAAGCTGTAACCTTAGTGCCATTTAGCATGAGAGTTAATGAGGTCAGGATCAGAGGTCAATGAAAATAAACACTTCTCATTCCATGTCCTGGTAAGTTAGTGGTCCATCGAGCAAAGGCAATGTGTACTCAATCAGGGCTGGGCACTGAAAGGAGTGTGACTCTTGGCATGAAGATTAAATTTCAAAATGTAATCAGATGCTCTGTGTTTTTATAACCACCCCCCTCCCCCCCCCCCCCCCAAAAAAAAAAAAAAATCAAGAACAAAAAGTAAATAATTATAAACTAAAATGAATGTTAGCGGATGCATACTTTAAACTTGGATGTAGTTACCAAGTTAAAAATAAACCTGTCATTGCTAATATTTCTGTCATATGTTTCAGGAAATTCCACTGTCTGAAATCCTGTCTGTGAGGATGGTGAAACCATCTCAGGATGGGAGTGGTAGTGGTAGCAGCAGTAGTGGTATGGGCATCTCCGGGCTGGTAGGAGGAGACGGATTCAACTCCACTCACTGCTTCGAGATACAGACTGCCAAGACAAACTACTATGTGGGCGAGAGAGCTTCACTAGGGGATAGCAGCTCCGAGAAGGGGTCGGGAGGCAGTACCACCTCCAGCTCCAAACTGCCTGTGCCATCGAGCTCATCGGTGGATGAGGAGCCTGAACAGAGCTGGGTCGGGGCGGATGTGGCCAGAGATTGGGAACAGAAGATCCGGCAGGCCCTTATGCCTGTCACTCCTCAGCAAAGTGGCACTAGTATCACTAGCACTTCTAGTCCAAGTAAGTATAACAAGGATGTTCAACCAGTGGTACCTGATAGCTGTAACCTTCATCTTCATTGGAAACATTCATTTTATACTAATCATGGGACATAAATATAAACCCAAGATGATCATCAGATTGAAGAGATTTTGTTGATTTACATTCAGGCTATGTCTATACATCATCGTGATATCGCTAGAAAACATAGAAAATATGTAAGGGGATTACTGTTTTTTATCTGGTGTTGAAAACTCTAGTTCATCTTTCAGCAAACTAAATATAATCATTACTTCGTTAAACCAAAAACTGAAATCATGATAATTTCCATGGCGTATGTACAGAAGATTGTTTAGGATTACATCGTGAGCACATGCAAAAATATTTGTTCTTGATAGATTTCAGTCTAAAATGAAAGAAGTAAGTTCCCCCTGAGCAACTCTTCATAAATTTTGAACTGCAAAGTTTTGAACATCTGTACCTAGAAGGGACTGTGCCTGTGGTTGCATTGTGTGAAAATCAGAGGTTTCGGTCATGCTTGAATGAGCATGCTTTAATAACAAAATAGCAACATTTCAAATTCACAAGATTGAAGCCATTTCTTTAGTATCCTGAGAGACGGTTATATTTAGAATGTTAGTGATGTGTGTTTGTATTTGGCTAGTTAATGATCTCTTGATACCCTCTTGACCTTGAATCAAATATTTATGGTTGACGGGGCAAAACTTAAGAGAAAACATAACTAAGACTAACATTTTACTGAGGTAGTGTCATTACTACAGTTTCATTGAGGAAACAGTTTGCATGTTCTTGTAAATATCACTTTTAAGGACACTACTTAGGTAACATTTTAGTTTTGTTATGTTTCCTTTAACTTGTTCTCGGTCATCCGTGAAATAATGATTCAAGGTCAGCATGATGACTGGAGATTAACAAGTTCGTTGCATACACAGTGCCGACCGTCATGAATCTGACTATCTCTCAGTACACTAAAGAAATGACATCCTTCTTTTGAATTTAGAGATGTAGTTATTTTGTCTCCAGAGTGTGTTTATTCAAGCATGACTTGATGGATATCTCTGATTTTTACACAAAAAATTGCAAGAGAACCCTGGCTGTCTGTCCCTTTTAGGTACATTTGTTCAAAACATATGGTTCCAATATTATGAGGAGTCGCTGAGGGGGGAACTTACTTTTGTATGTACTGTATTCATAATTTAAAAGCTCTATACATGTTTTTATTTTGATAAAAGAATAAAGAAGCTATTTGCACAAAGTCTTCCTCATTGTGAATAGATTAAAGGGCTTTTTTAGCATTGAAGTGAGATGTCATGTAAGCACTATGCCCCCCCCCCTCTCTCTCTCTCTTTCTCTCTCTCTGAGCTGCTCTTTTTATCCCATGAGCAGGTTGCTTGTGCTGTTGAATTATCTGACTATGTGAAATTCATGTGATAAGTTGTAGAGCTCTTAGTTTAGTGTAAGTTATTTGCACTGGGTTACAGCTTGGCCTGTAATTTCATACATGTGCACTCCATCACATACATTGAATACATGTGGAATTTTAGAATGCGATGTTGCTCCATTATCAATAGTTGTCAGCAAAAATACTAGCAATAAAATATGTATGGCTGTGTGTCTCTTAGATTCTTAAGAAAAAAACTATCCACATAATACCAAGTTTGTAACTTGAAGAAAAAACAGTTTGCTTCAAAATTAATTTTGAACTTGAGCCTTGAATCCCATTATATTGCTTGTTTAAAGAAGAAAAAGTATTGTAGCAAGTGCAGGTACATGTAGCAGTCTCATTTAGATGATTGTGAGAAATATATGTTTGATTGCTTAGCCTTCTTTCTGTGGTTCATTTCATAAAGCAAGAATAATACATTCTGGAGGGTGATTTGCTTGTCGTCCTCTGTTTTGTGCTTTCGATTGGTGGAATAGAATTATTGTTCCTCAACTATTCATTGTAAATGACTATCGCTGCACTGAGCTAGTGAGCTTTGTATTAGATTACTCATTGTTTTCTTCACCTTTTTATTGAGTCCTGCTGATGCTGCTTCGTCAGACATTGCTGTGTATTAAACAAAGCTCTCTCTCTCTCTCATTCTCTCTCTTTTGAGATGATGAAACTACTTTTGACTGAGCCGTATCTGTACATGTTGAGAATACTTTTCTCTTTCGCCGTAAAAATTCTACCATAGTACAATATACATGTAGCCACAAGAAAATGAAAATGAAAATGATACATTTGAAATGAAAAAGGAGTTTCATATATTGATATATATATATATATATATATATATATATATATATATAAACCAAAAATGGGCGAGGAAAGGTAGTGGAGTTTACTCCAGCTATATAACTGATTTATTTGTTGACTTTTGTTTGAATCTTAGCATACCTAATGAATAAAGTTTGAACAGTGTTTTACCATGTGGTATTGTACTTGATGCGAGATGAATTGAGTACTATATATTGATTAAGCAGCAATTATTTCAAAGCTCGTTTGGTGTGGAAGATGCTCCTAATATTTGAGAACTTCATAATCTGTCTATGTAAAGACAGGGTCGGCTTTTTTGTGAGGATGATGCATACTATAATCATCCCATGAACTTACATATATATGATTTGATGCCAGTGCATGAAGAAATTGCGTCAGTTCACCTCGTCTACGTCCATGTTCTTCAGTACTTTCAACTTCATCCTGGCTGATTAGTGAATCTAAAGCTTTCTCTCTTTTAAGACTCTTTCTGTATGTCAAAAGCACTGCTTTTCTTGTTAAATGTCAATGCAAGTGAAGTACTGCACAAATTACAGCTTTGTCAGTAAATACGCTGTTCCATCGCAACCTACATAAGTACTTACCACTTTATATTTTTTAAATGATCATTTCTTGGATCTTAAAGACTTAAAGTATTGCAAAGATGTAATGTGGATATCTCTCACAGATGTCACTAGAGGTGTGAAGATATTTGTTTTGTTATGGAATATGTGATAATCAAATTTTTACAAAAGTTGCAGTATGTGAATGCTCATGAAATTTCTGATATGTGTATCTTTCAGGAAATGATTCTGTAATACAAATTCCCAGAGGTTATAACCCCCATCATCGTCAAGAGCGCAAAGAAGGTAAAAACAAGAACAGAATTTAGAGTGGTGCTTTGCTTGCTAACCCGGTATCATGGTGACTGCTAGAGTAGATAGAGGGAACCCTCCAGACAGGTGCTCACAACTAGCTCAAGAATCAACTTATAGGGGGATGCAATGTTAGGCATCTGGTTATTTATGGATCTGCTTTTGTGACTTAAAAGGGGAAATCTGAAATTTAGTCAATAATTGAGCAAACATGGAAATTTGTTCTTAGAATTGGGAGCATGAGCATGATATATTACTATTTTTCAGATTGTGAGCAGATTGTAAACATCTTTACCATTTCATTACTATCATCAATTTGAAAAATAACAGCAAAGTATAGAATATCAAATTGGGAGAGAAAGACTGCAAATTGTTCAAATAGAGGTCAATATTTTGCATGTTCTGTGCCAAATCAGCTTCTCTTATGCCTGGTATTTGAAATGAGCATGTATTCTTAAAAACAACTGCCTGAATTGTGCATTGCCTGTATGACAGCCCAAATCTAAAGCAATGAAATGAGAAATGCTTATCAGGCTTTGATATATGTAAGGTTGTATTAAGAAATGAAGCATTAAACTTCCCAACTTTAAGAAAGAGGATTTATCTAAAACTTAACAATGGAAAGCATTGAGATACCTCTATAATGAACAAGCAGAGTGGTTAATTACTAAAGAAGCTGGTACTACCAACATTGTACTGGTATCAATCATCCAGTGATTTCCCTTGAGACTTTGCATGCATTGCATCTTGCCACATTAGTCTTTTGACTTGGTCATTACAGTTGAAAGAAAGAGATGATCTAAATGGGTTTCCTTGATAAAAGAGTGTAAATTGCTACTATCCCCTAAACCATGGTGAACCAGGATCTCCTTATTAAGTACATTGAACCACTTCCTTTTATGATATTGAAGTGACAGCAGACCCAGAGGATACACAAAGCACTTATTCTACCACCAGTAGCTTGTACCCATCCACCTGGTATAAAGGCAATTCAAACAATAGGGGTCTATTTACATTGTCAATTGACTCATTAAGTAGCATGGGCTTTAGAGAGGTAACCTGATTGGTTGAATGAATATACACACCTATCTATCTACTTCATTTATATCCTATTCATTCTAATTTCATCTCGGCTACTCTAACTCATGGTTACTCTGATTCTAACTACACTTGCATTTACACCTGCATATTGACTTAAGCATATTTATCAATCATGCGAAGATTCTTTGGAGCAGTCGATCTGATCATTTAATCTTTGAGTTTCAAGAATAGAATACACTTCAGGACTTGATCTTGGGTTTGGTTGTTAGGTGTTACAGCAAATATACAACATTTCTCTTGAATATTATCAGGACTATACTAATATCTTATTTAACTAACTGATGCTGTGAGAAAATTATTTGAAGATGCTTGGATATGCTGATAACCATGGTCCGTCTCTGACTAGTGACTATTCTAGCAACTACTGTGTGCCTTCAAAGGTCATTGCCAAGCCTCCATGGAGCAGTTTCAGAAGGTCAGAGAAGTCATTTCCAGTCAATACCAGAGATCAGTACCTTCCTTGCATCTGGTGTAGTCAGTCACATGTTGTTGATCATCAGTTCTGCCTGGAAAAATTCAACAGCAACACCTTGCAGAACTTCAGAAATCTTTCTCTGGAACGACAGGTCCAGAATGAGCATTATCTTCAACATGGCAGTCTTCACAGTCAGTTTTCCCAGAAGCAATCCACAAGGAATCAGACAACGCAGGTGCAACACACTGCTAGCGCCTGTCAGGTTAACACAACGAATGAGAAACAGATGTCCGGCTGGCATACATTGTATCCAATTTGCAATGAGAATTTGTTGAACATTAACCGCAGACAGCATGCTCCATCTAACTACCACAAGACAAATACTTCCAGCCCTCTCTATCACCTTGTATCCACTAGTCAATCTCTCTTTCAGGATTCTTATAAGAAACCCACTGCAAGAACTAACTATATCAACCATTCAAATTGTTCCTCCTCCTATCAAGGTCCAGTGAATGCCACAGAAAATGGAGATGATTTCCCCGCAAAGGTCTCAGAGCCATCTTTTCTCAACAAACGAGAAAATAACGACATCAGTCAGCACTACCAGATCTTCCCAGATGAAATCTTGGGATCAGGACAATTCGGAATTGTTTATGGAGGTAAAAATTTTCTCACTTGAAAAAAAAGAAGATGTATGCAGAAAATATATCGTTGGGCTACTAAATTCCAGCCTTGAGATATGTTCAAATAGATGTAGGACTTAATAGAATGTGTCAAGAACTTGACATGTCATATTTTTTATTTATCACCTGTAATGTTCATTTCAAACATTACAAAGGGTTTATTTGTGTACATTTTAAAAACTTGGTCATTTAAAATCTTTAAAAAAGGGTGTTAAAAAAAAGTCTATTGGGTGAAATTTAACTTCTTTTGCCACCTCAAATGCTGAATTTTCAAATGGTTTACAAGTCAGAACTGTGCAGCAAGTATATGTTAATTTTAAGTGTGTTAGTTGATGTGATATATTATTGTACCCACTTCATTGTCTCATTTGTTCAGGTGTACACAGAACTTCAGGAAGGCAAGTGGCAATCAAGGTTATTGACAAGTTTCGCTTTCCAACCAAACAAGAAACTCAACTCAAGAATGAAGTGGCCATCTTACATGTAAGTCTGATAATATAATATACAGTCATCAAATATATACTGTATAAAAATTTGGCAGAATCATTTAGGCCAAGATGTGATTTGTAATGAATCACATACTGTATTACCATGTATAAAATCAAATTTAGTCATTGGAATGACTTCTGTATCCATGATGATCATATCAATATTTAATGCTATACGAGACATACTCTTCACTTAAGCATTCCATGGAAATATAATTTTAGTGCTGTAACTACTAAAGCATCCTAGTTGACGAATGTTGATATTATATGAACTTTATAAAGAGGTTTATAGTGAATTAGCCTAAAATATGATATATATATTTTTTTTAGACATTGCTGTACCATACGTATAAGATTGAATCTGTAGAATGCTTTCTGGTCACCTGTTTGTTATCACCTAATCCATGGTCATTCTTGGCTTTGTTTTTCTTGACTTATTGCTTTACTGTATGGGCAAAACTATAATCTACTCTCACTAATCTTTAAATCTATGAAGCCCTTCGTTACCGGTATAGATTTTGGCTTAAGTTAGGTTGATACCCAGACCTATCATGAACAAAATCCTTTTGTTCTTGTGCTCTGTGACATAGATTGTTTTGTAAAGAGCGAATTGAGCTGTGTTTTAAAGACATTCAGGATACCCATGTCCTAATGAATGGGGTGCTCTTCTTTCTTCAGAGATTAAGCAACATAACCTTGATAAAGGGAGTCAGAATAAGTGGTCTGCCTGGTGTCTTGGCAGCTCATCTCTCTCTAGGAGAGTTGTATGGAGAGTGAGTTTAGGGGCTGATTGGAATTATTATGAGCAAAAAGAAATCTAGAACTACCATAATATGATATCCTTCATTTTATTATGTAGAGGGGAATGTTTGTATTGATTAAGATCATCCAACTGCGTATCTAAATTCTTGATGGAAATTGTTGATGAAACTAAATACTTTATCCATTTCTACCCTTGTCTTTTTCTTTCTTTCTCTCCTTCTTGTCCAACTCTTTCTCTCTCTATCTCCCTCTCCCTCTCTCTCCATCTCTCTCTCTCTCTCTCTCTCTCTCTCTCCATCTCTCTCTCTCTCTCTCTCTCTCTCTCTCTCTCTCTCTCTATCACACTCCTATATTCCCTTCTGCATGCAGAAAGTGCGCCATCCTGGTGTGGTGAACCTAGAGCAGATGTTTGAGACTCCAGAGCGTGTCTTCGTTGTGATGGAGAAGCTCAAGGGTGACATGCTGGAGATGATCCTGTCCAGTGTTCATGGCAGACTCTTTGAGAGGGTCACAAGGTTCCTCATATCACAGGTCAGATAATACATATAGCAAACTCAATGGGTTAACTTCTTCTCATGTATGGAATACAAAATGGTAATTTTTTTCAACTGATACAAAGTGCCTTTATTCTGTAAATACATTGATAAAACAAGATCATGTAATCATTAGATATGAATGTGTAGAATGGAACATTTATTGAGAATAACATGCATTCATATCAAACCAGATCTCACATATTTGGTGTTTACTTTCTGCGACAGTGCTCTTTGATCAAATTTGTGTGTGACATTAAATCAGATATACAAAAGCAATACACGTTTTTCAAAGATAATGATTTTCATAAAAAAACATATACCAATTTGTTGTCAGCCATATAGAAGCAAGTTTGTGCTTGTGATATTTTATATGGCTTTTTTCACAGATTTTTAATTTTGCTCTTTAATGTTTTCAGATCTTGATTGCCCTGAAGTATCTACACTCTAAGAGTATCGTACATTGTGACCTCAAACCAGAGAACGTTCTACTCTCATCAGATGGGGATTTCCCTCAGGTGAACTAATCAGTTTCTAAGTTTATTTCTTAATCATCTGTTTTCAATGTGCAAACATTAGCAAAATTATTATACACCACTTACCATCTATTCATAATATGTATCTGATCCCTCAGTTTTATGCCCCCTCCTCCCTTATAATTGAATATCTTCAGTGACTTAAAGAGACTCTTTAGTTTATCATGTACTTTATAAATGTATTTCTATATAGTATTTATACCCTTTTAGCATATCTTTATTGTATAAATCTCCTCTTATGCAGCTCAAGTACCAGTATTAGGATATACTTGTGTTATCTCATTCCATTTCTTATGTGTTGTTTGTTTTTTATGCTACAACAGGTGAAACTTTGTGATTTTGGTTTTGCTCGTATCATTGGTGAGAAATCATTCCGGCGCTCGGTGGTAGGCACCCCAGCCTACCTGGCCCCAGAGGTGCTTAGGAGTAAGGGGTACAATCGCTCGCTAGACATGTGGTCTGTTGGTGTCATTGTCTATGTCAGGTAAGCACTGCATTTTTGCACAGCATCTTTAATAGGCATATGTAGATAGAGCCATTACAAAGAACATATTGTCATATCATTAAAACTTGATTTTTACCACTTTAATAACCCTTACTTGGAGTTAAGGAATAAGCTATATGATGCAAAAGATGATAGAATTTACTATGTACACTTTCAAACAGTCAAATAATCCAGTCCCTGATTCATAAAATGTATTACTAATTACTGGTCAAATACATCAATTTTTGTATATCGGCTTGTATTCGGATCTGGTCATACTGAATGACAGTTATATAACTCCAGCTGATATTCACATGGCATGTGCAATTGATTATAACTTCTTTTGTAGAACACTCATTCCTTTTTCCCTATAAGTGAGCATGTGTAATGATAATTGCATTCATGTGTTTCCTTTTTCATCTCCCACAGTTTGAGTGGTACATTTCCATTCAACGAAGATGAAGAGATCACAGATCAGATCCACAATGCAGCGTTCATGTTCCCACCCAACCCATGGAACGAGATATCAGAAGGAGGTGAGTTCACATTGATCATAGCATTCTACCATAGACCAGATTACAGATATATCCCAATATATCGGTGTTTCTCCTAGAATCCAATGGTGGCAAACTGTTTAATTTCCCTGTTGAGTTTGGTAACATATCTAGGGGTGGAGTCTGAGGGTTACATGTATTTGGGTGCTATGTCAGGGAATGCTCAATAAGCTTCACATTGTGGAGAGCATCTTTTGTATTGAATCTAAGTTCTGCAATAAAACATTCTATTGGAAGTGACCCTTTCTGCAGAAGTAGAAAGATTTTTAGTTACACCAAGAGTCATCTTATCACATCAACAGTATCTTGTTGTGCATTTTAACTATTGTTGCATTTTGTTGTTAGAATATGAATGTATTATGGAAGCTTTATTTGAAATGTCATGTTATTTGTTATTGAAGCTTTGGTGTATTTTCACAAATCCTCTGTCAACTCTTTATCTTCTGCAGCCATTGATCTCATACGGAATCTCCTGCAAGTCAAGATAAGGAAACGCTACACAGCAGACAAGTCTCTAGCACACCCATGGTTACAGGTAAGCAAAACATGGACAACTTTGACAAAACCTCAAATTTTGAATGTAATTTTCTTAAATCCCCTTTGACAACACACTCAGAAAAAAAATTCAGGTGGATGTAAACCGGGGCATATTACAATGCTATCTAAAAAATTGAGCTAAATTTGTTAGCTAATTTTTTTTCTTTCTAAAAACAAAATGAAACCAGCCTAGAGCTGTGATATTGTGTCTTTGATTTCCAATGTTACATGATATAGTCTTTGAATTCATACAAATGATTTCCCAATTGCAGGATTATCAAGTATGGCTTGATCTACGTGACCTGGAGACAATAGTCGGCTCACGCTACCTGACCCATGAAAGCGACGATGAGCGATGGAGTGCCTACCAGCAGGCACAGTTGGGTGCAGGTAACGACCCCGCACCAGGAGGGAATTCCCCGGACAACAACTCAACCCACCTACAACTGAGTCCCGTCAGGCACATGGACCGTGTTAGCACTCTGTGATCACCCATCTTTATGGAATCAAGCGAAGCTTAGCTTTGGAAGAGCACCAGTGTGCCACACATGTCTATGTGCTCTCTAGGATTTACGCTTTCAGTTACTAAAGAATTATGAGACTAGTCTCTTTTGTGTGTGGACAAACCTGTAGTGAAGCCATCATACACTTTCAATTAGAGCAGAGATGTTCAGTCTGGGTCATATCGTAGGTACCCCATCTCTCTTGAAGATAACTTATATCACAAAGGATATGGACTCAAGAAAACATAGCAGTGAGACAGCAAATCTCTGTATTAGATGTCTACGTAAAACCAGCACGATTGAAAACTTCCGAGCATCAGTATTGGACACAAGCTACTGGTATAGAATCTCTTTCAAACAGGTCATCCTTCAATTAAAGCATGACAACTATTTGAGGTACCAGGAAGATACATGAAGAAAGCCCACCCTTGTTAGTCCTTCAAACAAGCAGGGTGCTTCTATTTTTGTGCTGTGGAGGATTGTGCTTCACCTCTCAAGTGTCAGAAAGAAGAAAGTTCTGTCCTCAAAGTCTTTGGTTCTTCACGCCTGGCATAGCTGTCTAAATATCATTTTCTCTTATTTATACCACATGGATATAGATTGTGTTTCAGCCAGTACTGTATATACCTACATCTCCTCCTCCTCCTCCCAACAGTGATTTCACATTTGACTGTGGAATAGGATTCATCGTTGATGAGCACACATCATTCTTTGACCTAGATGAGAAACCAGTGATTATTTTGTGTAGTCAGCCAGCAATGCTTGATTGCATGTTTCACTCACTGTCAGGAGTAGCTACCAGGAGAACATAAACCGATATTTATCTGCATATTTTTTGTGTTGAAGAAATTGAAGCCTCAGAACAATATTCCTTGCCAGAGTCTCTGTTGGTTTGGACTCAAATGGAAACTATATATATATTTATATGTAATTTTTTTGTTATAGTTTTTGTTTTTTGTTGATGGACTTGAAGACAGAAGTGTATACAACTCAAGATATGATTGCCAACTAGATGCCAAGCAATGACACAACTGGTCTTTGCATTGAAATTTAGCCGCCTTTATCAGCAAAAATGAATACCGGCTTGTTGAAAGGAAACAAACATGAGATCGATGGATGCATTAGATACAGAGAAGTGGCTGTATTTATTCAAAATACATTTTGTCCATCTCCGAAAACAGTGCAAATCAAGTCAGGGGAATATAGTTATATATACATCACTGCGCCGGAAGTTTGACAGACATAGCTGTGTGCCTTCGCAAAAAAAATTATTCGTAAATGGACCTCTGCCACTGGAGAACGTTGAGCAATGACTACAAGACTTACATATTAACACAAACAAAATAAGAAACATAAAACACAATGTATCATCACCCATGATTGAAAAGTATTTGAACTGAATCATCGATGGCTTTGTAACAATGGAGATTGGTTTTTATGGATGCCTACTTGATGTATTTCGCACAAACTTGAAGCGTGCATAAAAGGTTCGCACAACCACAGAGCAAGAATGGAAGCGGGACAAATTGCGGATAAACGGCACCAGTTGGAAGAATAAGTTTTCTTTCCCTTTTTTAAAAGTCGGTGAAATCTTTCAGTGTCACATTTTAAACATTTTTTTGTGCAATATATAATCCCTCATAAGACAAAATGTGAGGGTTTTATGCTGATGTAGAGTGTAGTAAATTTTTGTGTGTATGTAGAATTGAGTGTATGATATTATTATCAGGAAATATGGTCAAAGCATATTAGGGAGTTGACAAGTTGGTATAATGTTGTGTTCTTATCTGTAAATGGTCAAAGTATGCACACATTTTTCCTTCATTTTTATTGTTTTTTATATAAATTAGTGGTTTTATTGAGTGTTGCTCATATTTTGTTGGTCGCATTTGGTAATGAGATGAAGAATTTAATCAATTTTGTTAATTTGTGAATTTGTGGCATAAAATACAACCCTCCCCTCTTCTTACACCCCATAAATCTCTGTTGAGTATAATGTATTGTTGGATTTGATTGTGTGGTGATTGTACGACATCTCTCATTAAAAAGCTGTATAATTGGAATTTAGCTGTGTGATGTAAAATTTTATGCTAACCGTTCATGAAGACATGACTCTTTCTGTCAAAACCAGGCATATTTTACAATTTGTTTTAAAAGAAAGTATGGCATTTTGAAGGTACAACTCTTAAGAAATTTAATTAGATATATTTGTATACATATAAAGATTGTGATATGAAAGTTTTCTGTGATTGTTCTCTTTTTGCTTGAGAATTTAAAATTGAAAAGAAAGGATCACTTTTGTGGCAGAAGTCTAGTAGCAAACATCTTTACCGGTACATCCTATTGAGAAGAGTATTGCTGGGATGCTGCAGTCTACAAACTCCTGGTTTTGAAAGAAAGAATCACTTATATTGTTCTAGGACACTTCTTTTGTTGTGTTGTAGAACTTGTGACAGAGAATACTAGTGGAGAAAGAAAGGAGAAACGATTGTATTTTGCATTATTGAATGAGATTGACACTTTCAAAATTTGATATAGTGGCATCATGACAAACACAGTAATCTTTGAATCTTCTGAGATTTTTATGGTTGTGTATAGACATTGGTATTCAATGTCCTACGTGTAATTCTTACCCCAAAGTTATACCATGTTAAAATTCTCTCCTTTCTAAATTAGACATCAGTTTTGTGTCTTCAAAATAAGCACACAGAACATGAAGCTAATGAAGAACTTTAATAGTAGTAGATAAAATATTGTGCATTTTTTTTATATAAAAAATCCAGTTTTAGTATTATTTGCCTTTATCACTTATTATTTACTCTATGCAATTATGTGGTTTAAATTGCATATTTAGAAGATGTAGCTGCAATGTACACATATTTTAAGATATTGAACTAGAAAGGAGGTATAATGTTTAATTCAACTCCCATGTTTATCTATCACCCTTTTAGTTGATACAATTTTGTTTTTTATAAATAGGATATGGTCAAAAGGATTGTAGCCTCCTATATTATGAATTATTTACCAGACTATTTAATGATGCGCCCAAAAGTGATTTCAATTTGATGTTTTATTGGGTATTTCATTCAATTGATATTACAGTATAAGGGCAACAAATCCTTAACATAAACTCCTTTTATAGCAACTTCATACAACTCAGATTAGTAATCATTTGGAGAAATAATGCAATGACTATCATTCATAGATAGAGGTTATTTTTTCTGTCATTTAACTGTACGCATATGATTGGTACTCTCAACTTGAGGTCCAATTATTTCATAATGCTTGCCCAAATAACAAGTTTTCTTGCCTAGGGAATTTGCTCATATGGAATACACAAATGAGAAATATGATTTGTATTTTTGTATTCTTACGTCATATGAAGGTAAAACTGATAAGTCACATTATGAAATCAATTTAATTTTGATAACGGGTCTTTCATTTTCAATTTATTAAATGGATTCTTTCAGTATTTTTTAGAATTGTAATGTATTGTATGCTCAGATTAAGAAACTTTTTAAGATCAAAGGCACTCTAGTAATTATGCCTCAACTCAAGGACTTCATATCTTTGAAAATTATCAAATTAAGCAAAAACTACATTGAGCAAAATCAAATGAAAGAAAAAAACATTTAGTGAAAAAACATGATCAGGGAGAGTAAAATATTAAGTAAGCTTTTTTGGTTGAAAGCCATTATTAAAAGCCATCACTGATAGTGGTGTCTCTAAAACCATTAGCTTTATGTCTTAATTAATCTAGAGATCATGCATACCAAATTGAACAGAAACATTTGAATATTACAATATGATGTAACTTCTTTTTGTAAAGTAGATTTGTCCTCCGAAGTTAGCAGATATGTTTTGTATATTAGAGTTTTGTGGATATTTGAAATATTGTGGTGCTCTTCAGTTTGTCAAACCTATTTATTCTACAGCAGAAAGCTATGTATTTCCTATCTGATGTTTTTGACTGAAGTTCCACAAACATTTTTGGTCAATCTGTTGCATGTCCTGAAACTGTTCCCTGTCCTTTGTTCACCAGTGTTTATTGACTTGAACGGCAGCAATGAATAGAGGCTTCTTCAGATATGATGCGGTAAACTGCCAAAAAACAGACTCCATGTTTTATTGTATGTGTATATGAATTGCACCTGCATGCAACAAAGGACTCACTGAGCTCTGTGTTAACAGATACAGAAATGTGAAGCATATTACAGTTTACATCATCTTAAAAGAAACTGCTCTGGTTTTGCTGCATCATATCTGAATGAGGCCTTATGCTTCTTAAAAAGGGGGAAGGGGGCAAGTATTTTCTAGAGAAACTTAAGTTAGACCAAATTTGTGGACATAAAGCACTTTTGTATTATAAATGGAGGTTGAAAGTTACCTTTACTATTGGGGGTAAAAGTATGTATACATTTTAAATGATTTGTTTAGTGTTTGAAAAAACATAGTAAAGTGCCATGGACTAATCAATATTTGGCCAATTTTTACTTATTTTACCATTCCAACAAATGATATACATGTAAGTAGATGCTAGAGATAATCTTTTTTTACATGCAATCTTATTTGGTATGTGTTTGTATGTTTTTATCACATGTTTAAACCTTACCATACGTTTTTTTTTTTGGGGGGGGGGGGGGAGGGGGGATGGGGAGCGGGAAGGACGTAAGATCTGGGTTCCAAAAATGTGCAATTCTGAGTTGCAAAATGAAAGAAAAAAGATAAATGAAGTTTCACAACCATATGCAAATTCATTGCATATGATATATGGTGGAGTTTTCAACATGTTTCTTTGCAAACCCATCCTTGTCTAGATTCCTGCCAGTACATAGTAAACTTCAGAGTCATGGAAACATGAATCTACAGCCAAATTGCTATGTAAAACCTCTCTGATTTACTGTTCTGCTCGATACCCATGTTTAGCATGAATATTGCATTGCTTCTTAGTAATGAGCTTCTGATTTAGTACACAATGTTAAAATTACACTAGTGCTATAAGAAAGGTGTTTGTAGTCTGCACAAAGAAGTTTTGTTTACTAGTGAAATCTCACAACCGAGAAAGGACCATTTATACTGACCATATTTAAATGTTAAATTGTTAAGAATGGATGAGAAATTGAAGAATAGATGATTAATTATTTGTACCAATGCTTTACTTTCTTGCCTGGTTGAATGCTGAATGTATCTAGTTTGTAAGCTGCAAATATATGGAATTCAGCTTGTTGGGTCTTTTTCTTTCTATTAAGGGGTAGACAGTGCAATCTTAGCTTTTTAGTGTTTTGTGTTCCTTTTTCAGTCTCTGTGTATCTTTCAGCTGTCACAATCATGTTTTATTATTAGTCAATTTTTGGACAACATACGCTCAGTGTTTTATGAAGAGAAAGATACCTTGGTCATATTACCATGTTTGGTTTTTGTATTTGGTAGGGTATTATACCATACTATGTTTTATGATGCGGCCAATGCTTGAGTCACAATTTGTACTTTCCGTGATTTATTTTGTATCACTGACGAGTTGTGTTTAAATTCCAAATGCATCTGCTTAAAACTCCTTGAATAATAAAAAGAGAGAAGGTTGTCTCATGCAAAACGAGTTATGTTGTCTTCTTATTGCTTGATTTATGGTTCACTAGTCCAAAGGAAATGCTCAAAATATGGAGTAACCCTCATTAAGGTGTTGCACAGGCAATGGTTGTTGCTCCAATATTTATCCATATCTTAGCATCAACTAGCCTCAAAGTATTATTCTTTCCAAAAAATTTCAGAAACTTTTTACTTTCATGTTAACACATTAGATGAGGGCAGCATAATATATGATGGACATACATTTTCATTCCCCTTGACCCCAACTATGCATCAACACATAGATTAGCAATGCCAACCCACAGAGAAATTCTTTATTTAAAAGAACTTTTAATATGTAGATTCCAACACTCATCATCATGGCTGGACACAAGTCAATTCATTTTAATTAATTTAATCAGAAAAAAGATAACTGTTTTCCTCTATGCATCTAAATACAATATACACCTGCGACTGAAAAAGAGAGGCATGGTACACTCATTTATATACAGTTACAACAATATACATATTGATCTGAATTGGATATCATTAATATGGGCATCAGAAAAGTCTTTACACACTTAAGTATTATTACACGTACAAATTCATAAAAGGAGGAGATTACTTTTGTGATACCCCTCCATAGGCTTAACCTACATGTTAAGAGATCAAGTGCACTACCTGAGTAGTTACAATAGCCCCTTCTCCCATGATAAATTCTTATTGTATTAGTCAAGTCTTATTTTGAGCATACCTATTTGTACCCAGGTAATAGCGTAATCATGCACTTTTAAGAATGCTATCAGTTGCCTGATGATCGCTTGTAAGGAGTGAAACTCAGAGTAGTAACCATGTCCCATTAGTCTGCCTTATTCAATATATTTTCGCTCTGCAGACATTGAGCACTGTACAGAAGGATAGAGCAAACCTAAGTATTTGTATTTACCAATTTCAATAACAAATATCTGGAAGGGCATGTAATGGGAAAACAAAAGTATAGTTTATATTCCACTCTCATGTTAATTCACCTCATGTAACATCTTTTTAGTCTTCCCTTTGAAATATAGGCCTATACTATCATCTTATATCTTACAATTTAAATACCTGTATGGTCTCTGTTAAGGTTGCTTAAGAAAGAATGTAATTCTTAGAAATGTTGAGTACCCACTGTTTATTTTTGGAGGCATTTAATATTGAACTAGTTTAGGATTATTATATGTCACTTCATTTGGAAGACGATTTAAAAAGCTTCAAATGATAGGATGGAAACAACCGAGTTATAATCACAAATAATATAAGTAGAATTTAACATTCAAAAACTTGTAATGCCAATTTTGTTTGACATTTAAAATTGTGCCATTCATAATTCAAATTCACTTGAAAAAAATTAAACCTATAAATATATTTACAACTGGATATTTTGTTTTGCCATTCTGTGCTTGTTTACATTAAAAAAATACATGTTCATGTGTGAAATATACCACTGTTCCCATAGGCACTTGGATAAACTACATAGAGGCATAATATGAAAAAAGCACAGTCAAGCCTGCTTTTAATAATCACTTGTGCATAAAGATCACCCTTTGCTTTCCTTCAATTATGTTTCTCACTGAAACATAAAGACCACCTGTTGACAAAGATTGTTTCTCTTGAGCAGTCTTTATATGAGCAAGTCCAAGCTATTTTGCCCTGTATGTTGTCTACCACTTCTAACATTTCAGCATATCTGATGTCTGTATCAAGCTGATAGCCCTTCTAAAGCTTGAATCAGACAAAACATCAAAAAAGACGATATATTTATGCTTACTCTTTCATAATTCAATTCAATAGTGCTTGATAACGTATGGGATATATACTGGACTTGCTCCTACACAGGTTTGAATGTATGAATCTGAATGACCATAGCTAATGCATTAGCTTTTTAATTCACTCTTTGGACATCCCACATCAATGTCTAATGAAGCCTGATCATTTCATCATTCAGCTTTCTTTGAAGAGAGAGGTAAGAGGACCATCATGACATGATATGCTCTAGGACACCTTGTCTTATAAGAGGCTCACACAGAGATCTCAGTAGAAAATGCTGCAGAAAGAACAGATGGGGAAAACAAAAATGAAATTATAATTATTTCCAACAGATGGAGTTAGACACTGACCATAAAACTGTTGTATCAAAGAAATCTCTCCCCTCCATTAGAGGAGTAAGCATTTTTATGCCTCCGCCACCGAAGGTGGTGCCGGAGGCATCATGTTTTCGGGTTGTCCGTACGTCCGTCCCGTTTGACCGTTATCACAATATCTCAAGAACCATTTAAGATTTAAACTTAAGACTCGGGAATAGTATTTATCACCATAGGAAGACGATCTGATTAGATTTTGGAGTACGTAGGTCAAAGGTCACAGGTCACAGAGGTCGACTTATGAAATTCCTTGTATTGAGTTTGTTAGCGCGATATCTCAAGAACCATTTGAGATTTAAACTTCAAACTTAAGGATAGTATGTATCACCATAGGAAGACGATCTGATTAGATTTTGGAGCACGTATGTCAAAGGTCAAGGGTCACAGAGGTCAACTTATGAAATTCCATACATTGAGATTGTTATCATGATATCTCAAGAACCACTGGAGATTTAAACTTCAAACTTAGTGATAGTGTGTATCACTATAGGAAAACAATCTGATTACATTTTGGAGCACGCAGGTCAAAGGTCAAGGGTCATAGAGGTCAACTTATGAAATTCCATACATTGAGATTGTTATCATGATATCTCAAGAACCACTGGAGATGTAAAAACTTCAAACTTAAGGATAGTATGTATCACCATAGGAAGACGATCTGATTAGATTTTGGAGCACGTAGGTCAAAGGTCAGGGTCACAGAGGTCAACTTATGAAATTCCATACATTGAGATCGTTATCGCGATATCTCAAGAACCACTGGAGAATTTTCATTTCAAACTTAATGATAGTATGTATCACCATATCATAATATCTCAAGAACCACTGGAGATTTAAACTTCAAACTTAATGATAGTGTGTATCACCATAGGAAGACAATCTGATTAGATTTTGGAGCACGTAGGTCAAAGGTCAAGGGTCACAGAGGTCAACTTATGAAATTCCATACATTGAGATTGTTATCATGATATCTCAAGAACCACTGGAGATTTAAACTCCAAACTTGTTTAAATTGCTCTATGGCGGAGGCATCATTTTCGACTGCGCGCAGTCAAAATTCCATCTAGTTTTTCTTGCGATGATCCCCTTCAACAACATATCTTTAAAAATTCTGAAATCAAATTTCACTTCGCTAACCACATTTATCAAACCTTATATATGATAACATGATATTGATTAGCAGGTAATTAAGCACTAATTTGGGTATTCATTCTGGCTTCTGACTTTCCCAAACTTCCTAATTACTCAACTAAATTGTCCTCCCTTTTCACATAAAACACAATATTTTCAAATATATTTTGTGGCCCTCCATAACGATATTGTAACAAAACCTCAAGAGAAAGAGAAGAAAGTGTGAATTACCTGACTATTTTTCTTCAGAACAACTGAACTGCCATCTTCTGACTCAAATTCACCATAATCCATCAAGCACCTTACCTACAAGAGAATAACAACATACAATGTGAAAGGTATATTAATTCCAAGCAAATTGAACAACAAGAAAATGCTTTACTAACTGTATGGCTTCATCATACACTTTTCCTGTAATTCAATCAAGGATAAGTTCATGTCTAGCTTTGTCAAAACAACATACCGGTACACTAACATGCATTGTAAGTTTAATGGAAATTCGTTTCGACTGTGACACAGCAGGCAAGGCATGTATTTACATATTTGGAGGAAATAACATCTGTAACATCAAGGGCTATGATGAATTACATAACATACCTTATATGACATTTGATTATCAATGTTTGGAAAACACGTTTTCATACATGAAGATTTTTAATCTATTTCTCAAACAAGACAAGGGCTATGATGACTTACATAATATAACTTATACGGCATCTGATTATCCATGTTTGTAAACACATTTTCTTTTATGAGGATTTCAATAAAGTGAATAGCTATCTGACCCTCTTCCTTGTTTCTGGAGCTTGGGTATGACAGGAAATGAAAATATCACTGAATCAAATCTGCATGTTCAAGATTACTGATAAATGTAAGAAAAACAATAAAAACAAGTCAGATGTCCCAGTGGCTTGGCAAGTTATCTTTGTTGCTAGCTTATTTATTGTATGCCATCTAAATGAATACATCTACCATAACTCTAGCTTGTAAACACATTACTATCACTAACTCCCTTACCTCGACATACAGGCTTTTGGGTGGGCTGCGATCCTATGTGATGAAATGTGAATGTTGGCATCAGAGTAAAGGGAAAAGTATCGGGAGAAAAAGACATAAACAGTATATTAAGGATAAAACAAAATGTTTGAATAAATCATCATAAATGTATGATAATGTTTTCATTTCAAACTGTAATTCTGTGGTTAACAATGGATTCTGAAGAAGTCTAAAATGTTATACAAGTAATAATAAATCATTTATTAGCCCTTATAAAGTTACAAACTTCGGTATGGGTGCATATATTATGAAGTGTGACCTACAGTATACTCTGTGGATAAAGATCACTGACAAAAGAAGAAATAAACAATACAGAAACATGAGCTTCAATCTAAGTAAGATATAATCTAACACTGCACACTTGGACCCTTAAACGCCTCTACACCAGCAGCTACAGTAATGCAGCATTGCAAATGCTTTATCTTCCAGAATTTGCTACTCACATTTGTATACATCCAAACAAACAAAGAGCATTTAGGCGTACCTCATGTTTTAATTAATTTGTAGGAAACCATACAAAATCATAATACAATATGGTGTGAGGACGGAAATGGCTCCAATGCACGTAATCTGTGGGTACTACAGAGTTCAACTAAAGAAACTTCTAAAAAATCAAAATGAAATGTGATAGTCACCTGAGTAAGATCGAGTCCATCCTGACCCAATGTTCTCATATATGATGCCAATGACTTGTTGTATTTTGTAAACCACTGTACCTACAAAATATACAGTCATTTTTTATTTCATTTTTTACAGATTATCACAGCTGAGACTTTTTTTAATTTTCAAATAAACAGTACACTCAATTAAGAATACTTTTTAATCCTACAGTTTTAGCTTCTTCTTTACAAAAAAAAAAAAAAGTTACTTAATTTACTGTTCTTGCTTCGACATGGAACAAATTTTACAATTGGATAGGGTAGCAAAAAAGGCCCAGAAATGAAATGTATTTCAAAATACAGAATATATGTGGTATATGTTTGTTGCTGTAACAGGAAAGCCTCAACAAACAATCATTAGAGATGTCAAAATAACCACGGTCAGAAAGTACAAGGTTACACAAATAGAATATAGATTCAGTATGGTTGAAAGATGAAGACCTACAGAAGAGAAATAATCACTGTAATTTTATAAAAATCTATCAATAGAAGTTTGGTAAATACTCTTTGAGTAGTACCTCTTGTTCTGAGAGATTGTATTTGACCTCTGCTGGTAGGACACTCCCAAACTCCCATCTCATGTCACGGATCATGCAAAGTCTGTTGTGCCTGAAGCAATGATCATAACAAAGAAATAAGAACATCAGTATAATAACAAGTATTTCCCACTGCACTCGTCCTTCTGGCAACTACCTACTTATTTCAGTGCTCATAGCATTTTACCAGTATTTCCCATCGGGGCAGGAAATACAGGTATACCATTTCCCAGGAAATTGCCAGCCCTTATTTGTCCATTTATATTATAAATGTACGTTATACATTGGTGGTTCTTATTATTTGGTCTCATACTTTTGTACTGTTTATTTAGGATAACATTACAATTTTGTGTTGTATCATTTTTTTATATTCATGTATTGTGTTACATTTCATGTGATATGTGTGCAGTGACCTATAGCCAAACATACAGTGAAAGAGTCATTGAGTATCCAACTGAAATATGAAATGAATGTGACATACTGAATAAATATAGTTGAAGTTTTGTCACCTATTTGTGGTAAACATACTTACAGGTACGCAAGGAGACATCGTTTGTTTCTTTCAAGACAGGTATGACGGAACTGGACAGCTGGTAGACGATCTTTCTCTCCTTGAACTGTAGCCTCTCTGCAAGAAACAGAAAAGAAAAATATTACAAACATCATGTTCCCCGACAACTATACCTTTCTGTGACCACTGAATCTGTACCGGTAATATATTTTCCATCTTTTTGTCCCAATCTGCACAGGGGCCAGCCAGCTCTTTATTGGGTCTGGAAAATTACTGACAATCAGTTTAAACAAAGCATATTGAAGAATGAACTAAATATTATGATATACATGTGAAAACCAAGTGAATGCCAAACTCAAAATGCTCTAAAATAGTTAGCAGAATGCTGTTTGAAAACTCTTTATCATTTATTGTGTTGGAATGAATCTTTGCTTAATATTCTGCTTAACTTTGTTTTCTTCAAGAAAAAATGGCACAGCTTTTGCAAAATAGTTGAGAGAAAAGTAATTTGTAATTTCATGTCTCTTTCTTATTTTGATGTCCCTGGGCCCTGGCATTTTGAATTGATGTTACATCATGGCTGTAAATAGAGTTTGTTAATTAAAATGAAAGATATATTGGTACTATATATACACATAGACCTAGGTCTAGTCCACAACAGCCAAGCAAATGTTACTTACACATCACATTGGTTTTGATCATAGAGAGCTTTCATTTCCTCAAGGACTTGCCGAACGCCTTCTTCCTGCAAGAAAGTAAAAGTAGAATAATATATTTAAAGTCTTGGTAAGAACTTTTTTTTTGTGGGTCAATGGGGGGGGGGGGGGATGAATGAAACACTCCTTTTTTCCCCTCAACACCCACTCACGTAGAACTTTAGCTTACCGTTAGCGCATGCACAAATCGTTCATCCGATCTCGGCAAATCGCAGCCTCATATGTTACTAAATTGGCGCCGACAAGGGTCCTTCTTAATGGTTATCGCTGTTTTCCATTCACTCAATGCTATAGGATATTTGTGTGACGAGCAAGCTTACGATTTTCCATTTTTTTCGATACCAAAATTATGATATTTCAGTTAAAGTCTAACCCTCAATTTGTTATGATTTTTGCACTTAAGTTTAGATCTATTAGTCTTTAATTAATTTTTTTAAAGTTTGAACAGTTCTCATTTTCGTCATATTTATGGTACAAACTTAAAATTTATTCTGGGATGGTCGTTGATTTTTCTATTTTATGTGTGCGTCAGTTACGGATCGAGTCGGGCTAACTTGTACCAGGTACAAAAATGGTCATTTTTTGTCATTTTTGTCAGGGTTAGGGTTAGGGTTAGAGTTAGGGTAAAATGACAAAAAATGACAGTTTTTGCAGCTGGGTCGAGTTGTCCCCTGGTCCGAGTTAGCCCGGATCCGTTTATAGCAGGACGTGTCAAAATCTCTGTGGTGTGACGTAGATTACGTATTGACTTTGCCATTGAACTCGAGTTGCGCTTAAGTTAAGTAGATCTAGATGTCTAGGCCCTCTCTCACTTGAATTTGAAGCCACTCGAGCGGATCGGCCAATGAGAGCACGTACACTCACTGTACCGATTAACCATGCTTTACAAAGCCATCAACCACTTAGTCGCAGTACCAATTCCAGACTACATCCAACCAAGACTCCGTTCAACACGTCAGCAACACCGACACAGATTCATGAGACCCAGCTCCAACTCTGACAGCTACAGTACAGGCAAAGTTTCTTCCCAAGAACACTCCGGGACTGGGATGAGCTCCCTACCAACTTCATTGAACTGCCCTCTGTGGAGAAGTTCAAGGACGCCATCAGTGCCTAAATCATAGGAGAAACTGTTTTTACTCGCACAACTTGTATAGATCTAGATCTAGATCTATACGCACTATGCACTAATCAATCATGACCACTATGAGAGACACCACACCACAATATCCTCGTTTAGTTGCTGAAAAGGCTTTTGACGAGTACCAGCATAGACGTAGATGTAGACGTACAGCGCGCTCAATGCGCAAAGTTCGGCGCTAGTGTAGTTCCGTATCCATTTTTTTAGCAGTTTCATATCCATTCTTAGCAAAGGAATTTTAGCCCAATTTTTAAGCAATTTTAATCATAATCATATATTGCATTTTCCACCTGAATTTGGATCACATTCAACATCGGGAAGCCTCTGTTTAGGGCTTCGATGTCGACGTCGTCGCTCAATACCATCTCCGCGCTATAGCTTTGCAACTCAAACTGAAGCTATCAGTCTAAATTATGAAAGTTTCTCGTATAGTTTATGGTATCGTGCATGTGCGTAATACACCAGTTTACAGTTGTATCAGTGCACATGCGCAGACAGAGGTCAGAGGTTATTGGCCCAAAAATTTGGGCCAATAACCTCTGACCTCTGGTATTTATGCGTAAATTAAGATTGCGCCCATGCAAATGATGATATGCGCGCACAACGCAGCGCGCAGGCAGTGATATCATCATAATTTGCATGGGCGCAATCTTAATTTACGCATAAATACATGACCTCTAGGTCATTGGCCTTGTTTAAAATGGCGCACACAACTGTAAACTGGTGTATACCATAAAGCATACGCGAAGTTTGAATAATTTTAGACTGATAGCTTCAGTTTGAGGTGCAGAGCTATAGCGCGGAGACGGTACTGAGCGACGACGTCGACATCGAAGCCCTAAACGGAGGCTTTCCGATGTCGGATGTGATCCGAATTCAGGTGGAAAATGCAATATATGATTAGGGCTAGAGTACAGGAGCCGGTTTTCGGCCACTTAAGACAAAATCCTATTTTTTGGACACTTTACTTCCTATTTATTATCATTTTTTGTTCAAATCATGAAGCAAATATTATTATTATTTAAACAAAACAAGAATCCCAGAAAAAAATCACGAATTGCCATGACAATATTCATTTCAATTTTCACTGTTTCGGAGTCAGTTTTCGGCATAGCGTACCAGTTTTCGGCCGCATGTACAAAGTCAATAGGAAGCGCGCGCATGCGCCGTGCGTTTCCGCGCTGATCTATAGCACTAGCGGGCGGAGCAGATATCCCACGCCGGAGCTCCCCGGAGCTCGCCAGGCCGCAAACTAGTACTGCGGTGATCGGATATTGGAATCTGAATTAGACAGAGATATCGTGTGTGCGTTGCGGTGTGCGGCTGCATTGATTTAATACATGCGATGAGATACTTTTGAGCTTGCGACTAGCACAAAATCGGGCTCTAAATCTGAAAAATACTTGAAATAAAGCTCATTTTATGGTAGACCGAAAGCTTCAGTCTCTATAATCGTCGGTTGTTCCACTGAGACTACGTCTGGCTCCACTAGACCTCCGGTTATAGAGACAGAACGACCGCCTATGCCAGCCTGTGTTGAACTTATTCCGCTAGATTTTAGCCGCTAGGCCCCTCCCACAAACTTGCCACGGCCGTATTGTTATGCCCCCAAAATCCCCCAAAATGTCATTTTACCTCGTTCATTTCCAATTTTAAATTAGGCCTAGGCTATAATACATCGGTTCCACTTACTAACTTTATTGATATAATCCGTTTAATGGTCCCTTTTAAGGAAATTATCGGTCAAAATCGACATCCATGTTGAAAATCTTGCAAGCCGTGTTAAACTCTCGCTGCCGTCAATCTCATCCCTTCTAGTCTACGCCGAAGGCAAAATGATTATGAAGGAAAAACTGTGATAACGCCATTACGAACGTGTAGATGGCGCACAGTTTTTCCTTCATAATCATTTTGCCTTCGGCGTAGACTAGAAGGGATGAGATTGACGGCAGCGAGAGTTTAACACGGCTTGCAAGATTTTCAACATGGATGTCGATTTTGACCGATAATTTCCTTAAAAGGGACCATTAAACGGATTATATCAATAAAGTTAGTAAGTGGAACCGATGTATTATAGCCTAGGCCTAATTTAAAATTGGAAATGAACGAGGTAAAATGACATTTTGGGGGATTTTGGGGGCATAACAATACGGCCGTGGCAAGTTTGTGGGAGGGGCCTAGCGGCTAAAATCTAGCGGAATAAGTTCAACACAGGCTGGCATAGGCAGTCGTTCAGTCTCTATAACCGGAGGTCTAGTGGAGCCAGACGTAGTCTCAGTGGAACAACCGACGATTTAGAGACTGAAGCTTTCGGTCTAATTTTATGGTACCCATATTTCTTACAGACACGCGTAAGATACTTGATTTTTCAGATTCGGGTAGCGGGACCGCCGATTACATCGCTAAAATGTGATATTTTAGGATATATTTTTCATTGCAAATGTGGTTCTTCAGTGACACTGGCATGGTATGGTATGTGTGGGATAGACTATGTGTTATGCTATTATGCGATGTATTTTAGAGGGATTTTACCTTGCATCCAACCAATCGGCCGAAAACTGGAGCTGGCCGATTACCGGCTCCTTTACTCTAGATCTATGATTAAAATTAGTAAAAAATTGGGCTAAAATTCCTTTGCTAAGAATCGATATTAAACTGGTAAAAAAACTGCTAAAAAAAATGGATACAGTAGGGTCTACTACACTAGCGCCCAAAGTTCTTTGTGCCACTCTCAGACTCAGTCACCGATCACCCCTCCCGATCCCTCGGCCTCGGCTCGAGCAAAAAACCCCAACCAACCTTTCAAACTTTTTTTTGGACGGGGGGGGGGGGGGGGGGCAGGCGCCCCACCCTCACCGCGGATCCATCCCTGCCCTTAATCTTAACTTAAGAGACTACCCCCCCCCCCCCCCCCTCACGTTGTCCATGTCTGTTGTCCCTATTAATTATCAATCAATTACAATGCAGAGAACAAGCACAAAAAGAAGTTGGCGGGACTATAAAATCGTTTCTAAAAGTTAGACCTAGATCTAGCCTACAAAATATTAAGTTATTCACTCACATTAAAAGGAGCTAGTGACCCATTAACAGCTCTCTGAAGTTCATGGATAAGTTCTATTGCTTTTTCTCCGTACATGTTTTTGCCGAACTACTCAGCAATGTCTTCAGCAAATGGGATCTAAAATCCAAAATCTAGGAAGCCTTTAGTCTTTTATAGACTACTTTACTTCAAATTTGGCGGTGCTATTTCGTTGGTGTCTTCGATCAGACAAATAGGAAAAGAAAAGAAAAGAAATTTCTTTAGGCACTTGGCCAGTGGGATTCCTGACATATTATTCCCTGAGGAGGGGCCTGTTAAAATTACATATTTCATATAGACTACCTTAGGGGAAAAACATGAGGAAATAATTGCAAATTATAGCAGCTAAGGATAAATAATGTTATTGATTTCACTTGGACTGGGAGAAATATAGAGAAGAAGAAGAAACCTCAGTAAAAAAATTAAGAGGAATCAATAATGGACCAAAATATTATGTATAATTTTGTTATACACGTATTCATGAATATTGAATTGTTTTTTGGTATTGGGGCAAACCCTGAAATAGACGCGATACAGAAAATTAGCTAGGCCTATATAATGATAGACAAAATCGTGTACTTGCACAATCGTAACTATATAGAAACAGGAAAGATTAGGTTTTCATAATCACTTGCGTGTGCAATGACAATAAAATCAACTAAAATTCTGTGTATCTTGTTGTTGCTGTTAATTTGGGTACTGTAATTACATCGGGGGGGGGGGGGGTGGTGTGACCGCGTCGTTTGTCCTACCAGTTTCGTTTGTCCGTCGGACATAACATGCGGGTTTCCTGCTCGCACGGATCGTCCGATGATCCGTGCGCTTTGCTATCCGCACGTCTGTCCTCATATTGTTTTACGTGTATATTTGATAAAAGGAGCAACTCGGTAAATCATGTGGTAGACATTTTTTCTAGAAATTACATAATAATAACTATCTACAATTTTTTTAAAGCAAATGGGCCAGTCCTTTTGAAAGTAGAAGTGAATATTTTATTTAAAACCTTTATTCTATGAAGGCAAACTCGTGATATCGGCCCCACAACTGTTGTAATTGATTATACTTTTGTACGTGGCTTCGTTCTTCAACCAACTCACTACTAGTATATATCCGTGATCCAGGCCCCGCCTCCAAGTATTTGGGGGAGTTTCGAGGTTTTATTGAAGATCGAGGGGGGACGGGCCGGCCGCATAAAATCTCGAGCCGCGGATTCAAAGTCAAACGTTAAAAACAGCCCCTGCGGTCATCACTCTTTAGTGAGAAATTTGAAAAGGGCACAATATTGTGGATGTCTTTTAAATAGAAGTTATATACTCAACAGTCACATTTTGATTAACGGTAGGGCCGCTTCACAACTCTTATTTTGCCCTTCATTTGGATTCAGCTCATACCAACTCGCTTGTGGACAGGGGCGGCAATCCTGGGCCCGATAGGGGGACACGTCCCCCAGGAAATTTAGAAATATAGCTAGAAAGAAATATAGCGGAAAGAACGTACACATTGGGCTTAGGGATTTACTTGAATGCATAATTTCAGCATTCAACATTGCAAAATCTCGTTTGGTCGCTACGCCCCGGTCCTCGCTCGATAACACAAAACTATGACGCTCCCGGCCGTGATTTATCCATGATTGGTGTAATAGATCTTTTTTCCCTTTCAGTGGCTATCACATCATGATTGTTTTTTATTTTCCCTTTAAAGCAGGCGCGTAGCCAGGGGCGGTAAGGGCAGTAAGAGGACATAGGACGAAAAAGGAGCAGACAAAGAAATATTTTTGAAAATTCTGACAAGTCGAGAACGGTAGGCCTACAACGAATCGTCTTCTTTAATTCTCTAATAATTTAATTAAATGTCAAAGCTTCCGCGCATCGCTCGGGAGGGGGGCATCTGAATTCAGACAAGGATTGGGAGTCGAGAATGGTAAAACAAATCATCTTCTTTCTCTAATAATTTAATGAAACGTCAACGTTTCCGCGCTTCGCGCGGAAGGGGGAAAACTGAATTTAAACAAGGATTAAGAGGCGAGAATGGTACAACGATTCGTCTTCTTCCTCTAATAATTTGATGAACCGTCAAAGCTTACGCGCTATGCGCGGGCAGGGGAAAACTGAATTCAGACAAGGATAAAGAGTCGAGAACGGTACAACGAATCGCCTTCTTTCTCTAATGATTTAATGAACCGTCAAAGCTTCCGCGCTTCGCGCGGGAGGGGGGGGGGGGGGGGTGGCAGGAACTCAATTCAGACAAAGATTAAGAGTCGAGAACGGTACAACGAATCGTCTTCTTTCTCTCATAATTTAATGAACCGTCAAAGCTTACGCGCTATGCGCGGGCAGGGGAAAACTGAATTCAGACAAGGATTAAGAGTCGAGAACGGTACAACGAATCGTCTTCATTCTCTAATAATTTAATGAAACTTCAAAGCTTCCGCGCTTCGCGCGGGAGGGGGGTGGCGGGAACTCAATTCAGACAAAGATTAAGAGTCGAGAAACGGTACAACGAATCGTCTTCTTTCTCTAATAATTTAATGAAACATCAAAGGAGGGGGAGGGGGGACTCAATTCAGACAAGGATATAGAGTCGATGACGGTACAACGAATCATCTTCTTTTTCTAATAATTTAATGAAACGTTAAGCTTCCGCGCAAAGCGCATGCAGGAGGGGGGAACTGAATTCAGACAAGGATTAAGAGTCGAGAACGGTACAACGAATCGTCTTCTTTCTCTCTAATATTTAATGAAACGTCAAAGCTTCCGCGCTTCGCGCGGGAGGGGCAAAACTGAATTCAGAGAAGGATTAAGAGTCGAGAATGGAACAACGAATCATCTTCTTTCTCTAATAATTTCATAAACTGTAAAAGGTCAAAGCTTCCGCGCTTTGCGCGGGAGGGGAAAACTGAATTCAGACAAGGAATACGAGTCGAGAATGGTACAACAAATCGTCTTCTTCTTCTCTAATAATTAATGAAAGGTCAAAGCTTCCGCGGGCAAGAGGCTATAGCCCCCCCCCCCCCCGATGAAAATGTCAAAAATTGTACCGGTATGGTGCTTCTAATATGACCTTGAAAAAACGGTCTGCGCAATTTTCAAATTTCCGGCGGCCCCCCCCCCCCCCCCTATTGGAAAATCCTGGATCCGCGCCTGTATTGGGACATTTATTTTGTCGGTAGTTGGTGGCTTGTTTTGGTTCGGTAATCGTGGCCTCTATCCCCCCCCCCCCCCCCCCCCCCCCCACTGAAAAAGGCCTAGCGACACTCCTGACGACACATCAGGCCTATACTTGCGTTTTGTGAGAGGCTCAAATATCCGGGCCAGCTATCTATAGTTGTGTAAGTTTTGAAGAAAAACAAACGAGTACTCGCTCTCCAATCGTACTGGTTTTTGGGGAATTTCGAATGTCATCAAATACGTTTTTTTCCTTTTAACACATTAATTGTTTTGCGAATCAATTCAGGCCTGGCTAAATATAAACTTTTTCGTAAGGCAACAGACAAGTAATTTAGTCATATACCTGATTAAAATTTGAAGATTTCCTACACTAGTGCCTGGCTGTGCGTGTCCCATATTTGAACACTAAGTTGCACCTGAAATTGCAACATGTGCATTATAAGCTCCAAACGCTTTTTTTCCTACAAATATTCTCTCTCTCTCTCTCATTTAAGTTTGGTGAGGGAGGCAGGGGCCTTTCGCCCCCTCCCCCGATCCACACGAAGTTGGTGGGATTAATCGCAACTGATCTCTGCTTCTTTTCACCCTTTTATTTTGTTCTGCCTCTTTTGTGTTCCATTTTAGCTCTCCTCTTTCCCTTTCCCTTCTTTCTCTCTTTTTTTTGGCGGGAAGGGGGGGGGTGGTGGTCTGGGGGGCAGAGGCAAAGGCCTTTCTCCACGATTCACATCTTGTTTGCGTAGTGTTCAGGGGCGTACGCAGGGGGGGGGGGGGGGGGGTAAGCGGACACATTTTTTTTTTTTTTTGGTCTCGAAATTTCATAATTTGACATTTTTTGTCGTTTGGGGGGGGGGGGGGGGTAAGGTCACCTTATTTAGGTTAGCCGTGGGTATAATTTTTTTTCTTCTTTTTTTTCTTCAAATAATTAAAAAACAAAAACAAAAACAAAGGCAAAGGGGGGGGTTTTAGTTTTTTTTTAGGGGGGTTTACATACATAAAAATACCAAAGGGGGGGGTTGAACCCCCAAACCCCCCCCCCCTGCGTACGCCCTGGTAGTGTTGGTAGTGGGGGGGGGGGGGGGTAGTGAGCACCTTTTTTTGGCCCTCGAAAATTTAACAATTTGCACCAACCCCCCCCCCCCCCCCCTACTAGATCCGCCACTGCCTGGAGTTTTATCCCTAGCTAGCTGGCAAAGCTGAATATGGGTTATCCAGTCGTTTCATTCATTAAGTATAATTATACTTGTATCAGGGATATGAGAGTATATCCCTGTTTGTTTTGACTATGTATACGTGTGGACTAGAGTACGGACATTCGGTGGGGCAGGCGGACTATTGGTGCGAGACCTCTTCCGCACAGATTGTCCGTCAGACATTTGAGGCGCGCACGGAATGTCCGACATGGACATTCTGCGCGGATAAAATCCGCACCGATCGTCCGCTCTCGATCGATCTCTAATAGTCGGACGACCGGTACGGGTTACATTCTACGCGGTAACACCGGCACATACTCGTTTTTCTGAAGGTTTGTATTTCCGAAGGTTCATATATAATTCTGAAACACACATTTCCCATGCCTATAGGGGCGCATAATTTCGAAAGTGAAAAAAGAGTTCTGAAAAGGAAATAGGGTTCGTAATTTCTAAAATGCTAGAGTTCGTCATTCTGAAAATGGGAAAAGGTACCTAAACAACAAACAAACATTACAAGGGAATTCAAGAGGCCGAGATAGCCCATCCCCCTCTCAGGTCCGGGCTAACCCGGATCCGGGACAACTTTGCCCCACTACAAAAACTGTCATTTTACCCTAACCTAACCCTAGACCTATCCCCAAACCTGCCAAAACTGACTGATTTTGCAGCGGGATTGAGTTGTCCCCAGGTAAGAGCTAGCCCGACTCCGACTCCATTTATGTATATATTTAGAAGACATTTCACTTTTCTCCTTGGATTTCTGGCTTTGATCACTGTCGACATTTCTCTTTTTATTTCCCAGGCTACTAACCCCTCCCCTTCTCTCTCTCTGATCTCCTCTCAAAGTAACATGGTCCCTATATTACTTTTATGTCCTTACATAAACATACTTTGTTACAGTAGAATATCAAATTCAGCATTTAACTATACACCAACCATTTACAAATTAAAGAATTACCATCTGCTATCTATCCCTGATCAATAAAGATGATCAGTATCATCATAAAGATGTTTTTGCTCTTCATGAGAAAATTTCAAAAAATCTAAAATCTGTACGTTTTAATGTTTTAAACATATATGAAAATTAACCCATTATCTAGGTAGTTCTTTCTGGGAAGAATAATTGTGATGCATAATGCTTGCAAGGCATAATCCAAAAACACATTTCACAGACATCATGAAAATAATTTTTCAAATCATGCATATTGCATCTCCGGACACAACAGCAACTGCATATCTAAACAATTTGCCCATGATTCAAATCAAATGTAGAATGAAGACTTCATCCAACACAAAATTATTAGTCACATCATCCAAATGAATAGATTTTTATTAGCATTATATCCACCATGTAAGAAATACATATCTGCAAAGTATTAACAAATATTAAATCTTTGGTACAAGTAAAAACATCAAAATTATGGTTTCCTAAATATTGTACCCACATTGGATGTGTCACAAATAATACATGTATACAAAACATGGATAAAAATCTACATACGAATTTCAAAAAATCTTATGAATCACTGTCACTGATATACCGATATAGCAAGTTATCACATGTAAATATTCGTCATCAGTCTATGATGAAATAAGAATTCTCAAATTATAAAGGCCTATATACTCTGGGTACTTATATATACCAGTAGTATATCATTATAATTTATATCTACACCTATACCTATTTTCTTCCAGTGCCTTGAAAATAGTTATCTAGAACTAAGAATCATACATTAAATTCAACTGTTCCTTTTCAGTTTCTTTCATAACTTACATATGAAAAACTGGCAATACTCTTGGTAGGATTGAGAACCGATGAAAGAAGCTTTTAAAACTTGTAAAAAGTACCTCCAATTAAAAAAAAGATAGAACTGTCCAGAAGCAGTACAACTGAGGGTTTGATTGATGTATATGAATGTGTGATTAGGTTCATCGTCCTCAAAGCTTATATAAGTTTGCTTGACCATGCACATTTTAAGTAATCAACAAGTCCTCTATTTTAGAATTAATAAATTAATATTGTTACCTTGAAAATTTTTCTAGGAATTTAAAAAAAAGAGAGAGGTATGATATTAGACATATTCTTTCAATAATTGATACAAATGCGCTAGAAGTATCTATTTGAATTACATGAACTATATTGCACAAATTTTTCATGAAACAATCCCCATTTTAACCAGTCGTCGAGAGAATGATAGAGGTCAAGAAGATATCTTTCATTTATGGATAAAACCAATAATAAATGTAGACATTTTAATGAAAATATTTTTTTAAAACTTATAACTTTCACAAAAACTATATATCAATTTATCTCATTCATTTGTAAGTATTACCGGTATATGTTGTTACAAAAACTATAAAGAATTGAATTTCAACTACGTATCTTAATAATATTATCAGGCAAAAATGCAAATATAGTAGATCACAAGATATAGAGGCTTAATAACTGTAAAACTGAAAACAAAAGAAAATTAATAGAAACTTTTAGATTTAAATGTGAAGCGAAATTTAGTGACTATTAATTGTCTTACAGCCCTTTTTACAGTACACATTGATCAAACCAAGAAAAACAAATCTATATTCTCTCTTTGGTCTTGAAGTTTGAATCTAGATGATAAACAGATGAGTAGATCCATACTCCTATCATCTCACAATTTACACGAGGAAGCCTTGAATACTGATTATATTTAACCTGAAAACCCCTAAGCTCATAATCTGGTTATGGAATTCCACTTCAAGAACATGTTGTTTAAGTTATTTTGAATTCTTGCTATCGCCGATAAATACAAAATAGCAGTATGTTACATTTCATCATAATCTATTGCTCTATTTCTCACCTATCATACATTATCTTTAAAAAAAAATTCTTAAGCACATACTATTCTCCAAGTTTCAATACAAGTTTCGTTTTGATTAAGTATTTGTCGTTACCGGAAACCGATCGTGTCATTAAAGTTAAATCTTGATGAAAAAAACCTTTATAGGTGATGAGTCTCACAAGGTGATACGCTCTCCTTTCACAAGTCTTCCTTTCATGTACCATATGTCCTGAGTTGAAGAAGAAATCATAAATACATAGTAAAACATACATGTATGTGTAAAAGAATTACCCTTTAGCCCTAAAAGCAATATGAGTCTACCCACATCATGTAAGAAAAAGAAAAAAGGTTCATAATTCTAGAATGAAAAATCTAAAGCCCTTCTCATTCTGTCTTCTTTTATGGAAATTGCTTTATAAAACAAGATGAAAACAATTCAGGATTGTGACTTAATATCACTAGGATGATTTGGCTCAATTACAAAAAGCTTTCCAGAATCTATCACACAATGATCTTGACCATACAGTATTGAGGACATACACCATGTAAGTTTAGAAACAAATGAATATATGAACAGCCTTGCTGATTGAATTTACCATTGCCATGCATGCATGCATACTTGCTGGGTGTACAGTGCACACCTAGCACTGATAGTGGAAATGTTACATGTACAACATGAACAAATACTTACAGACTATACATTTAGAGTATAATTCAAGTGTAGGTATGATCCTCAAACATCATTACTGAATCAATGAGCCATTCCAATCTTCAAATAAGCAATTAGCAAATTAAAAAAAAAATTGTTCAACTTTCATAGAAAAGAGAACTGTCTAACCTTGATGTTGACTTCAACATCTTCTCCAAGTTTCCTCTTAGCAACATCAGTGATTTCATTTGCCATATTAGCTTGTGTTGTCCCGGCAACATCGATGTAGTGGCAATTAGAAGAGGCATAATGGCAGGAGATTGCCTGTAAGAAATCAAATAAATATAAAGTGTATATTAAACATTAAAGGTAAATATATGTTTATAGGCCCATCTTAATGCTGGTTTTTGTTTGTTAATGCCATGGCCAGCTTACGATGTGTTATATACCAATAAGTATTCCTTTCATCTCACTCAAGGTACACTAAAAATGACTGTGGTATTCAAAAGTCTTTTTCCCCCCAAGATATATTTTCACCACATTCGTAGGTAATGGTAAGAAGAGTTTGTACCTTCCTAAATCCACTTGTTTTATTAGTTCCAGATCCATGAAGCAAGAGGGGATGGAAGAAGACTGTATCTCCTTTCTCCATCTCAAGATGAACTCTGGGAGCAGATGCATCAAAGTCCATTATTCCATGGTACATCTTGTTCACACCTCCCTAAACAAAAAACATTACAAATATATATTATCTCCTCATGTCTACTGCAATTTTGGGGCATATTTATTGACTGATTAATCACTGATTTGACAATGTGTGTGATGATGAATCAAATTGATGATAATTAAATATCCAGGAGATAATGGCTCTCTATCTCAGAATGATTTGCCAGAATGATTAAGGACTCAGTGTCTCCATCATCATCATCATTTATCAAAGTCAGCATTTTACAAAGATAACTGACTTTTGTGTAATGATGGCACTCCCTCTCCCCACTTCTTCTTGTCTCTAGCATACTCTTCATTTAGACCAACCTTACAGTTAGTGCTTTCTTTCTTCACCATTTCTTTCCATGAAATCTTCTATCTTCCTTTCCCTTTTATGCCATCCACTTCTGAATCTCAAGCTCTTTTCACATGTTCGTCATCTTCCCTTCTCAACTAATGACCCAAACGAATGAATGAATGAATGAATAAATAAAATGATACATTAAATTGAGTTTTCTTACTAGATCAAGTACGGCTTGAAACATATACACACTTTATGTATTGCAGAGTGGGTATACCGTAATAGGTGAGGGCTCGTTTTCATGTGGTACTTGTTCATTCATTCAGGCACTATTCAAAATCTTATTACAGTCGAACCTCTCTATACAGACTTTTCAAATGAAATAACAAACAAACAACCAAAGATAATTTTTTAAAGGTGGTGGCTATAAATCTGGATTGACTACAAATTTTGAGCTAAATTCACATCAAAACTCTCAAAAGGTGAATTAAAAAAAAGAAATAGTGATCCTATAGAAAGAAAAATAGTAGTATACTGAAAAAATTGTTCAGTTCTAAAGTTACGACTGGGTATCTGAGCTTGGATGCAACAACAAAAAAGAAGTAAGAAATAAAATACAATGTACTCTCACTAAGAAGATGACTGACAAAGAAAGCGGACAAAATATACAGTTCCTCAGGTAGATAAAGGAACATCCCTTCACTGCTATTATGTAAACATGTGTAGAACAGGTGTCACATGCATATTCACCTTTTTACATAATAGCAGTAAAGGGATGTTCCTTTGTCTATCTGAGGAACTGTATATTTTGTCCGCTTTCTTTGTCTGTTATGTTCATAGTTCAAATTAATTTTGACAAAGTAATGTGCTCCTAAAATGAAGTTATACCATATATCACATGTATGATGAAGTCAGCTGACCACTGACTCATCAAACCTTTAGCATGATGGTTTGTGCATACCTCCCATTTAGGATAATCATGACGCATTAACTGTCCCTTATGTGAGCCTGGAATCACCACAAGACAGCCGTTTTGTCTGTGTACTTTCTCCATAGCTGTCCAGGAACACACAATGCTCTTAGCTGGTCGGAATGGGAAGTAGTGTAGATCCTGATGCATGGGATGCCGAGAGGTCTTGCTTCCTGCAGCAAAATAATCCAAAATAAACAAGTCAACGCAAAGCGTAGCATCCCCTCTCGGGGTACAAATAGCCTACCGGTACATACCTCAGAACAAGTTACCTCCATTGGACTATACTATTATATCACTAGGCAAGGAAGTTAACCACATTTCACATATATAATTAGGTGTTTTTGCATATTTAATGAGCTATGACCTTTCACCTTTGACCTACATACTCATAAATCAACCTTAGGCTGTACATGTATTTTGATACTCCTGCCTTCATATTAAATTTCATTAAAATTCGTCAAACATTACTCAAGTTATAGAAGGGAACCAGATTCGCATATTTAATGAGCTATGACGTTTGACCTACATACTCCGAAATGAAACTTAGGCTGTGTTTTGATACCATGAACCTTCATATCAAATTTCATTAAAATCCGTCAAACATTACTAAAGGTATCAACGGAAACCAGATGTGTATTTTTTCGCATATTTAATGAGCTATGACCTTTGACCTATGTACTCCAAAATCAAACTTAGCCTGTATTTTGATATCATGTACCTTCATATTAAATTCCGTTAAACACTACTGAAGTTATCGATCAGAAATCAAATTTGTTACGGACGGACGCACGGACGGATGGCAGCGTTACTATATCCCCTCCGACTTTGTCGGCGAGGGGATAATAAAAAGCCATTTACTAAGCTAGAGATATCTCTATCTATGAGAAATGTGTGTTATATAACAACTACACAAGTTTAAAGAAATCTAACAGCTAAAACATTCCATCGCTTGAATAATGAATGAAAAAACTGTCCTTTCATGTTTTAAAGTCTTTTTTTACATTTCTGTAAATCTGGTAGTCTCATCTAAAACTAATAAATGAAATGGAAGTAGGCAGATATCATTAAACATGAAGCATGTGTGATCCTTGTATGAACAATATACTAGATGCATCACCTTGAGTGTGTGGATTTTGATGCCAGGCATATCCTTGCAAACTCAATTAACATGAGGCCTAAAAAAAAAAGATGTTGTGTTGCCCTTTATGTGCCAAAACATGGGTCGGTCGGAAATCTAAAAAGCCGACCGTAGATTTCAAGATTTTTGGGTCGGTCGCAAAGGGCAATACAACATCTTTTTTTTTAGGCCTGAGTGAAGGTGACATTGAAGGCAAACATGTACAAACCATATTTGCGTTCTGTTCACCCTTTTAGATGTTACATCAAGATTAGATTTTTTTTTATTCATAACATCCTTCTAAATATACAATGTTAAAATAATAAATAAGTCCTAAGAAGTGTAGCATGAGATCATACAAGATAACATTTTGTACATAATGCCTTATTGTTATCTTCACAATGAGCCATAAACATCACTTACCTGGATCAGGAGGTTTGTTGATAAGCATTGTATGCATTGCCATTGCATCAGGTCCAGTGAAGCACTCTACATATTGCAATAGCTGTAACAACAAACCAAAGTCCACATATTGTTAATGAATAATGGTAGAAAATTACCTGTATGTGTCAATTAGTGCAGCAAGTCACGTATCTAGGTTTTCAAAGGTCTCCTGATATTGCTGATAACATCTTCTACTACAATCATACATATCATTCTTTCCTTAGTACCTTTATCAAACATTATCATTTGTTTTCCTTCTTGAACTATCATCTGTTCAGAGCCTTAAGGACTTTAAATATGTCTTAAAGTATATGAGTTAATGCCCTTCTGGCTCCAAAGATATGTAATCAAAACTGAAGCACATGATTTTCTTAATAAAAGTTCATCAGTTCCTTTTTAATCCACAACATTAAAAATTAATCATTAACATAATAAGTAATGAAGGAAACAACAAACAATGATATATTAATAACTTTGCAACAAACAAATATTTTTTCAGATAACACTGTCAATTGAACCGATTAATACAAAGAGTCCAAATTATATCTACTCCAATACAAGAAATATGCTCTATCTAAATGTGAAAATTCATGCTTGTCATTTCCCAGTGACTTTGTTCAAGTACATTTGCGGCACTTTATAATAAATTAATAAATGAATGAATAAATTGAGGTCATTCATGAAATCAAAATAATTACACAATTCCAGCAAATATCTCAAAACCACATGCATTTATCTCAATCAATAAATTTAGATTTATGAAAGGATGACATCCTATTTTATTAAATCCTATTCATCTTCCAAATGAGGCAGGAGACAGGTCAATTCAATTTGAAAGATTAATAATGCACATAAGAATGGTCATTGATCAGTGACCATTAAAGCCACCCCGTCCCTAAACGTCGGTGTATAAGGAAAGGGGTTTTGAATTCATCCTGTATTGAAATGTTTTTAGTGGGACTGTACAGGTGTCATATTTATTGTTCAGATTTCACATTTTCTGCAATGAGGAAACCAAATTTTCAAAGGAGTCAATCATAGTAAATGGCAGAATGGGATACAAGTTAATGAAATAGTAATCACATTTGATAACTACCTCTGGCGAGCTGCAGTAGGAGAATAGGACTTCATTGTCTTGAAAGTCTTGGAGTTTATTGATTGCTCTTTCACCACTCAATGTTTTAAGGGCAACATCCTTCATGATAGTCATACCGGCAGAGCGCTGTCTATTCTTCCCTTCGCAGATAAGCTCAAACTCCTCCCTGTAAATGAATTAAAGAATTAAAAGGATATCATACAATCACTTGTATTGATCAATCATATTTTCAATACCATACAAATCCGTAGTCACTTTGTTAAATACCAGTAAACACATGTATTTGAAGAGTAAAATTGAATTTTTGTCACTTGTTGGATCACCTGATTTATAAAGTGAAGAATTAAGAACGTGGGTCATTGACTAATGCTTTAATGCAGCTCCAAACTGAATACCTCAGAACATGATTAAACTAGATGGAATTTTGACTGCGTGCAGTCGAAAATGATGCCTCCGCCATAGAGCAATTTAAACAAGTTTGGAGTTTAAATCTCCAGTGGTTCTTGAGATATCATGATAACAATCTCAATGTATGAAATTTCATAAGTTGACCTCTGTGACCCTTGACCTTTGACCTACGTGCTCCAAAATCTAATCAGATTGTCTTCCTATGGTGATACACACTATCATTAAGTTTGAAGTTTAAATCTCCAGTGGTTCTTGAGATATTATGATATGGTGATACATACTATCATTAAGTTTGAAGTGAAAATTCTCCAGTGGTTCTTGAGATATCGCGATAAGGATCTCAATGTATGGAATTTCATAAGTTGACCTCTGTGACCCTTGACCTTTGACCTACGTGCTCCAAAATCTAATCAGATTGTCTTCCTATGGTGATACACACTATCATTAAGTTTGAAGTTTAAATCTCCAGTGGTTCTTGAGATATTATGATAACAATCTCAATGTATGGAATTTCATAAGTTGACCTCTGTGACCCTTGACCTTTGACCTACGTGCTCCAAAATCTAATCAGATCGTCTTCCTATGGTGATACATACTATCCTTAAGTTTGAAGTTTTTACATCTCCAGTGGTTCTTGAGATATCATGATAACAATCTCAATGTATGGAATTTCATAAGTTGACCTCTATGACCTTGACCTTTGACCTACGTGCTCCAAAATGTAATCAGATTGTTTTCCTATAGTGATACACACTATCACTAAGTTTGAAGTTTAAATCTCCAGTGGTTCTTGAGATATCATGATAACAATCTCAATGTATGGAATTTCATAAGTTGACCTCTGTGACCCTTGACCTTTGACATACGTGCTCCAAAATCTAATCAGATCGTCTTCCTATGGTGATACATACTATCCTTAAGTTTGAAGTTTAAATCTCAAATGGTTCTTGAGATATCGCGCTAACAAACTCAATACAAGGAATTTAATAAGTTGACCTCTGTGACCTGTGACCTTTGACCTACGTACTCCAAAATCTAATCAGATCGTCTTCCTATGGTGATAAATACTATTCCCGAGTCTTAAGTTTAAATCTTAAATGGTTCTTGAGATATTGTGATAACGGTCAAACGGGACGGACGTACGTACGGACGGACAACCCGAAAACATGATGCCTCCGGCACCACCTTCGGTGGCGGAGGCATAAAAACACTAGTACCAATATCAACTTTAGACAAGAGGTGCTATCAATGACCTAAGAGCTTAATCATATCAGCCAATAATTGAATAATATCAGGTAGATTCTATCCAAATTTCAAAGAGATGTTATAATACATGATTGGTGAATACAATTTCACCGTTTATTTTCACCAGATATACTGGGAGGGAACTTCCCCATTAGTTAAACAAATTCTTTTATTCTAACCAATAACTATTAAGCTTATTGACCCAGCGACCATATGTGATATTCCTTGTCACAGCTATTATCCCAGTTCCTTATTTATCACGTATACCCCTCTAATGCGACTGAACCAAGATTCAAAAGGAATTTGTTTAATTTTAGGCCATCTGAGCCCCCCCCCCCCCCACCCTCCTGAATCAGAACCACTGCTCCATCAGATAAGATACCAATTTCTGATTTTTCAATTTTCATCTGTGTACATGGCCTATAACAGCAGTTTTCTCCTACAATAACACACATGAGCTTTCTACAATATCAGGGACTCCAGAAGAAATTGAGTATCAAGGTAGAAAATAAATTAAATTATATATGTAATATATTTTCATTTCTGCTAGAATGCTTTAGTCCTCTAAAACCATTCAATCTCATATAGAGATAGGTTAGTTCACTCCCTTTGCATAAGGATTGACAAAATATCTTCAGAGATCCCACACAAAACATTCTATGCTTTTCTCTACTACCACAATCCGACCTTACTTGTATGCATCGATTTTGTGATGAGGTACAAGATTGGGAATAACCAAGAAGCCATTCTCCTGGTATGATCGCTCTTGTTCCGCTGTAAGAATACTGTTCTTCACGACATACTGAATCTCATTGGACAGTCCTGCTTGAAGTGATGGCGATGATGAATCAGAAGAAACTTGCTGTTGAATCTATAGCAGCAAAAATAACAAATTTAGTTAAATTACACTTCTATTACATTGCACAATTGTGATAAGAAGTTCCTCTCAGTAAAAACGTGGGGTTACAATTTTATGTGCAAAGCTCAGATAGTGCATATATCAAGAGCATATTTTGGGCTATAGTTGAATAGAAGTACACAAATATTTCATCATGACAGATAGCATGCCAAAATTATCATTTCAGTGCTCATATTTAGCTTTGATTATTTCTTTAAACCTATTAAATAAGCCAGGTTATTTTGGTACCCTCTCAGCCAAGGAAGGTGTGGGGAGGGGCTGGACTTGTATGTGTGTAGAGGGGCTGGACTTGTATGTGCGTAGAGGTACGTCTTGCAAATTGGCACCTGGCTGGAATGATGCAAACATCAATAGTTTGCTCAGCTTGCCATTGTGAGCGTCTGTAAAGTGGCACCTGGCTGGAATGCTCCCCAGAGAGTGGAGAATGAATACAATGTCCGGCATAATAATATAGGGTCCGCTCGCTATTCATAAAGACCTCTATTCATATCAAAGGACTGCTATGTATAAGGACCGCTATTCATAATTTGAGAAAAGGTTCATTATTCATAAGGGTCATTATTCATAAGGAGAATAAAGAATTCATAAGGGTGAAGGTCGCTATTCCTAATACAAAATCAGGGTTGTATAGGGGTCCCTATTCATAATACGAGAAGAGGGCCGCTATATTCATGATACGTTAAATGAACGTTTTTAAAAATTGTAGGCCTATTTAATTCTATTCTATTCACCCATTTCTTGTAAATGATCAAGGATGATTCTTGAATGATCAGTTATTTCATGGGGATACCAATTAATTTGTATTTTACCCGTTTATATACTTGTGTATTTATCTATTTTGTTTTTGATGCTGTTATTCGTTTTATTATTACCAAACAGGGCCTCATGGAAGACCACCAAATTGGTCATATGTGCCACCCTGTATCAATATCAGAAATAAATAAATAAATATCTTATCATGAAAAGCGCAACCCTCATTTTTTAATTTGATATGAATAGCTGTCCTTATGAGCTTGATCCCCAATATAATTTTTTTTTAAATGCAGTGTAAAATAATAAAAATTACCTCTCAGTCTCACCAATACCATATCTCTAAAATTAACACTGACCATTGCAATCATCCAAAAACAGCCACTGCCAAACTCACTCTCGGAACAAGTTTAGAATACCACGGCCACCCCACCACTAAAATTGACCAAATGCTCGTAGGGAACCAAATACTTCACCAATAAAGCTAAATTTCAAGACTAACCTAATCCTAACCCTTACTCTATTCATTTTTATTCTAACCCTAACCCTTAGCTAAGTTCTTCAAAGTTTATGTACATTTGTAGCAGCTCTTACATTCACCCTACTTTTATCGTACATTCATGTTCACAGTTATTTTCTATCATGCTACATATTCATATTCAATTATTCGGACCATGTGTGTTCATTCCTTCAATCGAGCACCATGGTTCCACGCATCCGTTCACCCGCGTATTTTCAACGCCACAAGGTTTTTCTTTACTCCCGCTTCCACTTTGGTCGAGTCAAGATGTCTCTATGATTTCCTCTCCGAGCTTTATTCTTCTGTGCCTTTCGTCTCTTTTACGGCACGTCAACTCTTTGTCTGCCGTCTACAACGGACTGGCAGCATTCCAGTGGAACGTTTAAATCAGGACCCGACAAGGCGCTTGATTATCCGCTGGGAGCTGCCAGTTTCTTTGTTCCGGTAGCTCTTTCCATACTCGAGCTCGACTCACCCTAGTTCGTCTTTTATTTCATCAAAGAGTTCGACCTACTGCAACTCTGATGATTTCTCCATCAAAGTCCGGCTCATTCATTGAGCGACCTCACTGCTCATCTTCACCACCGGCTTGATGTCTACATTTCTACCCTTGGCCTCCAATATTCAAGCGATTCACTGCTTCGTCATTGAGCGCCACATTCCTTCTCTTCTCTTCTCGCCTGAGAGCTTCATCATCCTCATCAGGAGCGTCAGCGTTGAGATCCTTTACGGCTCTTCAGCCACGACTACGAAGCTGCATCTCCGCCTTCAAGCCTCTGCACTATTCATCGCGTGAGCCCCTTCCTTCCTTCTTCACATCTTATCATCTTCATTGGACTTTCGACCTCATTTCCACTCTGTCGTAAGCTCTAATCATTTCATTGCATTTATTCATCATTATATGACCATTTAAACTCTGTGCAATATCTACGATTCTCATTCATGCGATTAGTATTCCGAATCATTTATTCGCCTGACTGACTTCACTTGCAAGTGTTAGTCTACTTAGACCTAGATCTAGCTCTAGTCTAGATCTATCATATTTATTCATCAATAAACATAATGAAAAGGGAATACTTTCTTTCATGTATTTTATTGCCAGTGCAAACTTGTTTTCCTCGTAGCTAAAATAAAATAAGAGTTAGACTATGTTGTGTGGATCAGTGAACACGCTTTTACAATATTCATTCACAAATACAATCCCCCACACACTCATTTCTCTACACATTAACCCCATTGGTGGGGCAAGAGAACCAATGACAGTCAAGACTCAATGTAATGATAAATAAAAAGTGGAATTAGCGCCGAAATACCTAAGGCTAAGCTGCAATCAAAACTAAAGTCCCAAATTAAACGTACCAAAGGAGCAAAATGACGATTAAAGACGTTCAGACGTCTCAGCGCCTCACTGGGTCCTGTGTCTGATTCCATTTTTCAAGATCAATGACAATGCAACCAGCTGTATAGTACGAATAGCGGACTACGCTCATCCCGTTTAAAGGTCAACGGACTATTTGGACGGGTCCTTAGCTTGCTCTGCATGACTTCCCTAGTGCAGTAACAATGACAATGACAATGACAATGGCATTTATTATCATGTCACCCATAATCGGGGTATTGGAGAATACAATCTTATAAAGTTATATATATATATGATTGTATACACATGTATACAATCATATATAATCCACTAGAAATAAATAAATATATACATTAAAAACTGTAATACTAATAGGCTAATTATCATACTTCTAATCTCCTATTACACAATTTCAGAAAAAAAGAGAGAAGGAAGGAAAGGGAAAGAAAAAAGGGAAAAATGAGATAAAGAGAGGGATAAAAAGAGGAATAAGACAAGAAAAGAAGGGAGATATATCAGTTGCGATTTTCCGGCCAACAAAATGTGGATGGGGGGGGGGGGGGGGGGCAATCGGCCCTTGCCTCGCCGTCCCCCAGCACCCCGCCAGCAGGCCCGTTGCCAGAGTTTGATGTTGGGGAGGGGGGGGGGGGGCACGGGCGTACGCAGGATTTTTTCAAGGGGGGGGGGGGGGGTAAGGTCACCTTTAGGTCAGCCATGGGCATTTAATTTTTTTTTTTTTTTAAATTAAGAAAACAAAAACAAAAAATCCAAAGGGGGGGTTTAGTTTTTTTTTAGGGGGTTTACACACATAAAAATACCAAAGGGGGGGTTCAACCCCCAACCCCCCCCCCCTGCGTACGCGCCTAGGGGGGGGGGCACATACACGTAATCGATCAACGTAAAAAAAGGGGTCTAAAAAAGTTCAACCAATCTTTTTTTTTTTGGGGGGGGGGGTTGTGCCCCCCCCCCCCCATTCCGTGGCTACGTGTCTGCCCGCTAGCATCTCTTCAAAATATTCATTTTAACAATGGTAACCTTTTAGCATGGATATTAGTTTTCTGCAGGCAGAAAGAAACGTAAAAATTATCATGCATTGACATGTTAGTGTATCATTAGAATTATTCATATATGACATCTTGTGCATCAACTCTTTCGTCTTTTTTTGCGCATGGCGGATCGTCAATGAAACAAAGATATATCTATGGGCTTTTGTCGACTTTGTTTGTTTCTACGGCAGGCAGCCTTTGAAAATGAATGCGATTAATCAAATTAAGGAAATGCAATTAAGCATTATTTTAAACAAACAGAACTTTGTTATTTCTGGCTCATTTTTCCTGATTGAGGTATCATATAAAAGGGCAGAAAATGAACTTTCTAGAATTGTGATTTTCTCTTTGAAATTCAGATACCACCCGCCAAATGACGTTTTGGTACCATTTCTTCGCTTTGTTTTTGATCACTCATGCGTGAAATACAGCATATGAGCTGCATCAAATGAAAGAGGATGATCTATACGCTTTACAAATATGTGTCATTATTAATTTTAAGGGTGATTGGGACGCACTGTATGCCTATATTGGAAGGTTGCATGGCGAATAAAAATCAAACAATCAATCAATGAGAGGGAGAAAAGAAAAAAAAGTACTGAGGACGTAGGAATTAAGTGAAATACCCCCTTTAATATGGAGCACGCTTCGAGTGCTCAGTACCCAAAGACGTTGCCAAATATATAACCTACGCGAGCTGATGGGAGTTATGAGCGTATCAGGCAGTAGCCACGGGGGGGGGGGGGGGGCACAGGGGGGACGTGCCCCCCAAAACGTCAAAGATCGGTTGAACTTTTTTTAGACCCCCCCCCTTTTTTTTTTACCTCGATCGATTACATGTATGTGCCCCCCCCCCCCCAACATCAAACTCTGGCTACGTGCCTGGAGCATATGGCAATCCGTTTTTTAATAATTTATATATTCCTATTTTTTAATATCAAGAATTAGGAATAATTAAAACGGCTTGCCATCATGAGCGTACACAATATTATGACCAGTGGCGGATTCAGGGGGGGGGGGGGCACAGGAGGCACGTGACCCCCGGTAAAAAAAAAATTATGAAAAGGGGGAGGGAGAAAAAGAAAAGGGAGAAAAAGAGAAAAAGGAGTGGGAAAGAAAGGGGAGGGGAAAAAGAAAGAAAAGGGAAGAGAGAAAGAAGAAGAAAAGAGGGAGGAGAGAAAAGGGGAGAGGAGAAAAAGGAAGAGGAAACTGGAAGAAAGAGAAGCGAGAGGAGAGAAAAGGTGGAAAAGGAAGAACGGGGAAAAGACTGAGGAGAAAAAAGGGGGAAAAGGAGAATAATGAGTAGGGAAAAGAAAGAAAGGGGATGATATTATAAGAAGGTGTTTTTTTTACCGGGAAAGGGGCGGGGGGGGGGGGAGGCACGCAATTTTGCAGTGTGAATAATATGGGGTCCCTCTTGCCAGGCGTGTAGCTCCCCCCAACCCCCCCCCCCCAAAAAAAAGAAGCACAAGAAGAAGAACAACAAAAAAGATGGAAATAAGTGGGAAAGTGAGAAAGGAAAAAAATGAAAGAGAATTAAACAACCTTAAAAAAGAACAAATAAAGTCCCTCGATCGAAAGAGGATAACTAGAAGAAAAAAAATAGTGGTTCAAGTAAAAATCAATTCTATTTTTAAATTACAAAAGAGGGCTATCCGTATTTGTACAGGATCACATTATTTGGCTCACACTGACCCCTTATTCTCTTAACTTTGATTTGAATACAAGTAGCAATTATTATGTTCAAGTATATTAATAAGCAACTTCCACCATCCTTTGATAATAAGTTTCAATTGTTCTGTTCATTCCTATATATATATATTTTTTTTTAATTTTCTATTTTTTTTGAGGGGGGGGGGGGGGGCAGGGGGGCGCTTTTGTTTTTTGTTTTAAAAAAGATAACATTTATGTTACTATCCTTATTTTTTTTTTTACCGATTTGGAGGGCTAGGGGGGGGGGGGGGCGGGCCGGTAAAATCGGCCGTGGATCCGCGCCTGTTACGATGTATCTCTTTAATTCAATGAAAAATATATCCGTTATACTTGTTTGTATATGCTTTGTATTATGGTTATTAGTATTAGACATGATTTTCTACGGATGTAATACTTATGTAAAAATGTATAACCTTGTATTTGTAATATTTGAACGCAGAAACAAAATCAATCAAACAAACAAACAAACAAACATGTATGTATCTTGGAAAAAAACTTTCTTTTACTTTGTGATTGAACAGAAACCATCTTTAGTTGCCAGCAGCCATTAACCAGGGGAGGAGGATCGAGGTGGGGGGGGGGGGGGGGGGGGGTACGTCTGTGTTCACTCCATCCTGTCTGAGACACACGACGATTGTTCCAAAACATGACACACGTACACCAGGCCTAAAACAAAAAGATGTTGTATCGCAAATGGCAATACAACATCAATTTTTTTTTAGGCCCAGCTAAAAACTATATTCTTTGACAACATTTTCAAACTTTTCAACAGCAAAAAATTGCTACACTTAAACCTCATGTATGAGTCTAGTCGACGTGTACGTGTCACATGATTGATTCAACACGTTTGTCGTGTCACCACGTTAAGACAGTACAATACTGCACGACTGACTGATCAAATGTTGACAATTTTGTAGCACAACTAAAAATAAAATAAAATAAGAAGCAATTTCTACAGGAAGAAAAGGAATCCTATTATTGTGAGCTTTTTTAGGATACCGTAATTGAAAGCGGATTTTCGGTATCGCAGTTCAGCATGCATGTTGCGCGGTTTGGAGTTCATTTCTATTTCAATCTGCTCGCAAGATTGCTAAAATAGAGGTCTACTATCAAGATTCATGTAGAATTATGGTGTAATTTGGTGAATATATTTAATTTATCAGATTATATGTTTAGCATTCTCCTGAAGTAAGCCATTTTGTGTACGTAGTGGTTGACATAGTCTAGGCCTTGTCGCTTGTGCCAGTGCAGCGCAGTGGAGAAAAATCATCTGATCATGGCAAAATGCTGTGTACTTTCCATTGCATTGGCATTGGCATTGGTCATGTTGGTTGATGGTGGTCATGGTGGCACTGTCTGTAGAGTTTACAGCTGCTAGCTGATAACCATAAATAATCCCCATGATTACGTTATTATAAATTTTTTGAAATGCCACTCCTAATCAGTAATCTGTCACATATCACATGTTGACTCTAGTAAAGATTTAGGAGTGAATACTGAATGTAATCAATGTTGAGGCATATACTAGTGTAGGTCTACTGTAGTGTTGGATTATCTAGGTCTACTTAGACTGCTCTTAAGTCTTAGGCTTAGCATAGTTTTGACTTTTGAATTTCAAAAGTCAAAACTATCTGCCTGCTGAGTTCAGCAGGCAGCATTTTCAGTCTAATAATAATATCAAACCAATATTCTTCATTATTTGAACCGTCCTTAGTTGAAGAAAGATATATTATACTAGATCTAGGCCTAGATTAGATATAGATCTCTAGACCGAAAGCTTCAGTCTCTATACCGACGGTTGTTCCACTGAGACTACGTCTGGCTCCACTAGACCTCCGGTTATAGAGACTGAACGATCGCCTATGCCAGCCTATGTTGAAGATATCACGGCTAGATTTTAGCCGTTGGGCCCCTCTCACAAACATGAACAAACTTGCCACGGCCGTATTGTTATGCCCCCAAAATCCCCCAAAATGTCATTTTACCTCGTGCATATCCAATTTTACATTAGGCCTAGGCTATAATACATCAGTTCCACTTACTAACTTGATTGAAATAATCCGTTTAATGGTCCCTTTTAAGGAAATTATGGGTCAAAATCGACATCCATGTTGAAAATCTTGCAAGCCGTGTTAAACTCTCGCTGCCGTCAATCTCATCCCTTCTAGTCTGCGCCGAAGGCAAAAATGATTATGAAGGAAAAACTGTGATAACGCCGTTACGAACGTGTAGATGGCGCACAGTTTTTCCTTCATAATCATTTTGCCTTCGGCGTAGACTAGAAGGGATGAGATTGACGGCAGCGAGAGTTTAACACGGCTTGCAAGATTTTCAACATGGATGTCGATTTTGACCCATAATTTCCTTAAAAGGGACCATTAAACGGATTATTTCAATCAAGTTAGTAAGTGGAACCGATGTATTATAGCCTAGGCCTAATGTAAAATTGGATATGCACGAGGTAAAATGACATTTTGGGGGATTTTGGGGGCATAACAATACGGCCGTGGCAAGTTTGTTCATGTTTGTGGGAGGGGCCTAACGGCTAAAATCTAGCCGTGATATCTTCAACATAGGCTGGCATAGGCGATCGTTCAGTCTCTATAACCGGAGGTCTAGTGGAGCCAGACGTAGTCTCAGTGGAACAACCGACGGTATAGAGACTGAAGCTTTCGGTCTAGCCTAGATATAGCTTAGTACCTGGCCTGCGCCTGTATTATTAGAAGTCGTCCCTCCATGACTCTGCTCTGACCTTGGCATTGTTGAGACAGTGGTAGGAAGAAATGCCCTGACCCTTGTGTCGTATATGAACTTCATGATCGAAAGATTTCTTAAAATTCATTCATTTATTCAATTGTTCATTTTTAAACAGGGATTGAAGAATACCAGCATCATAGCCAAAGTTGATGAGGCCTTGAGGTCACAATAGGTCAAGATGACTTCTATCATCAAGCTAACCCCATTCTCTGGGGTGTTGGATGAATCTCCACCATGTTACATGCTACAAGTAGATGAGTTTAGGTTTCTACTAGACTGTGGATGGGATGAACATTTCACCATGGAGAACATAGAAGGACTCAAAAAGTAAGTTCTCTAAAAATCACAATCTATTGTGGAAATGAATGATATTATTTGCTCTAAAGATCATTTATTTAAACCGAAGGTTAGAGTTATGGTAAGGGTAAGGTTTGTTTGTAAAATCAATTATCCAGAATTACATAACTTGATATAGGTTTATGACATTGTAATATGTTTTACTTCAATTATATGGTATTTATCAATTTTTCCATTTCTAGGCATATTCACCAGGTAGACGCTGTTCTCTTGTCGTATCCAGACAATCTCCATCTAGGAGCCTTGCCCTATCTGGTGGGCAAGTGTAACCTGACTTGTCCAATCTATGCCACTGTTCCAGTCTACAAGATGGGACAGATGTTCATGTATGATTTGTATCAGGTAAGTTGAAAATAAAGTGTAATAACAAAAAATAGGGATCAATGTTTTTATAATATATAATGTTGTTCTGTTCAAAAGGAATAACATCAGGGCATGAAGTTATTCTGGAAAATGAAGTAAACTCTGGTAATTTGAAATTGTTGATCAGTGTGTTGTGTGAACTAGTTTCAGATTTGACTGATTAATAGTTTGTTAACATTTGATTCTTTGCTGAAATATTTGTTAATAGGAATATAGTGAAAACTGCTCAACCACTTTAAAGATGATATTATTTGTATGACTTGTAAGTTTGATAACCAAATAAACACATGTACTGAATTGCTATACTTTTTTTCGTGCATTCTTTTCCTACAGTCTAAACACAACTATGAAGAGTTTGATTTGTTTAATCTGGATGATGTTGATGCTGCTTTTGATAGGATCATTCAGCTCAAGTACTCTCAGAGTGTCACCTTAAAAGGTAGGAATAACATCTCTCAAACAGTTCTGGAGATCTAAGTGTTAAATGCCTCGTGTTGTGTGTGATTATACCCTCTGCACTGAAAACGATATACATTTTTATTTAATGACTTCGTTTGAACTATGAGAGCATGAATCTTTTTGTGAAATGTTTAATACAAATCTTGTCTTTGTGATTGGTGTAAACAGGGCTTTTGAAGGTATACAATACAAATCTACCTTAAAGGTAAAGACCAGTTATGGTCATGCGATTGCATTGTGAAAGAAACGTTGTGGAATCTATCAAAAAAGGTTGATCATCTAGCATATAAGTTTTGGTGTGTACTGCAAGGTTCTGGAATCATCAAAATGACAAGAAATTTGGCCCAGTCTTCGTAAAGTTACAAGCACTGTACACAGAAAGATGTACACGTGTGCGACACATGCGTTTATCTCTCACACACCAATAGATAAACTAATTTACCAAATATATCAATTAGTAGGCGGTTTCCCGGCAAATTTTTTATCATGTATTAGTCAAAACATATTCTTTCACATGATTGGTAATAAGAGCTTCCATTTCATTTTTTGAAATTGGGGCGTTTCCTATACTGGTCTTTACCTTTAAAGTGAGTACAAAATGAATATTGATGTATATTCTAACATATTTAGTTCTGTTGAGTATCAGAGTTTGTCAAGTTTCTTTTGTTTCCCAATCAATCAGAAAATAGATACAAATGTAACTGAAATGTACAGCATAAAGTATATAACAGTGGTTACACTCAGTTCAAGCCAAGTCAAGCACTAGCACATTAGTGCTAGGGTAAAGCATTATCTGTGATTCCTTAATTCATTTTTTTGAACTTGCAACCGTTGGTACTGTATTTGTGTTCCTGCAAATGAATGCTTTGTATTATCTGCGTCATTCAATCATTTCTATGACTTGACTTTCTTTCTGATGATGATGAATAAATAGGCAAAGGTCATGGTCTGACCATCACACCACTCTCTGGTGGTCACATGATCGGAGGGACCATCTGGAAGATCGTCAAGGATGGAGAGGAAGAGATCATCTATGCTGTCGACTATAATCACAAGAAAGAGCGCCATCTTAATGGAGCAGTCCTTGAGACTATCAGTAGACCAAGTCTTCTCATCACAGATTGTTTCAATGCAACGTACGTTCAGGCTAGGCGGAGGGCCAGGGATGAGAAACTAATGGGTAAGTCCTTGCTGGTCCTTGTGCATGGCAATTCTTTGACTGGTAAGATCCCATTTAAATTTTAAAATAATGATGTGATACAAAGTAAGTCTAAAATGTTTGGGTTGCAGTATAACAGAGGATATAACAAAAGTGATTATGTAAACTATGTTTTATAGTTGTCTTTGCTAAATGTATCCAGAAATATTCAAAAAAACAATCTTCTTGACATTTTACATTATGATGGTTATATACAGGAGACGTTCAAAACTGAATGAGAGGCTTTTTAAGCATATTTAACCATATGTTTCAGAGAAGGACAGGTGTATTAGTTTCTCATAGTATTCTTTCAGGAATATTAATGTGACTTTATTCACAAACACACCCACCATTCCCTGCCATTTTGATCATGCTGTCATATTTTGCTTTTAAATATGCATCCTTGTTTGGTGACACCAAAACGGGATATCCATGCACCAAGTAGGATACACGTGCATGGTGGCAAGCAAACAAAGGTTGTGTGGTCTATTATATACTCAATACATTTAAACAACTGCTGTATTTTTTTGGTTTCAGATATTATATTGAATACAATGAGGAATGAAGGCAATGTTCTGATATCTGTTGACACAGCAGGCAGAGTTGTAGAACTCTCACTCCTTTTGGTAAGTAGGATTTGGTCTTTGAAACAAAAACAGTAATTTAATCTTAGGAAGCAATATCTATCAAGAATATTACATGATATTTCTAAAAGCTCTTCTTTTAGAACATTGGTAAATGTGATTTTAAAGAATTACATTTTAACTAACAAATTATAATTTGACCAGTTAAAAGCTTTACTGCTTCTTTGTGTTTTGCAAAACATTTCTGTACATGTATGTATTACCATTGCTACTTGTGTGAAATCTAGTAGACCAGTTGTTGAATTCATATTATTGAAGATACAAATTTGTTTGTTTAGGAAAAAAGCAGAGAGAGGTATAGTGGTTTAAAAATATTTCTACCTTCAAGGATTTGATGTGTTGTTACTGGACTAAATGACAAAATTGATTAATTGTTCCAGGACCAACTGTGGAGGAATCAGGATTCTGGGTTAGGAAATTACAACTTAGCGATGCTCAACAATGTCAGTTACAATGTTGTGGAATTTGCAAAATCACAGGTAAGTGGTAAATAGGTAGACACAGTATGTGCGATTGATACTTCATTATGAAAAAAATTGTATTAATAAAGTGTGTATGAGAGTGAACTTATATGCTGCTCGGCATTGTGATACAAACTAACCAAATCAAATACGTATTTGTGATTTGTTTCATATTGTATCGTATTCATCATTAGTCATTACATTACAAAGGTAGGATAAGTTTACATCGAGATCACACCAGATCAAATTTAATTGACTGATGTATAATATGAAAGGACAATGATGTGAAAGTAATGATGCAATTTAAGTTTGGTCTCATTACAATTAACTTGTTATTGCAATTTGTAACCAAACCTTTTGTGATACATGGCAACAAGGGTCCAGATTCCACTGTTAAATGATATGATATCAGGAAAATGAAATTTAAAAAATTCTTTCTCATTTGTTTTTAGGTTGAATGGATGAGTGACAAGGTGATGAGAGCATTTGAAGACAGAAGAAACAATCCATTCCAGTTTAAGCATCTCAAGCTTTGTCACAATCTCAAGGAATTAGCGAAAGTTCCTGACCCGAAGGTGAGAAAACAGCTGCTTGTGGAATCATTGGGGATAAAGCATCAGGGAGTGATTCAAAATGTTAATGAATTATTGCATCCTCCTGTAAATTGAGTGAAGTGATGTAAGTCTCCTTTCACCCAATTTTATGTCAACAAATTAGAAAAGAATCATAGCAACATAACAAGCAACAACATTTAAGTTTTTATGTCATATATATACATTTCATTATGATTGCATTCCAACAAGGGTCAACTTGCTTTTATTTTTATTTTTAAAAATTGAATTTTACGTCCGATACTAGAGCTTCAAGTGCAGAAAATGAATTATCTTAGATCTGAGAGACAACAAATGGGTACTGGTTGGAAGGAGTTCCTTGAATGTTATGAGCAACGAAATCAGTAGAGCAGCTTGAGCACCTTGTGTTTTGCATAGAAAATATCCAATATTGTTATTATTATTAACACAGTAGCGATATTACAGAATTACAATGCACTGTTTGAACTATGTTTTCACTTGTTTGAATCCTGTTCAGGTTGTGTTAGCCAGTGTTCCAGATTTAGAGTGTGGCTACTCAAGAGAACTATTCATTCAATGGAGTGGTGATGCTAAGAACAGTGTGATACTCACCAACAGGACGTCACATGGTACACTAGCTAGGAGGTTGATAGAAACACCTAACCCAAACCAACTCAAACTCAGGGTGAGTATTTTCAATTTCTGTTTATATGATGGCTAGCAAATGCCCTGAAATTTGTACTCTTTAATTGTGTTATACAATTGTGTAAGGATTGTTAAACTATAGAATCAACCACTACAACTCTGGAATCAACACCATACCTTATCCCAATCCTAAATGTAACCCTAACCTAATTGTAACCCTAACCCTAAAATTGTATTTTTATTGAAATGGAGCCTGGAGCAGTTTACATGTATAGGCTGAACATTGCAAATCCTTTATTATTGTTAAATATTCATTGTGAAAATGCTTTGTGAAAATGAATCAGAACTGGATATATTTAATGATATGACTATTCTATTTAGGGGAATATTATGTCTAAATGTTTATTCATACACAGAGGTTTCATCTAAATGAAAGTAAGTAATAAGAAATGAAATGTCATTTGTCTTGTAGATTGTTTTCTTTTAATTTTGTTTTAAAATGTTTAAATGGTAAATTGTTAAAAGGTGCCTCAACGAAACTCCTTCTTTTTCTGCACAGACCTCAAATTCCATTTTCAAATTGTCTTTGTATGTTTGTATGTCATATGCCTTTGGTTATATTTTAATGGATTTTAAATAAATGAATTGAATTGAATTGAATTATAAGGCGGTGTCACACAGGCCAAAAATCCAGATTTTAGTTATCCAGATTTTAGTTATCCTCTTAATTGCTGTCTGTCATCAATTATCCCACTAACGAAACAAGAAAATTCTCCCTTGAAAGGAATTTTTAAGGGATTTTTCAAGGGATTTTTCTGTGTGACACCGCCTATAATGTCAGTGAGTAGTGTCTTTTCAAGATGTGTGTAAACTACATTTAATTCACCAGATCTGTTTTTTTATAATCATTTGTATAGGTGAGCAAAAGAGTGAAGCTTGAGAAAGAAGAATTAGATGAGTACAGGATACATGAAAAGGAGAAAGAAAGACAGAGAAAAGTAGATGAAGCTGCCCAAAGGTAATCACTTATTTTGTATGGAATGAGTATTATATATTCCCACGTGTGACTGACGTGGAACAGCTTGCAGACTATTTGTCAAGGTTGTGGATTAATCCATTAAATACAAAACTTTGGGCTGAAGTTCATGGAAAACTTTTGTTATTTCAAAATCATATTGTACTCAATATGTTATTATTGGCTAAACTTATATTTCATTATGCCACTGCAAGGAATTAGCCGGAGGCATTATGTCTTTGGGTTGTTCGTACATCCCGTTCTCGTGATCGCGGTATCTCAAGGACCGATTGATGCATTCTCGCCAAACTTGGGTCATGTATTTAATGAACTGATTAGATTAGCTTGTTAACGCATTATCATTAGAACCGATGGATGGATTACTATCAAACTCAGGACATGTATGTATCTTGTAGAGCGAATGAACTGGTTGGATTTTTGGGTCATGAGGTCAAAGATCATAGGGTCATACATCTATATGAAAAATAGCTTGTAATCATAATATTTGAGAACCTTTCAATGGATTACAATCAAACTTAAATTTTAAAAATTGCTTCTGTTTTGGTTTTTAAAATCGCTTCATGGCGGAGATTCATCTAGTTTTATTTGGTTTGATTCAACATGATTTATTAATAACTACAAATCATCACAGCTAGAAGCTGGATTGAGATTCTATTTTACATTCAATAAAATTGGAAAATATGGACATGATAAATGTGCACAAATATAATGTTTGTCTTTGTTTTTCAGGAGATTAGAAGGAGATTCGAGTGATGAGAGTGAAGAAGAGATGGAGGTAGATGACATGGGAAGATCAAGGACCAAGCATGATCTTATGATGAATACAGATGTGAGTAAAGGATAGTGTAAAACAGAGATTCATTCATTCACTATTTTTAAAACAAACTATTTGTATGCTTAAGTATGTCAAACATCAAAAACAAAACATAATTGGATAACTGTCAAACTTCTTTTTCCTTTATTTTTTCTCATTTTATATCTCTTTGAATGGAAGGATATGCCTTCTCCATATTGTGTTTCTAATTGATCAAATATACAGTATTTATTAATCTCTTTATTAATCTCATCCTCTTTTTATCACCTGTGATAACAGACTGGGAAGAAAGGAACAAGTTTCTTCAAGACTGTGAAGAAGTCGTACCCCATGTTTCCATTCCATGAAGAGCGATTAAGATGGGATGATTATGGTGAAGTCATCAAACCTGAAGACTATATGATCAAAGAAACCGTACAGACAGAGGAAGAGAAAGAAGTCAAAGTAGGTCAAGATGGATGGTGTATGGATTGATACGCTGATGAATAGATGGATGGATGGATAGATAGATGGATGGATGGATAGATGGATGGATGGATAGATGGATGGATGGATGGGTGGGTGGATGGGTGGATGGATGGATGGGTGGGTGGGTGGGTGATTATGGTAAGATCATCGAGTCTGAAGACTACATAGTCAAAAAGATCTTACAGACGGAGGAAGAGAAAGAAGTCAAGGTAGGTCGAGATGGATGGGTAGATAATGGAAGGGTCAATATGGTTGGGTTCTTGACTGGATTGGTGGATCAAAGCATAGATCTATGCATTAATGGAATAATAGATGAATGAAGTTTGATATGCTCATTGTGTTATTTCTAATTGAACTAATCTGAATAGGATATTCTCCATTGCTTTATTTCTTCTTGCAGGAAGAAGAGAATGCTGACTTTGAAGATGCAGCTGAAGGTAAAAATACTGTGATGAAGCTTTGAATCTTTCATATTTTTCACAATGTTGGACTCAGTAGCTTTTGAGAAAAGGATGTTATTTTATTAATAATTTCAAAATGACACACTTGTAGGACTCATATGAATAAAGGAAAGGTAGTGGACAAAGAACAGGAAAGAAATGATAAGATAAAGATCAATGTAAAACTGACGATAGCTTTTCATCTGCGTTATAATTTGTCCGCCCTCCCCCCCCCCCCCTCCCCCCAAAGAAGAAGAAGAAGAAGAAGGAATGGGAAGGAAGAAGTGATTACTGAAAAGTTGTGATAAAAAAAAAGGTATGAATAAACTCTGACCAGAGAGTCTATAAAGGAAGAGAGAGAGAGAGAGAGAGAGAGAGAGAGAGTTTTTATTAAATTTACCTATGTTTTAAAGACGTTAATTATTCCAATTTAGAATATGACAACGCATGAAGTGTTTGATTTGATTTGTTTTTATCTTTTCTTTTTTTTTATCAGGTGACATACCAACAAAGTGCATAGCAAGCCAGATCATTGTGGATGTGAAGTAAGTGATGAAATCATAGTTTTTGTTTACTTTTGTTTTGCTTTCTTTCAAAGTGAATACAATCCCCTATAATACCTCAAAGTAATGCATAGTATCTGTGAATTGTTGTGGCAAAAGTTATTGCTTTTGTGTAGTATTTATTCAAAATTCAATGGATACTCAATGAGGAATTTTCTATTTTTTCTGGCATTTGATAGAAGACAAGCATTTAATATTTTAAGCTGGTCTGTGATGAAGGATCAAAACAACATTTGATTAATGAATTTGCCTTTTCAAGGCATTTGTGTGAAAAGTATTCCAAATATTTCTCTACCTTTCCCAGTTTCCTTAACATCACAAAATGGAGTTGACATTGGGCTCTTATGTGCATGATAAGTGACATATTAACTAGCATGATATGTGATCAAAAGGTCAAAAGTCAAATTGTCATGAAATCGTTTAGTTTTCAGCTGTTGATATTAGAATATTGGAACAATTATGGAACATATGAATTGTAAAACCAACACCCAGCTTCATCCTTGTCATAATTCTGGTTCATCACTAATCAACTATTTTTTGTTTTGTCTTGCAGATGTTCTATAACCTTCATTGATTTTGAAGGTCGTTCAGATGGGGAATCAATGAAGAAGCTTATCACTCAAGTCAAACCAAGACAATTGGTAATATTTTAGGATTTTCCTGGAATATAATATGACACTTTCTGATTCTTTGCTACTCTCTTTTTAATTTCTGCCCATTATTTCCTGGATATCCATACAAAATAAATTACAATTATATGTTTCTTTTTTTCATCCCTCTCCCTTTTTGTTTATTGTACCCTTTTTGAATATCAATAATTTCATTAATATATCATGATGCTGTAGAGCATTGAGCTTCCTTACACTATTTGATTGATTGATTGATATATATTTTTTATTCATTTTGTAAATGTCACATAAAAGAACTTGGTATTCTTTGAATTGTTAAAATATGTCAAAGCTGAAATGTTGTAAAAAATGTCATCAGACCTGATTACAAAGAAATGTTTTTTAATGTCTTTGATGATTGACATGAATTATCTCATAATCTATGTGTTATTATTATTACTAATATTTTGTAAATATAAACCAACAAATAATTCATATATAGATACACATCACAATGAGAAAACATTTTGAATAACTTTTCTCTCTTCTTTATAATTCTAGGTGTTGGTTCGGGGTCAGATGAATGCCACACAGCATCTAGCTGAATACTGTCATTTACAGCTTGCTGGAGTCAAAGTCTTCATTCCAAGAATGAATGAAATCTGTGATGCTACTATGGAGAGTCATATCTATCAGGTCAGTAATCTTATCTCTCTCTGTCTCTCCCTCTCTCCCCTTCTCTCTCTCTCTATCTCTCTGTCTGTCACTCTCTTTCATCACACCCCTATCTCTCTCTCTTTCTGTCTGTCCCTTTTTATGCCTCCGTTACAAAGTATCCAGAGGCATTATGTTTTCGGGTTGTCCGTACGTCCCGTTCTCGTGATCGCGTTATCTGAAGAACCGATTGATGGATTCCTGCCAAACTTAGGTCATGTATGTTACTTGCAGAGCCGATGAATTGTTTCGATTTTGGGGTCATGAGGTCAAGGCCAAAGGTCATGCGGCTCATTATGTATGCAAAAAAAGCTTGTGATCGCATTATCATTAGAACATATTGATGGATTCCTGCCAAACGTAGATCATGTATGTATCTTGCAGAGCCAATGAATTGAGTAGATTCTTGGGTCATGAGGTCAAAGCTCAAAGGTCATGGGCTCATTATGTATGCAAAAATGGCTTGTGAACGCATTCTCGTTAGAACTGACAGATGGATTACTATTTAACTCAGGACATCTTGCAGAGCCAATGAACTGAGTAGATTTTTAGGGTCATGAGGTCAAAGATCAAAGGGTCATATATGTATATGAGAAATTGCTTGTAATCACGATATTCTGAGAACCTGTTAATGGATTACAATTGAACTTGAATTTGACAAATTTCTTCTGTTTTGGTTTGTAAAATTGCTCTATGACGGAGGCATCATTTTCGACTGCGCGCAGTCGAAGTTCCATCTAGTTTTTGTTTTCATTCATCCACATAATTCTCAAGATTCTACCCCTTGTATTGATATTGAGTTTAACCCTGTATCATTAGTGTGTGAGCTGACAAATTGTCAAGTTTCTATTTTAATACTCTGTAGCCCATTTGTGTGCAATACAGTTGGATCCCTGCACATTTTGTCACTGATCCTAGGACATCTCCCTTGCAAATTTCTTCATTGGTAATCATCCCTCCTTGACAACTATCACATTGGCATTTATACATGGGGGTTGAGTATTGAACTTGTTAATTTGTATTTCCAATGGATGATTGTTTTGGATGTATTCAGTCATCATGTTTCAATTTAGTCTTCAAAGGGAGATTTGATATTGATATCTCAAAATGTCTTTTTAAAAATTTTACTAGGTGAAACTGAAGGACAGTCTTGTGAGCTCTCTGCTCTTCTCTAAGACCCGTGATACAGAGTTATCTTGGATTGATGGATGTTTAGATCTACAGTCTGCAGGAGACAAGCTTGCAGGCAAGGCTATCAAAGGATCAGATAGCTCACCCAATGGAGATGAGAAGAGTTTTGGAGATGAGAAGAAGAAAACTCCTGGACTTGGTATGGTTTTCTCTTATAGAAGCTATAGATTCATTCATTTTGGTATTTATTAAAAACAAACGTATGTCTCAACATGATGTTGAATTGTGCATAATTTACAGTTGAGTTAATAGAACAAAATACAAGTAATGTTCTTATACATTCAAAGGAATGATTCACATGAGTGATGATTTAGTTAACATTAGAAGAAACAAAACCCCCCAAAAAAAATTACAGAGAAAAATATATTTAGTCTTTAATATTGATAATATGTAGAAAGAATGAAAAAGATAAATTACACCAAAAAATATTAGTCTTTAACATTAACAAATTTGTTTTATGAATATGGACCCCTATTAATAACGGCCCTGTTTTTGCATTATAAATAGTGACCCTCTTCTTTGAGTATGAATAGCGGTCCTTATGAATAATGACCCTTTTCTCAAATTATGAATTACGATCCTTATGAATAGCGGTCCTAATGAAAATATACTGGTCTTTAGCATTAACAAATTTGTATTATGAATAGGAACCCCTATTAACAATGACCCTGATTTTGTATTATGTATAGCGACCCTCTTCTTTAATTATGAATAATGACCCTTTTTTCAAATTATGAATTGCTGTCCTTATGAATAGCGGTCCTTATGAATAGCGGTCCTTATGAACAGCGGTCCTAATTAATAGCAAGCAGACTCCAACTGATCAACTCTTGTCCATTTGGGGTAACATTTTTGTTCTCAATTGTTGGTCCGGTGTGACTGGGGTTTTTAAAGAACAGTAACACTTTCCTATTGAATGAATGATCCATCTCCAATGAAATCATTCTTTTCTTTAATGATTACCGTAGATAGGATGTAACTTTCTATTAATATTCTCAATATAGTCTATGAAGTAAAGTAACATGTTGTCTTTTTTTCGATCCGATAATCCTACCCAAACGTCTGTTTCCATGCTGAAAACTAATTGGATCAGAGCATCTGTTTGATTTGGGAGACAGTGGTTGACCACAAACGTTTCCAACACTGAATTGATATATTGTTGGAGACTTTTTTTACAGATACATATACATTCTCTCAAGATTGTTTTCTTGTTAATCCCTTTTACCAGGACTTGGAAATGAGAGTGAAGATTCAAGTGATGATGAAGATGATATCATTCCTGTGCTTGATGCTGTCCAAACAAACGAGGTGGGTTCATTTTTTACAAGAAATCACTGGTGTGTCGGATTATCATCATTATGTGTGAAGTGTGTATGGGAGCGTGTATTAAGCGCTATGCAAATGTGACTATTATTATTATTATTATTATTAAGAAAGTAGAAGGCATTATGACCTGTAGTTTCTTATTTTCTAAAATGTTTCCTTGATTTTATGCATCTGATCACTTTAAATGGACGCAATTTTAAGCAGGCATGATAATGCTTCTGTTATAATAGGATTTTCTATTTTTATATATATATATTTACAACCTATTCATTTAGCACAAAATTTAACAATGGAATGAGATATGCATTATGTGTTATAAGACTAGATTTGAGATTCTAAACCAAATATATTTTGCTCCTATGTTGTGTCATCTTCAAATTTTCCTATTGAATGATGAAGAAAGAAATAATAAAAAACATTTATTCTTGTACTGGAGTTTGCTTTTTAGTGACAAAGAGGAATGATGAAATTCATGAAGAGTTGGTGGAATCACTTGATGGTACAATGTAATTTTAATTAATCAGAGTATTTGAACTTTGATTGATTTATATACCGGTATGATTCTTGTTTTCTTTTGATGGGATTATAGGTAACACCCCATCGGCAGGTGTATGTCAACCCACCAAGGTTCCTAGACTTCAAGCAGGTGCTGGCTAAGAATGGAATCAGAGCAGAGTTCACAGGAGGTGTACTTGTATGTAATAACACTGTCGCCATCAAAAGGGTGAGGAAATAAATCAGTTTAATGTGCAATCCATCCACTGTCATTGTCATCATCATCATCCGCATTCTCCCTTTCCTCTTCATCATCATTGTCATCTTTGTGGTCATCAATATCATCCTTACTATGCTTGTAAATATAGATATGCCACAATGTAAATTTATTAATTTATTTTGAATAGGAAAAATAATAGTATTATGTATGACCAATATGATACCTTTTGTCCAGAATTGTGCTTTCTAAGCCATTTAAAAGATAATATGCAGTGAAACATTATATAGACATAAGTGTAGCGCTATTGATTTTATCTTTGATTATATGATTTCATTAAAATGTTCGAAAAAGTAGTTTGAACAGGGCAGTCTTTAATTTGATCACTGCCTTTTTAACAAGGAAGAAATCAGAATGACTATTAAGCGAATAAGTACCATTGGTGAAGGTGATGAGACAAACTATCACTTTCGAGGCGATCTGGATGTAGCTATCTTTGCAAAGCAAAGCTGAGGAAAGATAGCGTGTACATTCAGATCGCAGAGGAAGTGATAGTTTGCCATCGCCTGAAACCAAAAGGTGATTATTTGCTTTATATTCCACATCGGAAACATTTGACTTCTTCCGTCATTTTAGAGCAACAAGTCATCAATTAACATCGAGCAAACGGTGTACGAAACGTAAAGTGTATGCAATATGATGGTGTGACCATAGTTCGCGCATTAGTATCGCGTACTAGCACTAAAAGCGCTTAAAAAGGAGAGCAATACGCAACGTATACAATTAAAGTGCGTTGCACTGTGTAGGTAGTACTTCTATCTTCAGTGAAAGTGTGTTGCACTGTGTAGATAGTAGTACTATCTACACAGTGTAACAAACTTTTTGCTTTCCCAGCAATGATGGGCAAACTATCTTTCATCACGTGATTTACTTTTGACCAATCGTAGAGCAAGATTCTTAGTATGTGGAATATAATACTATCTAACTGAAATGTCTCTCCATCACCCCTTCTTTCTTTGTTTTGTTTTCAGAATGAGAAAGGCCATCTGACTCTGGAAGGAGCTGTGTGTGATGATTACTACACTGTTAGGGAACTTTTGTATGAGCAGTATGCCATTGTATGAGGAAAGCCTAACATAGCACCTTGAAGACTTCCACCCACGTATATTCCCAGGCTTCCACTGCATAAAAAGAAATTGAGAAAGCTATGCTGTGACAGGTCACCTAATGTATTGCTATTCTACCTCCGAAAGGATTCCATCTTTGCCTGTCTGTCTGACATCTGTGTATAAATTACAATGGAATTAGCATGTCAGCAGGGGAAACCTTGAACAGTGGAATGAAAAGTGTTGATAGTATGGATGCCTTAGGATGGTATCAGGAATCCCTGAGTTCAGAGATCATCCGTGAACAAACGAAGGTTTCAGTCTGGATACTGGAGTGGAGGTCTAAAGATAATTCTACCTTTGCAAGATGATACAGAGACCAAAGATACAATGACTTTACTTCTGTCTTGAAAGGCATGTCAGATTTCTGTAAATTGAGATCTTTACTGAGCAAGAATTGATATTGCACACAACCTGGCAGTTACTGGTAGTGCTAGGAGAGCTGGCTGATACATTAAATATTGCACTGAACTTTGGTCTGCGAAAGATAGGAGCTCTACCACATCCTTGACTAAAGTTTACTCTTTAAAGATTGATTAAGGTCAATATGAGTAAATATTTATGAAGACAAATCTTTAGTAAATCAGACTGATAAACAAAGGATATTGTGAGTGAGATGTGCACATTAAGATTTGGATTAAGTAAGATTGAGAATACTAGAAGCATAAGTTAAATGTAGCATTGTCATTGAGTGTTGCATTAACACCACACACCAATCTCTAGCAATTCCACTTTGCACGGCACTCCAGTATGCCACTGTGTATGGAGAGAAAAGAAGATCATATTATAAACCTCGGCTGTATGTACAGTATTTAACCATTTCATGATAATTCATTTTGTCACTAACTTGGCAAATAAACACTGCCTGAAGCTTGTGGTAATACAGGGACCAATGTTTTTTTACAACAAGTTTGATGATATGAATTGAAAACAAGAGCCAGTGGCAAGTGGGCTTAAGAAAAAAAAAAATCCTCATATATGTATAAGTGGCACGCTCTCACTCTCGCTTTGTCTCTTTCTCTCTCTCTCTAAAAGCCACCCATGTGTGGTCTCTTCTATTGCCTACTAGGAAGAAGAATATTCATGTTGTACAACCTGTCTAGAAATGTCACCTGCCTTTCTGTGGGTTCTGTATATGTTGCTTTGTTTCCCATGGATTTGAGAAAGAAACCAAGAAAATACAATTTGAGAAGTATTCTTTTAAATATTTGTGGAACATTCATGATTGACATGGAATTAAAATATTTAAATCACCTGCAATTGACCTTTTCTACACATAACCAGTGTTGAATACTGGTTCTGTTCAATTGTTCAGATACACACTCCTTCCTTGCAAAGCCATTTCTTGAACTAAAGAAGAGAGTAATCCTAAATCATAAAGTATCAAGAAAGTACCAATGAATATAGGGGGGAATGGAATGAACATACACATTATACATATCCATGCCATGGCATTTTTCATAAGATTACTGATATCTGCTGATTTTCTTGCTGGTACATAGTGTGCATGAAGAATTAACAATGTATCAGATCCTGGATCCGGTAGACATATGATTTGCCATCTGATCAATTGTACATTTTCTTTATCTCATGTCTCCGCATATGATTAAGTGCAGATGTTTTGTGGTGTAAATTTGTAATAAATTTTTTGAGAAAATCTGAAAATTTGTTCTTTGTGACATTATTTGAGACTACTTTGTGTGATAAAAAAACATGCTCATGAACTATCCATTTTAATTTAAGCTCAAAATGGATGGAATGTGTTACTCTTAGTCTCATATTGAGTGTAGGGTACATTCGTTAGCAGATAAATGTGGATGTAGAAGAGGGTGGGAGGGAGGGAGAGAGAGAGAGAGAGAGAGAGAGAGAGAGAGAAAGTGGTTGTGGGAACAGGGAAGAGAGAGAAATGGAGGGAGAGAAAGAGGGGGGGGGGAGATGGGGATTGAGTAATAGAATAGAGAGAGGCATAATTAGTGGAGGTCAGTGATATTTGCTGCTAAATATTTGTGTATTGTTTATGGAATGATTGATGCCAATACTAATTTGAATGCAATATGCATGTAGTAATACTGGGATTGTGGAGGGTACTGATGCTTAGTACCCTATACCACATGAAACACATTAAAAATAAGCATTTCTAAAGTAGAGGGTTGCAATTTTTATAACTCAATTATAGGATATAATAGGGTTTCATTGGGAGAGGATGAAATGTACATGTACATGTGCATGAGGTGCCACGCCCCCTCAGCAATATAGTCTGGAGCTCAGTTTCTTTCTTACTTTATTCTTTCATGTTATTGATTTTCTGTATACCTCTTCACTTAATATGATATGAATGTTTACTGATTTTGCGTGTGTAAATAAATTCAAATGTTTGAAAAATTAATTTCATAATTTACTGCCATAATAAGACATTATTTAGAGTAGAAATTGTAGAAACGGTTCCCTTCTCCAAAACTTGCGTCTGGGATTGAGCCTAGTTGTAAAAACTGTTGACGACTGCCAGCTAACTTACTAGCTTTAGGAGTAAGGTCTTTGACGTGATATTTTACCTGACAATCATTAAAAACACCACGAAAAGTGGCGTTAATTTTACAACAAGCTGCTCAGTGGTTTTCCAAGATGAATGGCCGCATATTCTTAGTAACGGGTGCTACAAATGGCATAGGGCAGCACACGGCTCTCCAACTTGCTAAGACCGGCGCGACAGTCCTTGTTCACGGCAGAGCTCTGGCGAGGGTTGAAGCCACCGTAGCGGACATCAAAAAGGCAACAGGTAATGAAAACATCAAAGGCTACATTGCTGATCTCGCATGTTTGGCAAATATCCGCCGTCTCTCAGATGAGCTCCACGCCTCTCAAAAGCACATTGACGTCCTAATCAACAATGCTGGTGTGTATGAGAAGAAGAGACAGGAATCAAATGATGGATATGAATTGACCTTTGCTGTGAATGTCATGGCACCTTTCTTGCTGACATCTCTCCTTCTGGACCTCCTAAAGGCTGGTAATAAAAGCAGGATTGTTAATGTCAGTTCCATCTCCCAGTCCAGTTTTCTTGATCTTGATAACTTACAGCTCAAACATGATTATGGCAAGGGTGATAAAGCATATGAGCAGTCGAAACTATGTGATATAATGTTCACCATAGACATGGCTGAACGATTCCGTAAAGATGGCATCACAGTGAACTGTTTAGACCCAGGAACTGTCAATACCCAGATGCTACTGAAGGTATGGGGAGCAATAGGAATTCCCACTGACGAGGCAGATAATGAATTTCATCTTGCAACTGATGCAAAATTTGAAGATGTCACTGGGGAGTATTTTGTGGATATGAGAAAAACTAGGGCCTCAGCAGTAGCTTATGACAATCAGCTCAGAGGGAAACTTTGGAAACACCTTGTGGACATAACTGGTGCACAGTATGACTAGATGTTTGTTTAAATTTGATATGCAGGTTTTGTGTACTATTGTCATAAACTTTAGTGAATATTATTTTAGATTCATTCGCAAAGTAATGATACTATTTGAATAAAATGTTCACTCCTAATTTGAATTTTACTTTGATTTATTTGTTTTTCCTTTTTGTGATTGTCTATGGAGTTGATAATATACATGTCTGTAGATTAATGTTATTATAAACATGCATCACAAAAGGATAGTTACTTGGATTTATTGGACTTTAAAAGATGATAATTTTCAGCTGTATTTTTATCATCACTTTTCAATGTTTTGTACATGTAATACTTATTTGATTCTCTTATGATTTAAAATGTGTCTTGTAAATATTTCAAAGTGCCATACTCAACAATTTTTCATCCGATATCTATATAACTCTTATCTCTTGTTTATGGAGCATAACTACATGTACATGTATTCTGGACAGATCTTGCATTAATTCTTATATAGTGCGCCTATATTAGCACATTATTTGTAGTACACAACTTGTAGTACTTTGATATTTTTATGATGTAATCGCAGACAGAGTTAACTTTTTCTTTTTAAGTGAACATGCCTTCAAGTTCCTATACTTAATTCTCTTCTTATTTTTTTTCTTCCATTTACTATTTTTTCTTTCCTATCAACGTTCTGTTATACAATATGTAATTTTCATAATAATATCTATAAAGTTCTCTCAGTAACTGTGTTAACTTATTATGGGCGTTCCCAACTCAAGCTATGCTTTTCTGGTTTTTGCCTTCATGTATCTGAATTATTAAATGTATAATCTATGTTGAAATCATTGTTACATATATAATACAATTTATATATAAACATTGTGTGTTTAATATTGTAATGTTCAGAAGAAAATAAATGTCAATAGATACAAGTACATTGAATACATTGCCCTGTCTATTTGTCTTTTTTTATATATCATTTCGATTTTTATCCATTTGTTACCTTGTCAGATCATTAAATTTAAAAATGGAAACTTTGGACAATATGAAGTTGTATTCATTGTCCAAACCATGGACCAAAATAAGAGAGTGGTGTAGCGCCATCTAGAGGTTGGCAATGTTAATTATTTCAGCAACACAATGCATTTCTTACTTGGGCCAGTTGGGGGATTAGGTATTTTTGTTGATTTGTTTTATTTTGGGCTAATTAACAGGTACATTTTGTCAACAAGTGTATTTGTTTTTTGTATTTTTATAGATTTGAAATAGTGAAATATTTGAAAAAGCTTTTATCAGTTTATATAACAACCATCTGAAACATCTTTACACCTTATGAAGTAAATTCTGATTTTGTCTTCTGGAATGCACCAGGCACTTCCATAAGTTCTTATGTTGTACTCTTTAAATGCTATAAGCATAATATTTGTAGTAGATAGCTTGTAATGTTGGGTATATCTTTATTGTATATTAGTTTTTTAGACATTTATTTCGTTTCATGGCTGATCTAATAAATTTCAATTAATGTGCAGACATATAAAGTCAGTGCATTATACTGTACATTTACTTTGTCTTGTCAATAAAATTATTTTGAGTGTTGAAATTAGCTAATAACAATTTGCTACTTGGCTTCTTATAGTTATTTTTTGAATATTTTTTTAATTGAATTGCAATTGTAGGATTTAAGTTAAGATAGCGATTTCAAGTGTTTTAATTTCGTTTTAAAAAATTGTCAACATTTGCATTTGTTTCTCCCTGTGGATGTTTTTTCTAAAATATTACACCAGGGTTTGAAAAGCTGATGACATGCTTACAATTAGAATTTCCTTCCAATGATAGCATTACTGTGTGATTTTTATTTTTACTTAATTTAATTAGTGTGTAATTTGATGACCTATTAGTTACAAAAAGAAAAAAGACCACTGATGAAAAGTTACGAAAGCAGATGATGGTGGTACTCAACTTAAATAAAAAAATAATTTTTAAGTTTGCATTTCCTTTGGTATATATCTATATAGGCAACTGACTGGCACTTATCCATTAAAATGACATCTTATCTGTTTGCTAGATGCATCTGATCAATGACATACTATATTTTAATCCTACTTACACAGATTTTGCTAATGAAGAGGTACATAATCTATATAGATTTCTTTTTAATATTTTATGAAGATAATTTGCATTCTTTTCCTTTTAATCCTCTGCCTCCTTCTTTCTCTCTCTTTCTCTCTTCTTTCTCTCTCTTTCTCTCGAGATAAACAATGATATTGTACATGGGTCAACAATTTTTTAATTTTTTAATTTTTTTTATTTGGACTTACATGTTTAAGTATGTAAGTGTCAGAACACGGAAAACTTAGAATATGTACTATTATGTAGTCACTGCTTACAAGGCAAGGCATGGTACATAACATTTAGTTGATTCAACAATCCCATTGTGACTATAATAGAAATAGGCACCAAAGTAACTGTGTGTAGCGTATGTCCAGTCCAGTCTGATACCTCCTACACATTGTAACTCGCTCATCCAAACAGGAGATATCACAAAACATACATTGAAATTAGATTTAAAAAAGACTCATTTAAATCCCCTATCTTCCCAAAATTCTGACAGACTGAAACTTCTGACCAATGTCTATAACAGATATCTGCCTCCTTCGATACTGAAGATTCTTGCACATGCCGTATATACTCGGCCTGATTGAGTTGTGCAGGTGGACCAATATACCGGGGTTTCTCCCTACTCTAATATACAAATAGTGCAGTTGATTCTTAACGTACAAGGGTGGTGACTTTCCTGTACACGGGCCTCCATTTAATGTCCTAACCGAGGGACGGAGTGTTTTCCACTTAGCCTGCGTCTATGAAACAAGGGGAGGGGCACGTTAACATGTAGGCTTCAGTCATCCGCATGGGTGGGAACTTGAGATCTTTGGTCTGACAGGCAGATGCTTCACTGACTGAGCCAACTCGCCATTTCATTCATAGCTCAATCAAAATGGCTTTATTAGTACATGTAGTATTATTTCATGCGCACACCCAATCCAATTCATTTTACTCCACCAGTAATGTTGAATTGTACCAAACAAGAACCAGAACTTGAAGAAAAAAAACATTAATGAAGGTATACAACAAGAAGAGCATATCTTAAGAGAATGCAAAATCTGTTTTAAAAAAATAGAGAAAGAGGAAAAGTGATAAATGTGAACTATTGTCTTTGTGATATTAAATAGGTTTAACATATTTTAACAGGACCGTTGGTGATGTAGCGTGAGGTCTCTGATATTCTTTCCATGAATCTTTAATTGCTTTATCCCATTTTATTAATATTTTTTCTTTACTTTATCCCATTTTTATTGTCAGCAATCAATATTTGCAGTTAGTAAGTCCATGGTCCTAGACCGTTACCGTAGAATAGGGGAAGCCCCTTGCCCGTGAAAACGAAAAGTTTATTGAACCACAACAAGTCTAGCAGACAGTGGACACGCAGCGCAGGCATAATTTGCCACCACAATACAGAATAGTACCGCACACACGTACGAACACACACGAACACTACTCGCACTCAAGGTACAATACATGCACACACAAATGAAAGACAAATTTGATTCATGAACGAAGATATCGGAAGAAGTAGATCTAGAGACAAGACTCATGCCAGGTACTCCTCGGGGTGGTTTAATATGTATGGACTTCTCTAATCTTCCTAGCGCCTAGAATATATCATGGATCGTACTTAACTGTTTAAGGTCAGGAGTAACAAGGACAGATGACGACGTTATAATCGAGGTGAGAAATCGTAGATTTAAAATTGTTCCAGTTCTCCACAAACCACACAGGCACAGCATAGTGATAGGACCGAGCCCAGCATCCGGATTCGACGAAGAGGTAGGCGGGCGCGGGCTCCATGTGCACTGCGCCTAGCCCTTGTGCATCTGTGTGACACTATTTGTCGTTGTATTTGTATTGATATTGCCTTTTAATTGTTATTCTAAGTACCGGTAATATTGATTTAACAGAAAATTCATGTAGATTTATGAAAGTAAGTAAAGATTAGACAGCTTTCAAGAAGTGTAACAAAAACTAACAAAAATCAATTTCGTTATTTAATAGGTCTAGAGTCTACTGACCTGTCTAGATCTAGATCAAGGCCTAGACTGGTCTATAGGGCTTAAAGGTAAAATAAAAAAATCTTGTAACTATTTTCAAAGATGGAGTAGTCTAGACTAGACTAAATTCTGAGGGTCTGGAAACGCTCTCACGCACGACGCGCGCTAGATTTCGAAAAAACGCTAGGCCTAGACTATTCCTTATACGTGTGTTATACTCTCGCACGCGCGCTTTAGCGCCGATCATGAAAATGTCACGCATTGCTGATCTTTGAACTTGGTGTCTCTGTATATATGTGTTATGCATGTGTGGCATGATTAATTTTGTTAGGGATGTTATTTGGATCTGCAAAGACAGAATTAATACCCAAATCCCAATTGTTTTATTCAAACATCACATACACTATACAGTGCGTCCGAGATAATTTGATTAAACCATAATTTGATTAATCGAATTCGTTTTCACTGGCTGCATGCCGTATCAACAAAAAAAATTAACAAAAGACTTAACTCCATTTCGTTGACAATCAGCCGTAGACGAAAGACTTTATGCATGGCTGATTGTCAACAAAACAGAGTTAAGTCTTGTCAATTCTGCTTTTTGCTACGGCCAGCAGCCAGTGAAAACAAATTTGTTTGCTAAAATTATGAATATGTAAGGGCTACTTTAAACAAACAGAACTTTGTCATTCCGTGCTCATTTTTCCTGATTGAGGTGTCATATGAAAGGGCAAAAACTCAACTTTCTAGAAATGTGATTTTCTCTTTGAAATTCAGATACCGCCCGCCAAACGACTTTTCGGTTTCCTCTCTTCAAATTGATTTTAATCACTTATGCGGGAAATATGCATCATAATGAGTTCCACCAAATGAAAGAGGAAGATCTAAGCTTTCCAAATATGTGTCATTTATTAATTATAAATGTGATTAAGTTATGATAAAACATCGATAATTCTCGGAACTCTTGCAAACAATGCCTCCTGTTCATCCAAGCGTGAACACATACCACACAAAAATGATACCAAATGATTTGGGATAAAACACTCTTTCATAAGATGTATAACAATTTACTGTTCATAGATGATTTTAAAATAAATAAGCAATTTTCTATGTGTAAACTTTTTTTTTTTGGACTTGCACTGTACAGTGTACAATATCCCTTTCAAAAATGTACAATAGATAGTCATTACATAGTCATACTCATAAATGAAGATATTTGTGGCATGAAGTAATGCATTTTTTCTTGAAAATATGACGTAAGTAGCAGGCGAACTTGTGCATGTTTCATCTATATCCACCAAGCCTTAGTTAAAAAATATTTTTAATTCAATAACAAAACCTTTACTCTCAAGTTAAATGACGGCAATTAAATCATAGCTGAGAATGTTAAAAATATATTAGGTTGAAACATATAATGGGGGAACAATAATGTAACTCATTTATTTAAAAATACTAAATAAAAGCAGTTAACAAACGTATTTCATTTACCGGTATGCAAAACCTTCACCCCAGAAGAGCACAAATGCAACAAACTTATTTATGCACATTGTGTTCTGACAATACTATAGAGTGTTATACTAATATATTCAAATTTATTGTTTCCTGGGGACCTACATGTACATGAAGTGATGAGGTATTCCATTAACCTGTTATTAATGAATGAACTGCAATACATGTACATGGAATCCAGTCTGCATACATTATTTTTTGCTTTGTCAGGCGAGCCTCGGCAAGCCTTCAGGTTGTCCAGAACAACCTTTGTTGAAAACGTTTTTGTACAATTTGAATATTTTAATAAACCAACCATTGAGCCATTGCAGTTAAAAGGGTACCGTAAATTTAATTGTAAGTGAATGAAATTTCTTCATCACCACACACGCCTGGGTAGAAAGCAAACATAAATTTAAATCATTTATTTGATAAACAACTTCGCATATTACATCATCTGATCAAGAAATGGGCGCTGTCCATGTCTTACTGAGAAACTGTACAGTATGCTAGGAACATCTTGTTTTATACCTCTCTTGCACACTTTGGTGAGTAATCTTGTAGATTAATGGGCAAGAATACAATATTCCTTTCAAAATGATTAAACTTTATTTCTGGGTTGAGGTTTCCTTAAATGGTGTTGATTTGATTTACATACTATATTATCAGTGCATATCCAATCCAATCCAAAAGATATTTGATATAGCGCATTTTCCTTGCGGTGATCCAATTTGATAAAAATTTCAGAAAATTCTGTATTCTATGAAGGTCATCCTGTACAAGTGTATGATAATGTAACCTTTCCTTTTCTCAAATACCTTGTTACACAATTACACACTTCACATGCATCTGTTTTGGCCATATATTGCATACTTTCAGTCATGTAATTGGTGTTGTATAGTAGTATTGATGTGTTCCTTTGTCCTCTTTTTGTACAGGTGATCATGACTTGACCAGAGGATACAATTCCACATTCTTCTATCAAGACGGCTTACAACACCAGATTGCTATCTCAGTCAACCAGGAGATCTGAACATTCAGACCCCACATTAGAAAGAGACTTTATACGGCAGTCTTTTGGGGGCTGAAGGGTGATTAATTCATCATTTGGAAGTCTCACTGTGTGAGAAACTGACCAGTGTGCAGAAACAAGGAACGTCAGGATGACCAACAGTGGGTCATCATCCGTGGTCTGGGAAGCACTGGGGTGTCTGGCAGGTATCGACTGGACCGCTCTCTTCTTTTGGTGTCTTATCACTTTCTCTCTCTGCCTTGTCTCCATTCTTCTCATCAGTATATTTCTGCCTGTCACAATAAAGGTAGGTATTGTGTGCATATGAATCTCTTCAGATGTTAAAAAGTCAAGATTTTAAGTAATGTTAGGGGTAAAAAATGTTACGTTTCTGTGGTGATTGGTATCAAATACTTTATATCAAAATATTGTTACAGGATTACATTATTTAATATAAGTTATATTCCAGGAGTAAAATGATTCAGAAATGCCTTAGCATTATTAAGTCTCAAATACGTACTGTATCTTTTCTTCTTTGACTTTGTTCAGTGATATTTACCTTTTGTCTTTAAAATGAATCTTCCAGTTGTATGATGTGTGAAATTGCTCGCCCATTATGATAATTTAAGAGCCCCTTGAATCCTTGTCAAGAATTTACAGAGAAGTAGGAGAGGTGACGAACACTCATACCCGAAACACATGACATGTACCCTTTAGATTGGCAAATCACAGCTCAAGCTTTTCACAATATACTCACTGGTATGAGACCTAATATGCAATCTTTTTTCCAGTAAGTACGTGTAAATACTGTATAAACTTTAGTTGTACTTGGGAAGGTCTAACTTAGATTCAGGATAATTTTTTTCTTCTTTCCTTTTCTTTACAATTTTCAAATTTATGACCTAAAAATGCAATATTCCTTGTTTATGCTTGAGTGAATAGTGCATTGATTCATAACCACTGTTTAGTACAAACATGAATGATGTTGCAAAAATCAAGACCCAAATAAATCCCCCCAAAAGAATACATTTCACATTTTCACTCCACATCTAAACTCAATTCTGTTATTTAAACAGTGACCGGTAATAAATCGGATAACTGAATTTTATCTGCAGTGGACATTGTAAACATGTAGAACTAGAATACCAGCAACTTGATCATATCACAAGACACAAGATCATATCACAGGATCTATCAATATATATTACATACAAAGATTCCCAATAAGGAAATTATTGACAGCGAAGAGTTGTTATTCATGTGCAAGGTCATAAGTTTCCTGTGATCTGTTATTTGAAACCAAAATGTGGTACACTGTATTAGGATTACGGTACATGTACATGATCAAAACAGTGTACAGTATTCTACATGTAGGTACAAAAAAGGGCCCTCATGGCTGGGCCTGAAGAAATCCACCAATGTCATACATTGTAGTAGACAGAAATAATCGTCTGATATGGGTCATTTCTTTAATAAAACTGACATTTGTTGACATTCCCCATATACAGACAGTACTACAGAGATCTCATACCGTGGGGGTAATCTGGCCAATCCAGCTGCCACTTATGGTGATAGAGCTTTCTCCCCCGATTTTCACTATTTAGATCTAATTTTCTGATTTATAAATCAGATATAAATTAAGTATATGTATTGTACTCCTATTTAAACTAAATAATAATAATTGACTCATCATACAAATGCAAAATTTTTGGACTTACTTATATGATTTATCCAATTTTTTTCTCCGAACCGTGAAACGTACCGTTCATCCATTCAAATTAGTAATCTATGACATCACCCGGCCGATATATTTCCGGGTCAACCTACCAAAACATAGCAAATGGCCAATCAGAGCACTCGTTTCGTATTGGGTTATGAATATTCATATATCACTGGGTTGACTCGTACGTAGCTATTGGACGTTCAAAAAGAAAAAATGAATATTCATTAATAAAAACCAAGATGGATGACAACGAATCATGTCGACTACGAGACTTTCTCGGATTAATCATTAATTTAGGATATAAATGAGCAAGCTATCGTAAGTCAAAGCCATATATATGTTTGTTATTTTTTATATTTTTATTAGTCTATTGTAATATTGCAGCAAAAGTCCATTTATGAGGATGTAAAGAGTGAAAATCTTGTTGCATATCTCATTCATCGCGGTCCTGCCGAACCGAACCATTTGTTCCACTAGTACGGCATAGGCCGTACTTCAGTCTATGTATAGAGGCGGTCAGTGGAGCCAGATGCAATCTCAGTGAAACCACCGTCGATATCAGAGACTGCAACTTTCGGTCTAACATTGTAGTTGCTCTATCTAGAAAGTCCTTGTCACAATATGCTACCCAAATAAAAAATCTTTTATTTCCAACTTTGATGTTTTCATGGAATGAATCCAGCTGAATCTATGAGAAATTTTCAATTCCAATCTAGTGTTTTGGGGGATACGAGTGCCTGTAGTATAAAATCATCATGGATTGATATTATTAAGACATAAACACTAATTTGATGCACTGAACCTAATGCAGTATAGATAGTCCTTTGGGTTTTTAAAGGAGACTTGTCAGTTGAGCAATTTCAACAAAAAAAATTGCGCTGCAGTCCTTTCTGCACTATACATATTACATACAACCTTTTACTCTTCATTGGCTATTGAAATCCTGTGATTTGTGTGAAAGGATGTTTTTCATAGAAACAGAGTTCTCTATGAGAAGATTCAATGAGTAATAACCTGCTTATTGAAAGTAAGCCCCAAGGTCAGATTAGTCTTTCATGTATGCTTGCTTCATTAAACTTCTATATTCTGTTGTAGTAACATGGAGTACAGGATGACTTAACAGTGCATTGTCACTCATTCTGCTTGCACTTTTTGGAAGGGTCCATGATTTGAGCTAGACTCACTAGATACATGTACATTAACAAAATATGTTTTTGGTTATTGTTATTAATGTGATCAAATTTTGGTGATTAAATTTTGGTGATTAAATTCTTTCATTCATTCTTTTTCCATCATTCACTTGCATCTCAAGAACATTAAAGTTGTTTTGTTTTATCAATAAATAGTGTACCACTTGCTCAAACTGGGCAGGTGATGCCATGGCATTCCAGTTAAGATTATACACAGTACTCAGTGGAAAAGTTTGTTGACCTGGCAAAGGCTTGTTGTAGTTAATTTGGGGCCAGCCCTAGGGGTGAAATATTGTACTCTGCATGAGTATAGTCTCAGTCAGTGACAGTACATGTACATGTACTTTTAAATGAAAATTTACTCAAAGTTCAAATTTCCCAACAGATTTCACATCTACATGTATATCTGTGCATGTATTATTTAATTCATATAGATCTGTTACATTACAAATTGAAACTACTTTCTGTTGGAATGTAAATTGTATTACATGGGGGCCAACATGACGATGAAGATATTCATCTGAGAGATCATCATTTTCTCTAAATGTACATTTATTTGTTCAAATTAAACTCTGTAATAAATAACACATGATATTGTTGATGCAACAATGGAGTTACTGTACTAAGTTGACCAGTTTCTATCCATTTTTTAAAAATTATCATTTTTGGGTGTGTTTTTTTGGCACACATGCAATATCCCAATATTCCACTTCACCATAGCCTATATTTAAACAGAGGATGTGCATGTCATGACATTGAAAAGAAAGTGAAAATAATAACACAAGAAGTGGAACCATCTTTCCCTGGTGAAACTACTAAACCTGAGAAATTTGCTTAGAACTATTTTATTCTGACCTTGTGTAGTCCAGCTAAAAAGTTTGTTCAACCTAAATATTGGCACCATTTCAAGTTTAGGAGAAAAAGTTTGTTGACCCTCCCCCTTTACAATGTTTTTTTTCTCGATGGGTTCCATGGTTCAGGAGAGTGAACAACCGGCCTATTTCATGCAAGAGAACTTCTGTGTGCTTTCTTTTGAAGAAAAAAATCCTTTGAGTACCTTCAATCGTGACAATTGACAGGGAAAAAATATAGGCCAAATACTTTCTCAGAAGAGCCTGGAACCTGGATGTAAAGATTTCTGCCTTTTCTTAAGAAATAAAAGAAAGCCTTCAGGTATTGATTTCTTTTCATTTCACTCAGGTCCAGTGGCAGTGGTCAGGTCTAAAAGGTCACTACCGGTATTGTTTTTTCATTTGTATAGTGCTTTCTATCCAAAAGAGCAGAAAGAAAATCAACAGTATTGATGTGCTATTACTAATACAGTAATGTGTACAATTGATATTTAGAGTTTGGCCACTGGTAGGCCGGCATACTGTAAGCCTACATTGTACATACTTGGAGTTATATTTTTTTAGTTTAAAGGTACTATGTCCCTTTTGCAGCCCACCTCAAATTCTGTAGAAATTTGCATGAATTATGAATATGTCATGTATGTCCTATCTGTGAAATTTAAGCAGTGTCCTAATATTCAAATTATGCAAGGAAACCCGTTTACTTGCTAGTCTTCACTGTCTAGACACTATTGAGTGACTGACTGGCTTTTTTTCTTCTTTGGTAATAACATACATAAAATGAGCTGTAAAGGGTACATGAGCATTTGTCTACATCAATAACCCACTTCTTGTGATGGCCAAAATTAAACTGATTGAATCTTTGCGCCGCATAAAACGTATGACCATTCGGTACAATGGTCTGAAAATCAAGACTATTACTTATTGGCTCTATAGCTTCTAAGTCGATTTGACAACTAATAGTCATTATTTTCCCACTTGAAGACATTTTCAAGACCCACCTTTTTTAGGGAAGTTCTAAATTAGTATTATCTTTGAAATGCCGTTGGAATTTAACCTTTTCATTTTTTTGGCCTGCAAATGGGACATAGTACCTACCTTTAAGGGTATTTATTTATTAACAATTAAATTTTCTTAAATTTCTTTGCAGTTATCTATTTGTAATAACTTTGAGTTTTTGTAGGATTCTGTGAGATGCTTTTTCCCCCCTTACCAAAACTTTTGCCTATGAAGAGAAATGGATAAACAGACGAGGCAAACATGAGCATGACCTTCTCTTTTTATCAGAATACACTCTTGTCTGGACATAAAGGCCCATTTACAAAGCTAAAAAACCATTGGTTTTTCAGACTGCCATTAACACTACTGGAAAAATTAATAAGAATTAAGAAACCGGTAGTGTTTGATAATTTTTTTTTTTTTTTTTGGGGGGGGGGGGAGGAGGAGGTTGCTCATGTGCCACTCTGCATGCGTTTAAAAATTCCACACTCCAGAGATGGATTTTTTTATTTGAGATTTTCCTGATGTTTTATGGGTAGTTGCT